AGAGAAAGGGAGAGAGAGAGAAAGGGAGAGAGAGAGAAAGGGAGAGAGAGAGAAAGGGAGAGAGAGAGAAAGGGAGAGAGAGAGAAAGGGAGAGACTCCCAAAATATCTATATCATCCCACCACCTAAGCCTCTCTCTCCCTCCCGCTCCAACGCTCCAACAATATATATATCCATAGAGCAAGTAGAGAAACAACGTACCAAGCAAGACCTTACTTACCCTTCAATGACATCTTTTCTTTTACACGTATAACGTCTATAAAGTCCCATCCAAGTAGTATGTAACCATAAGACTACCTCTAGTGTAGTAGTATCACGTCTACATACAGACCACTCGATAGAGAGACGCAAGGGTTTTGTGTGGAGAAGGATGTATATAGTAGGGATTTCAAATATGTGGAATTGATAGACACATGGCCTTTCTATCTACTCCAGCCGAAGGACACTTCTATATCTAGTAGTAGGCACAGACCCGTATTCATTCTCCACCCCTTTACTCCTCCCCCTCCCCCTCTCCCTCACTCATCCCCCTCACTCCCCCCCTCCCCCTCCCCCTCATCCTCACTCCCACTCTCCTCCCCCTCACTACTCTCCTCCCGCAAAAACTCCACCAGCGCCCCCGTCTTCGCCCGCACCCGCACCAACCCCTCACTCGCCACCGCGCGCGCATCCTCCCACCACTGCTCCACGCCCTCGGGCTCGACAACATCCATCTCGACGAGCTTCGTCGCCGCGCGGACGAGAATGGCCTCGCCCTGGTCGCGATGCACGAGGTCGGCCTGGAGCAGGAGGAGGAAGTCTACCTGGTCGGGCCGGTCCGTCTGGCCGCGGTCGAACATGGTGCGGGCGAGGACTTGTTTCTGGGTGCCGAAGACGGCGTCGACTGCGTCTTTGACGGAGGACGGGGGAGTTGTTGTTGTTGTGGTGGTGTTTGTTGTGGATGTGGATGTGGATGTGGTGGTGTTAGGGCCGGAAACGAGCTGCGCAACGCGCTTTGCAAAGGCGGTTGCGACGGCGCGGCGGACTTGGTGCTCTGAGGCGTTTGTCGTCATGCGCAGGGCGGTGAGCTCGAGGTTGATGTTTGCGGACTCGTGGCCGCGCTCGAGCGAGTCGAGGATGCTGGACGTGGCGTCGTGGTCGAAGTTTGCGGCGTGCTGGGAGGACTGCGAGTCGAGGGAGCCGACGGAGAGGAAGGAGGAGCCGGCGGAGCGGGAGCGCGACGGGCCGGTGATGTGGTCGTGGTCGTGGTCGAGGGCGAGGTCCACATCGTCGTCGTCGTCGGAGTTGAGTGTGGAGATTGAGGCTGTGGATAGGGAGAGGGAGGACATGTTGTATACTGTTTGTGTTAGATTCTGTTGGTTTGGGGGGATTTGACGAACACGTACCGAGACCGCGCTCGTGGGAGATGAGGCCTGGCACGACTTCTTCTTCTTCGTCTTCGTCCTCGTCGATCAATTCGAAGCCGTCACCGCCTTCGCCGACGACGGCAGCGTCGGCGTGGCCCTTTTCAATGTCCTCGCCTTCTTTCCGGCGACGCTTGGCGCGGGTGAGTCGGCTTGTGCCTTTCACCTTGACGCCGTCTGCGATGCGCACACCGTAGGAGATGAGCGCACCAGGCTCAACCACACATTTCCTCCCAATCACCACCTCGTCCGCGAGGATGGCCTTCTTGACCACAGAGCCGTCGGAGACGGTGGCGGAATTCCAGATATACGCGCCGTCAATAACCACGTTCTTGCCAATCTGGACGTCTCGGCCTATTATGCTGTTGGAGATGACCGAGCCCTCTGCTATGCTCGAGCCACGTCCGATGACGGTGTTCTTATCAATCTTGCAGGACCGCGCGAGGATGATGTTCTTTTCCAGGTAGATGTTGCCCCACTGCAGCGTGTACGACTGTCCGCCTACCAGGTTCGTGTCCGGGCACAAGGGATAGGCCCATCGCGAGACAATGTCCTTGCTGATGGAGTCGTACGTGTGCAGGTTCCGCACACGGGCGGCATAATTCTTCGACACGATGTGCGTATGTGTCGTCTTCCCATTGAGCTCGTAGTCCTTTAGCACACTGTGCAGGAAGCCCTTGCGCGGCGCCTGGAAGTCGAAATTGTCGCTCCAGAGCGCCAGCACGTCCGGCGTGCAGATGTCTATCCCGCAATCAATCAGATCCTGCCGTATCTCCAACTCTTGATGGTCCGACAGCAGCCACTCATCGATGGAGACGGCGCTCTTCTGTTCCCGGTTCGGCATCTGCTCGAAATGAAGACATCGCTCTTTCCGTGGGTCGATGACGAATATCGGCGACGTGCCTTGTGCCTTTGTCCTGTGCTTGTTGCCCGCCTCCCGTAGCACCATCGTCATGATGGCGTTTCTGTCCTTTGCGCGCCGCGCTCGGTGTTGTGCCAGTGCTGTCTCGAGCGGGAGATTGCTGACGACGTCGCCGTAAACAACGAGAAAGTCGCCGTTGAGGATTGCGCGGTTGTCGAGGTCGCGCATGGCGTCGCCTATGGAGCTTGACGCGGACCGCAGGATCTCGACGTTTCTGAACGGCGACGTCCTGGAAACCCATTTCGACTTCTTCACATATTCCTCCAGCTGATCCGTGTGCGCACCACAATACACGTACACTTCCTCGACGCCGGCATTCGCGAGGAATTCAAATGTGTACTCGATGAGCGGGGTGTTGGCGAGAGGCAGCAAGCACTAGATTGAAAATTAGTTGGCGATGAACACGACTATAGAATAACTAGAAAGTCTTACCCTCGGCCGCTCGAGAGTGAAGGGACTGAATCTCGTCTCGAACGGGTCGGCCAGTATCAGGGCCTGCAGCGGATCCTCGGCGCCCTCGTCCTGCTTCGACGTCTTTGGTTTCGGGGCCATGGCGCGGCGGAGGAGTTGCCGACTTTGTAGCTGTCTGCTTAAGCGTGTGAGGAATGTGACGAGTGTGTTCAGGAAATGGTTGAGCCAGTCACATAAAGTTGAAGTTGAGGTTGAAGTTGAAGTCTAATTGTTCAAGAAAAGAAAATCCGGCCAGTAGCGTGGTGTCAAGGATGAGGCAAGGTCAAGAAGGGCGGGGTTTTGGAGAGGGAGGGAGGGGGGGGGGGGGGGGAGTCAGGGCATGGGAGTCATGACATGGATTGGCTCTCATTATGCACAGGGCGCTGTCTGGAATCTGTCTGGATAACCGTTATTCTGCAGGGAACAAATGAATGGCATTCAATATTAGCCTTTTGTTTGTCCGCCCTATTCCTGTTCCTGTCCCTGTTCCTGTTCCTTGGGCCCAGAATCCCATCATCGACCTTCTAGACTGACACCCAAGCCAAATCACAACCAGGGATGCACAACCCAGGCGGATCGACTGGGATCGACTGGGATCGATAGTCGATAGTCCTTAATAGCATGACCACCTAATCTCTGCGCCCTATATAGTCCTCTTCCCCAGCCTTTTGTCTCGCTGTCGCATCATGCTCACGAGAAGGAACACGACCAAAACAATTTTTTTTTATATATTAACCTTTTCGGTCCTTGTTAATCGTTTATTCTTCAAACAATCACGCGTTGGCAGTGTTGCGCGTGGTGTTGACTGTCTGCCAGCTCTCAAAAACGTTTCTTGTAGGGCCCTTCGTCTTGCAAAGGGCCAGAACTGCGACATTGTCGCAGTGGGTATCAATCCATTGCCCTCTAAACGCCTGCCCAATTCACTTCATGCATTAGGCTCAAATCAGAGATGGCCGCCAACCCTTTTCGCCGTCATCACAACAAACTGTCTCTCTAGCAGGTCTCCTCGGTTCTCGGCGGCTCGGCGCTTGCCCATATATTCTTCTTCGTTGTTCATTATACATTTGCAATACGATCGGTCTGATCATATGGGAAAATCTTCAGGTCACCTTGGTCGGCCCATAGGATTCATCTGTGGTGGCATCGAATTGTACATCTGCTGCCTCTTCGCATCATTCATATCTGGACCACCCGATATGTCCGAAATTTGTCGTCTATGAGACTGATTGGGCTGCTGTTGGCCCATTGGTGGTCCCCGTTGGCCACCCATGGGCAGCTGTGATGCATTCCCATACATCGCGCCATAGGGCCCAGGAAGACCCTGCACATTGGCGTAGTCCTCTTGGACACTGCTCCCCACGGGCGATACACCAGTCAGCTGGTTCGGCGAATTCCAATTGCTGACAGTCGCCGGCGATTTGGATGGCGATTCTTCTTCTTTCAGCGATTGTCTGGCAGACGTATGTGCCAGAGCCTGGATGGGGTGGCCGATGGGATCCATGTTTGCCGACTTTTTAAGATGCGCGAGGTGCTTCTCGAGGATTCCAAGCAAGCCTTCCTTGGTGAAGGGTTTCGGCAGCACATCATTCATGCCTGGAGATTGTCAGTTCTGCGACTATGGGATAGATGACAGGACAGAAGAAGACTTACCGTGCTGGAAATACATTGAGATATCATCGCTGCGGATATTCGACGTCATCGCAACAATTGGAGTCGGGTCAAACTGGCGAATAAGGTGACAAGCCGAGACACCGTCAAGATTCGGCATGATGATATCCATCAGAATAAGATCGTACTTCTGTCCGCTATTCATCTTGTTGACTGCCTCGAGACCATCCAGCGCACAGTCGATGTTACATTGGAAGGCGTGAAGGAACTTGCCGCCAATACGGCGACACGTCGGATCGTCCTCGACCAGGAGGATCTGTGGGGGACGGACCCAGCCCGGGTCAATATGCGTGCTCTTCTTCCGCATGTCCGAGGCCTGTGCAACTTGAGGAGCAGCAGCTTGTTCAGGGGCCTTTGCGGGCATTGGGTATGGAATGTTGTGGATGTGATCGCCAAACATTGGGTCGATACCGTTGGAAGCGCCTACAGGATATACAAGATGGTCAATGTCGTTACGAGTAGAGCTGGTCGAGCTGGCCGAATTTGGCGGACCACCCCTGCTGGATGGTCGACCGTTACGGAGGTAGTCTGGCGGTGGGGTCGTGAGAGTGCCGTTCATCCTCATGGAGATTTCATTCATGTGCTCTAGATTGCGTGGGTTCAGCATGGCATCCGCATTCGTCTCACTGAGCAGTTTCGAGGCATGCTGCAGCGGAGAAGCAGGCATATCCTCCTCGAGCGGATCTTGTGGTTGTGGCTGTTGTCCCATGGCGCCGTTCTGCATGGTGCCACTCTGGGCAAATGGGTTGCCGACTCGACTGTCGCGACGCCTCTGAGCATCTACAGAGTTCAAAAAGACCATGACATTCTGCATGACATGTTCGTGGTTCACGACCGTCTTCTGCAAGCCGATCAACTCCTGCAGAAGCATTGAATGGTGAATGCGCAGCTCCTCGTACTGGCCCTGCATCTGCTGCAGTTGCTGCTGGGTAGCGACGAGCTGGGTGTTGACCAGATCCATCTGTTGCGTGGGTATCAACATGTCCTCGGGATTTGCATTCGGCTTTCGCGGGGCGGGAGCTTTCCTTCGGATGTTGTCCAGGGCATCCTTGTTGTTCATCTTGAAGTCGGGATGCTTGAACTCCCACGCCTACCACAAAAAACGTCAGAGTGTGTTCTCTCGTCACGCTGCGCAAAACAAGCACTTACACCAGCACCATATGGAGATTGGCCATTTTCTTCATTGTTATGACGGACTTTGTGGAAATCGTACTTGTTGAGCTGGCGTACAAAACTCGCAAAGTTGCTGTGCTTGAAGTGCTTTGGTAGGATGTGCTTTGTAAACTTTTCGTTCTGTCGCGCACGAGTCAGTGACTGTGTGGCAGTGTGTGCCAGGCGGATAACAGGCAGGATGTACCTCGAGTACGACGAAGCTATCGCCTTCGTTGCCCCACCGTACAACGGCCTCGTCTGTCTGGTTCTCCAACATTCTGCAGGAAGGTTATTACTGAGTCGGATTGTGATGGCTGTCAGACACGAAGGCTTACTTGTATAGCTTGCGAACCTGCGGGGACGAAACATGTTAGCAATTGTCAATAGATAGGACAATAGCAGGCTCAGTCTTACAAAGTCGCTGGAGTTGTTGGCTCCAGAGGCGGCGGAATTGTCCATGATCGGCTGTCGGGCGAGTGGTTGAGCTAGCTCTCAGCAGCAAGGGAGGGGGGTGCAAGCTGCGGTGGTAAGAAGCTCAACGGACAAGCAAGGCCGACGCGATCGAGGACGAAGAGTCGCAATCAACGAGTGATGATGGTCCGATGTATCTGTCCAGTCGCGCAAGGGAGTAGAACAGTAGTAGCAGCAGCACAGTAGTAGCAGTCGTGGATAAAGTGGAATTGAAGAAGACCGGGGGAGGAGAGGAGTAAGCGAAATCGACGATGGAATGGGCCCAAGCTCGTATCGGACAGTTTGGGGAGCTTGGTAGCGACTCAGGATTGGGAAGCAGGGTTTGCTTATGGGGCCGACGGGAGTCTGGCAGAAGATACAAGATGTAGAGCGAGGGTGAAGAGCGATTGATGGTAGAGCGAACAGAGTATCAAAAGATGATGAAAATGATGATGAAGATGATGATGACGATGGCAATGACGACGATGCTGAAGACGAGCAGGCCTGGCAGTCTGTGATGGATGGATCTGGAGTGGATAAGAATAAAAGAACGGAGCCAGTCAAGAGTGGTCCAGAAGTCCAGGAGTCCAGGAGTCCAGAGACGAGAGAATGAATTGAGGGGGAAAGACAAGAGGGCACGACCAGGTACAAAAAGGACGAGGAAAGTGATATAGTGGTTGGTGGTGGTAGTAGTTGTCGTAGTCGTCGTCGTAGCAGTCGAAGTAGAGAGAGAGAGTCCGGCCGACGATGGACGATGGATGGATAGTGGGCAGGAGGATGAAAGAGTCGAAGAAGGAATCCCTGACTCTCTTCTTTTTTTTAATCCCGTTTCTTCTCACTCACTCGCTCTCTCTCTCTCACTCTTACACCCTCACACTAATTTACTACACCCACACACTCTTTCTTGCCCGTGTTGCCGGCGGATCTGAGCCGTCGGGCGTCACTGGCGGTTGGTCAGAGCGGCCGGCAGCGCACGAGGAGAGAGGGGGGTGAAAGGATTGTGATAGCGAGACCCAGCAGCCAGGACAGCAGCCAGTAGCCAGTAATTATCCAGTAGAGACACAGACACAGACACAGACGCTGATGATTGTAGTCTCCACTAATTCACTGATTATTGTGCAGCTGCTGCAGCCAAAACAGATGCATCCACCCCAATTAAATGATCGTATGCGCCCCCTGTTTAGCTTCTTGAGCTTATTTAGCAGGTTTAGCGCGACCAGGGGGGGAGGAGAGCACCAGGTAGAGGTAGTAGTAGTAGAATTAGCAGCAGCAGCAGCCACGTCCCCGGGCAGAGACTGTGGACGTGGGAATTGTGGAGTTTGGGTGGAGTGGAGGAGAGATGTATATGCTGTGTAGGGATAGGGGTAGGTAGGTAGTTCGGAGTGTAGGAAGAAAAGTCGTGGGCTGGACGGCTAGCACCTGTCAGCAGCGACAACGACGGTGTGATTTCGAGCGTCGTGGCCTCGATAATAATAAGAATAAAGAAGAATTACGCATCTCAGCTCGTCGGCGTGATGAATGCTTGTAAGAGCCTTGTCCTTCTATACCGCTGGAGACAGTCCTGGACTGAGTGTGGGAGGTATTTATACTTGTATCTCCTTCACATCGTGCAAAGCTAACCTGCCATACAACCACTCTTTCAACTCATGTCGTCAAAAAGATACATTTCACAAGGAACCATATACGGGCCTTGACGGACATGAGCCAGCAAAACTAATTACCCAGTAATAAAGGTGGTAGTCCTAGTGGTAGAATTGGGGAAGTGAACCAACGCACTGTTCTTGGGACCAACCTTTTCTCTGTCTATACTAATTATCCAAACATGAGATAACGCTCCTCGATATTCCGAAACCTCATTAATCGTCACGGTGGCAGTGTGGCTGTAGCTTATCCTTCAGCTTCACATTCACAGCTCACTACTGCGGCCTGTGCCAGCGCTACTTACTCTCCTAGCCCACTCGGACTTTCCCATACCCATCCACCCACGCATCCGATACCACTGTCGACGGGGCATTATTACCATCTTCATATCCTCTACCAGTGTCAGACATCTGGATGTGTGGCCTGGAAGTTATCATAGATGTATGACTTGTTGACTGCCAAACTAATACCGTCCACTGCAGCTTATCCCGTTCACAGTCGGCTTCCAAATCGCTGTAATCAGCCAGCATCAAGTCTTCTTCTTCCCTTTTCCTTGCCTTTTCCATGCCATCGCATTCTTTTTTTTCCCTCTCCACTTCCATATTACTATGCAACGCCACATGTTTCCTTTGCCTCGGGAGTCCAAGTGCAGTGGCTGTGTTCGGAACTGGCTCATGTCCGGTAATTATTGGGCGTCCGCTGGTCCAGCCCCTACCCTGGACGCCCGCCGCATACTTCTTCGACACCACCACTTGCACGTCGGCGTCGCCGTCACAACTCATATCGTGGCTTGCCCGAAAACGTACATTCGGGCGCTGCGACGTACGAATGCGCTGTAGTATAAACGTTGGACCTTTCCCATCATGCCACTTCAGCTGCCATGGAGAGAGTAAGCACTGCACCTGGAATGGAATGGATCAGCTCCCATCAATAATAGCAGAGCACACGACATACACCTTTCAACACTTTGTATATTCATACCATACCATAAAGTGAAGTGAGCACTGCTGGAGGTCTAGACCGTCCGGCCTGCAGAATTCTCACCTTCGCACCCCCGGCACGGCTTGTAGGGCTGTTATCCCGATCTGTCTCACTACTGCTTCATGCCTGTTCCCTGCGCAAATCTCGACATTTCCGATGCTGTCTGTACATATGTATCATGTAGTCGCTTCGATGCAGGAATGGGACGTCGGCTTTATGTTCGCCAGTAAATCCTATCTCGCTGCCAGTTGCGCTTCATCGTCTCGTGCCCTGCCTGTCACCGTAAACTCCGCCATACGAGCTATAAGCAATAAATACTCAACTGGATAAAACACGAGTATGGCCAGAAGGACGACGCGCCAGGGGGAAGCACAGACTCGGAGACATCTCCTCGGCTCGTCTCGTCTCGTTTCGTCACGTAACCTTAGCGGAGTGATTGCGTATGTGTTTGCCAAAAGACTACTACTATAGTACAGTATACATGGATTAAGCATTCGCAGTGGCCTGAGCAAACCACGCCTCGGCCGAGTGGGCCCGACTGGAACATCCGACCAAACTTGAAGCTTCCAACGTCAACCAACAACCTCTTCGCCTCTTCTGCTCTCGTGAGTCGTCAAGAACTGCTCCCCCACATCAATCCTACTACGCCCATCTCTGCTTGTGGCTGTCGCTCTAACTCTTATCGTCTGTTTTGTCTTCATTCATCCTCACGTCATGCTGTCTCTTCGTCGCGCCTTGCCATCTCCGCCTAATGCCGCCCGGTGCTTTCACTCGACCGCGCGTCGTTTTGTCAAAGCTGGAGATACCATCCCGGATGTTCCCCTCATGGAGAACTCGCCGGGGAACACGGTGTCTCTGGCAAAAGAGCTCAGCGGCAATGGTATCATCATTGGTGCGTCTCCACAACCGGTAATACTTACCACATTGCCCCGTGGCCTGCTGGGACCGCGTATCGTACCGAGCCAATCAACCCCTTTGACTAATCGCTTCCACAGGTGTACCAGCTGCCTTTTCTCCATCTTGCTCAGAGTCACACATCCCGGGCTATATCAACTCTCCAAAAATCAAGAACGCTGGTGCGGTTTTTGTTGTCTCCGTCAATGATGCATTCGTGTACGCTTGCTTTCATTTCGTGTCCCTGATGTTCTGTCTAAAGCAGAATGGATTTCATTTGCCAAGCAGCTGTTTACACGCTATTCTACGTCGGTCCTATTCATGGACGTGGTTTTGCAAGACATGAACAATTTTTTTTTGGTTCACGAATCATCCACTCATATCTGACGTGAACACAGCATGAAGGCATGGAAAGCCTCACTGGATCCCGATAGCAAGAGCGGCGTACGTCCTCTCTCATTCATTGTGTACCATCATCACATCATTCCTCTCTCATCGCCTCTTCATGTTCTCCACATACACACAACGATATGCTAATGTCCCACAGATCAGATTCCTCGCTGACCCATCCGCGGCATTTGCCAAATCACTTGACCTCACCTTCGACGCCCCCCAGATCTTCGGCGGACCACGCAGCAAGCGATACGCCCTCCTGATCAAGGACGGGAAAGTTGCGGAAGCTCACATCGAGCCCGACAACACCGGCCTCAACAGTGAGTCTTTGCACCCCTTTCCCCCTATTTCACTTCGGTCTGGGTGGATCCCCCGTCGCGCCTATCTAGTATACATACCCGCCTTCCGCTTCCCTCTGGTCTGCTTTCCGGACCCCCTCTTTTGAACGTCGCTGGTGGAGCTGCTGTTGTGTCGGTACGCTGCGGCACGACCGCACTGTCCCGCTCACACCTGCATATGGTGGAGCCGTTGGAAGCCTTCTCGAATATCCAACCACTCGGTGGCTTGTTCGCTCGAATATACGAAAACTTGCTGATCTGCTTGACTCATAATAAACTGACGCAACTTGACTGACTTCCACAGTTTCCGCGGCTGAGAAAGTCCTCCAATGAGCATGCCTGCCCATGAAGCTCATCTCCCGCATATACGCGGATCGTAGAATGGTAGACTGGCAGATTGGATGGTCGAGCACAACAAGGTGATGAATTCACGCTCCTGTGGTGCGGTATGTAGTACGTATATCGTCACGTTGAAGTAGGATACGTTCCGTGGTATGCCGAGATAGTAGTATATATATGAGTGCGCATCTCGCAAACTTGCAATCATATACTACACACACTCAAACATACATACATACATACGAATAAGCAGCCTAGAAGCAACCTCAACACCCAATCAACACCCAACATACCACCAACATATAAACCCCAGCAAATATTCACATATCCATCCTACAACTCCAAATTCCCAAATCCTCCATTACTCGATACACCGGGCCACTACTCTCCTCTACTCTCCTCTCCCCTACTCTCCTCTCCCCTACTCACTACTCTCCCCTACTCACTACTCTCCCCTACTCACTACTCTCCCCTACTCACTACTCTCCCCTACTCTCCTCTCCTCTACTCTCCTCCCCTACTCTCCTCTCCCCTACTCTATCCCACCCTATATCACCACCACCAACACCCAGCCCTCTCCACTCCCACTCACACCCATCCTCCCCCCTCATCCTCCCAAGCCACTGCTCTCACCACAAAATACAACGTAGAACACGCACAATATACCACTATCACGATTCATAAAGACTAGACTAGACTGTGATGACCGTGACTGTGAAGACTGTGTGCATCTACAGCACCAGCCTACGAGGTATATACATATCGAACTTTTTGCACCCAAAGATAGCCCCGAAACGCCGTTTGATATGCACACATTACACAGACACGGACACAAACACAGATACACATCGCACTACTCTCCTTCTCCTTCTCCTTCTCTCCAATCCTCTCCCTCTCCCTCCCTCTCCTTCTCCACCCCAAAACAACCCCTCCTCTCCACCCCAATACAACCCCTCCTCTCCACCCCAATACAACCCCTCCTCTCCACCCCAATACAACCCCTCCCCCCAACCTACGGCCTAACCCCAAACCGCATCCGCACCCCCATACTAGCAAGCTCACAATCCAACAACCTCAACACCCCCGGCACAGCAACAACAGTCACATCCTCGCCACCCACCCACCGAACCCCCTGCCCATCCTCCCAAACCTCACACCTCGCCTCCTTGCCCTCGGCGCGCCGAGCACACCTCCGACACCTGACGGGCCCGCCACTATACTTATTAAACCGGCCACGCGCGGCAAACGGATCAACACTAGGCAGCGTAGCCAGAAACCCGCCGCAGGAGCGACAGCACCAGGCCTTCTGGTAGTCTGAGCAATTCATGAGGCGATCCTGGAGGAGGTAGGCCGCGCCATGGGCAATCAGGGCGTCGCGCTCCATTTCGCCGACGCGGATGCCGCCGCCCTTTTTGCGGCCCTTGATGGGCTGGCCGGTGGTCGGGACGACGGGGCCCGTTGTGCGGACCTGGTATTTGTCGTTGACCATGTGGCGCAGACGCTGGTAGTAGACGACACCGATGTAGATGTCTGCGGCGAGTTCCTCGCCTGTGATGCCCGAGTACATGGGCTCGTTGCCGTAGTAGTTGTAGCCTGCGCGACGGAGCTGGTCGCCGAAGAAGGCGACGGCGGTGTGGTCTTCGGACCAGCGCCAGGGGGTGGAGTCCTGGGCGAGGCCGTGCAGGGCGCCGGATTTGCCGGCGAGGGACTCGACGAACATGCCGATTGTCATGCGGGAGGGGAAGGCGTGCGGGTTGATGATGACGTCGGGCTGGATGCCGGATTCGGAAAAGGGCATGTCGGTGCTGGGCCAGCGCTGCGAGCAGACGCCCTTTTGGCCGTGGCGGGAGGAGAATTTGTCGCCGATGATGGGCGAGCGCGGGATGCGGAGCTTGATGCTGAGGGTTTGGCAGGGCGTGTTGCCGTCCTCGGAGCCGATGAGGCGGACTTCTTCGATGAAGGCGTCCTCGTCGTCTTTGTATTTCTCGATGTGGGTTTCTTGGTCGTTGTTGATGTATGTGTGGGTGGCGGCGTCGTAGGAGACGTTGTGGTATGCCGCGATCGGGTCGCCCTGTTTGATCTTGGCGCCGACGATCGGGAGGCCGTCGACGTCTATGATTTCTTTGTATTCCGCCTTGAAGATGCTGCCTGGCGCAATGCCGAAGATCTTGCTGATGGTCTTGGCGGAGTGTTTGCGGTTGTTTTCCTCCAGTGGGATCTTCTTTGTCTTGTAGATGCTTCCGTGACCGAACCCGCGTTCGTGGCCGGACTTGTTCAATATCATGGCGTCGTCCATGTCGTACCCGGTGTACGAAATGACGGCCACGACGGCGTTGGTTCCGTTGGGGAAGTTGTCGAAGCCGTAGTCATTATGCAGGGGAGCTCGGACAATCGGCGTTTGACCGGCTTGAAGACGATAAGTCTTGTTGTCGGTACGGTACCGCAGTGCTGTTCCTGGTGTTCCCATGGTCTGTTTACCCATCTGACACTGATACATATTTCTTGGAGATTGGTTGAAGTCTGAAAAGGGCGTCATATTTGCGACAATGGAGAGGATGTTTGTAGGATCGTACTCGACATGAGTGGTATCCCCTGATTCAATCTCATGCTCTCTACACGCAATTGACATATACGGTTGCTCAAACGGACCAACGTAGTCCAGCTTGTCGAGAGGTAGGTACTTGACTGGTCGGTAGAATCGCGCCGGGTGGGAGAACATGTACACTCCCGGATATGTGCCACCGTTGGAGTTCGGAATATAGCCGACCTCAAGCTCCAGTGGAACGCCATGCGTACCCTCTACTTTCCAGTATCGTATTGTCTGTGCAATCATTTTTGCTTGTTTCGGTGCGCAGAATCCCAGTATGCGCCCATCGAGCTGTACTACAACGCTATCTTCAGGCGATGCCGACGACTTAGCTTGTATTCCAAGGCCTGCGACCAGGTCTGGGATCTTCGAGGTGTCGACCGGTTTGGTGGAGATTTTACAGGTATGGGATAAGTGATTGAGGAGACCACAAGGCGCACCATCAGGCGTATGCACAGGGCACAGGAACCCCCAGCTCTCCGGTAACAGCTTTCTCACTGTAGTTGTACGTAGCTCGGCAAAGAAGCTACCTCTGTGAATCATGCGGAAATGGCTTATGAAGCGGTAAAAGTTGAGCTTTTCGGCAGCAACGGTAAAGCCCGACACCTGCTGTAGATCCAGACCTGAAACACTCGTCAGATTGCCAGTGGCAAGAAAGTACTCGAGCATTTGCCCGATATTTTGATTTGTTCGTTTCAGTATCTTCGAGTCGAAGGTGCTGGATGCGAAATTTGGAGAGGTGAAGGATACTCCAGGGTTTGATCTCAGCCAATCGTTGATCGATAGACGAATTGAAAGTAGCCACTCCTCCAGCTTCTCTTTCAAAATCATGCTGTACAAGAATCCACCCAGCAGGACTTCTTGATTCTGCACGGCGTCAGGGTTGTCGACTGCGCATTCACCTTCGACGAGCGAGAACAGCTTCTTGATCATGAACAGGAGAAGACGGAACTTGTCTCTGTCCTGGCTCTCGGTAACATTTGAAGCTCCTAGATGAGGCAACACAATCCTCCTGAGAAATTCGGTACCAGCCTCTTCGTCCGTGACATCCTCTGCAAGTTGCAGGACGACCTTGAACTTATTGCCTAAATAGGCTCGCGTCTTCGATCGTCCGTTCAAGTTGTATGCCTTGTATGTTCGGATCATGGCTTCTACGCGGTCAATTACGAATTGCTTGTCGTCTAGGCCTTTCGATCCCGGTCCACCCACAATGCCCTCGAATATTTCGCGATCATTCGTCTCCACGAGAGCCTTTAGTATCATGGACACCGGGATCAGGTATTCGTTCTTCCGCCACGAACATCGAAACGTGACATTGCCGTCGTTGAGGTAGTGGAGGCATATAGTTTGCGATGTCTCGTCTGGTCGCGCAGATCGTAATAGTATGCCATGTTTGGTGTATCGCGGGCCCCGCTTTGTAAATGACGGTCGGTTAATCGCGAGAGGGTAATTTCGCTTCGTTAGGATGAGCATTCGAATGAGCTTCTCGATCCCGTTCACAATAAAATAGCCACCCAGCTCTTCAGACTCCTCCTTGGATTTCACCAACTGATATGGGGTCATATTCTGCAGGTGACAGCGATTCGTCTATAGTGCCCGGTCAGAACCTCAAGTACTGCTATATATAGAGCATTACTTACCCGAAGCATGACTGGAAGCTGGCCGAATTCCCGCACAGACTCGAGCCATTCTCCGCTGTTTATCTTATACTCTAGCCTTACTCTCAGTCTTGCGCGATATGATGAATGCCTCTCCCTGCACTCGGCCGGCAGTATAGTTCTGTTAAGCGTGAACTTATTCGTAGGCGGTAATTCAGGCTTCTCCAGCAGAACTTCCTTGATACGCACGCTCAGGCGATTCCTTGTGGGCGCACCGCTTGCCACATCCTTTCCTGAGCCCGCATCCAAATATACCTTGGTGCCAATCTCTTTCAATCCTTCACTGAGGATTCCGCCCTTCTCGAAAATCGCATTGAACGAGTTCACATGGGGCTCTATGGCAGCAGCGAGCATAGGATAGGCGGTGTGATCTTTAGGGGGGTTTCGAAAGAGGTGCTGCCGCCGCAGCGTGTCGAACTCTGTAGACCATTTTGTGCTCGTGGGTTTGGAGGCCGGAGGTGCCATTTCGCAGTCGGAGGTGGGTCCCGGATCGGGACAATTCGACGACGATAAGGTTGGGGGTGAGAAGTGAAGAGAGTGTCTCTCCTTAGATCGCACCCATGCTCAATACTCGAGTCTAAAAGGAGTTGTCAGGGTGGTGAATGGTGCAGATTATTGACCAAAGTTGTGGCGCATAAAAGTGCAAGCAGACCCGAAAAAAGTTTGGAATTTGCTGCTCGCCGATCGCGCCAAGGGTAGCTGCGATAAGATAAGAGCTGAGGCAGACATATAGATGCCTGAGGCAGGTATGAAGATCTGACTCCACTAACTTCAGGCAGAGAATAGTATGTAGTAATTAGCCTCAGGCAGTAACGAGTCACTGCAGCCTGAGGCTCAAAGTCCGTGTCCCGCCTGCACAAATGGAGGGTAATTAAGAGACAGACGGCTTGCATTCCCGCCCAGTGATTCTGCTGCACCGTCGTGTATTGTGCATTAATATATGTATAAAAGTTCCTACAGTATATATACTACAGTATTCTCATTGCACAGTCGCGCACATATGGGGCCAGAAGTGGTTCAGGACTCCAGCGAGAGAGAGAGGACTAAGCGCCTTTGCTTTGCTTTTTCCAAGCTTCTGCCTCAATAGAGAAGAGAGGATTTGGGTAGCACCCGGTAATAGACGCTACAGCCTACAGCCTAGAATTAGTTATTTGCATCATGCGAGCTCTGTTCGTCACATAATAATTTCAGAGATTGTTTACCTAGCTGCCTACTGTTTGACTGCCGTTCTATATACTTTGTGCCGCAAACTACGCCGCTGTCCGGCCGTGTTGTCACGTTTTCCGTTTGCGTTTGTTGCCCACTCCCGCAGCCGCAGCACCAGTTTCCAGCTCCCCAGCTCGGTCGGTCGCGCCTTGGGCTTTTTTGGTTTTCAAGCCACACTCAAAAAGAGCCCCGCAGCACACGCCAAACTTACCTACCGACCAGGATTCCTCATTCACTGCACACCATCACCAACTTACCTTACCCTCTTTTCCGTTTCCATCTCCTGCAAACGCTCGCCCTGACTCTCATTCTTCGCTCCCCTCGACAACTTTGTCTGATTGTCTTGCCATCATGTCGAGCTTCTTTCGCCGCATGTACGATTGGCTTCTGCGCCTGTTCTGGTCAGTCCACTGCCTTCCGTCTGCCTGATATCCTCCGCCGTCACCCCCGCTCCCTCAAGCTCTAGAAAGGGCGTTCTGGCTGCCTGTTTCGCCTTGCGAGCATGCGAGTCAGCTGAACATAAGCATCCCGACAGTGTGCTGACTCCATGTGTTTGCAACTATAGGGCGACAGAGATGGACATCACCATGATCGGTTTGCAGAATGCCGGCAAGACGTCGTTGTTGAGAGTTCTAGCGGTGAGTGCTCATTGTTTCGGGAGATGCCCGTGCGACGTGTAGGCGCTTGGCCTACTGGATTCCATCCTTCCCCACTAATGCTTGAACAGGGCGGCGAGTTCACGATAGAGTATGTGCCTGCTCATGCTTTTGTTTCAACGGCCGTGGTTGCAATTCGATGGACTTGTCGGTTGCATCCCATGCGCTGATTGCACCATCCTCGCAAGCTCGTGTGTTTGCTGACCCGGCCTCTTCCTCTTCTACAGCTCTATTCCCACTGTGGGATTCAACATGAAGCGCGTCCAGAAGGGTCACGTTACTTTGAAATGGTAAGTAGTCTTCACGTGCTCTGCGTCTTGCAAGCTCCCATGCAACTCTTAGTACAAGAGGCTTGGCGTGAAGGATGGACCAGATGACCTTTTGCATGACGATCAAATGTTCGCTAACGACGTGCTTGGCGTACAGTTGGGATCTTGGTGGGCAGCCTCGCTTTCGTTCGATGTGGGAGCGATACTGTAGAGGAGTGAACGCGATCGTGTAAGAGGTTTGAGGAGTAATTCGGATGTGCATATCGCTGACGCTGACAAGGTTCATCGTGGACTCTGCTGACCGGCAAGCGCTGCCTGTAGCACGTGAGGAGCTCCAGATCTTGTTGGAGAAGCCTGCACTCGAAGGTATTCCCCTATTAGTACTGGGAAACAAGTCCGATCTTGCGGACAAGCTCTCGGTCGACGAATTGATCGAAGCCTTGAATCTGACATCAGTTGCCCATCGTGAGGTGAGCTGTTACGGAATCAGCGCCAAAGAGGAAACCAATCTCGACGCAGTCCTGCAATGGCTGGTCAATCGAACGCGATCTTGAATCGACCTTGGTCACGCCTCAAACCCACGCTTCATCGCAGCCAGACAGTAGGTGGAAGGATGGACGACGATAATGACCTCGACACGACTCCTACGCGGCATTTGAATTAGCAAGCAACAGCATTAATACGACATTTTCTAACGAGTGACGATTTGACGGAAAGAAAGACAGCAGCTCTACACTGCACGGCTAGCAATGGCCATTTCCCGACATAGTACCAGTTGTCTCTGGTATCGCGTTCCTTTTGTTTCAGCGATTCCAGACATTCTTACGGCCCAGTCTACGACAAACACGAGCGTTTCGCGCAACGGGTAATTGATCTATATCCGGCAACGGTGCAATGTAGATTGAGGATTTGAGGGTTTTGGGATTTCTGCAGTTCCATAGTCATAGGCGGTTTTTCATGTATCAATTCCCCGATGTTCAAAGATTGGCTTAGTAACTTGTAAAGACCCATGAAAGGCGTGAGAAGCGGGGGTGGTGACGGAAAATGGTAATGTTATCCTCTCCAAGTTACTATCTCCGATACCAAGCTGTGTGCGCGATTGCAGGTGCTGAGAGAGCGACTTTCAGGTGACAATGAATGTTGAAAGCGGCGCAGGAGCATAGAATGGTTCGCGTGATCAAGCAGAGGAAGAACTTGAAGAAGAGAGTGAGTAGAAGAGGGAAACAGTAAGGAAAGGCATGGTAGAATGTTATTTCGTCGCAGGACCCGTAACGGCAGAGCTGCCACTTCATCTTGCATGAAGCTAAGGAGAACAGGGGTGCTTCTGGCCGACCATTGGCTGTATGTCTGGAGAAGAGCTCTCCACGTAACCAAACTATTCTTCGTCAGGACTCATGATTGACCCTTTTCCACGTTGTAACATGCTGCTTGCTGGCAACTGATGGATGCACGAAACATTTTTAGTCCGAGAGTGTATATGGGCGTGGGAAATTTACTGACAGAACACTCATAGCCTCCAGAATGCGCCGCTCAGCTGCCATCTGTCATAAGACATCTGCTACGGTGAATACACAGCCAATACCATTGCAATAATAGACGACAGTATTGACCGAAATAGTGTGCAATGGTCTTAGGCTATGTGAAATTGTTTCACGGACGTGATCTGTAGCCACTGGCCGGATCAGCAAGCGGCCGAAAAGTCGCTACAAACAGAGCTTGACATCGCATGATAAGCTGGAGCTACTGATGAGATAGATGTAGCGGCTGAAGGAGGACACTCAAAACATCAGAGCGTATGTTGAGCGTAATTATTGTGCGCGTATCGTGTAGCGCGGAATGAGGGGGCTATGAGTCTGTGAGAAAAACAATCCGACGTTATGCTGGAAATCCTCACTCACACACAGCCTTGGTCAGCTTTGCGTATACGTTATAATTATCGAGCTTCTATCGTCTCAAGGATGATGGCTGGGTGATTAGAGGGAAAAAAGCGCGTGCTGGCGAATCCAGGTGGCTTTGCATTTGCCCAGGTGGGACCGTGGGCACCTGTTTCCAAAACATGATGCAGGGCTCAGCCACACTGTGCGTCATCTTTTCCTGCCGAGCGCGCCGAGCACCACCCACCAGGCATACTATTAAGAAGACGCTCCTTGGCTCGCTTCCATACATCATTCACTTTTGCATATCCATTTCTTCGTCCAGTGAAGGAAACCCACTTTACTCGGCTCCATCATGATCTTGCCAAGGGACTACTACGAGTGAGCTTACCCTGTTTCTACCTCCCGCCATCTATATACCTATGACGACTACCCGCGCTGCTATTGCTGCTTCCTTCGTCACTGATCTCAGCTTCAACACTGTGTGCATATTCAGCATTCATTCACATCATCCATCCATTGCACCTTTCTTCCTCATCTCTTACAACGAGCCTCTAACGTTATGGCTAGATGTCGCGATGCCTACACTGGCAGAATATACAGATGCAATAGTGCTTGGTCCGATTGGGTCCGCTGGGTAGTACTGGCAGTCATCGTCATTGCATTCCTCCTCCTCTTCTTCCTATGCTCGTAAGTTTGAATCATTCTCGAATGCCTCATAGTCCCTCTTCTGATTACATCAGGTGCATCACCGCTCGTCGTCGAAGAAGAGCAGGTCGCACTCCCTTTTACGGCACCGGATGGGCCGTTGGTCGCACAGCACCAGGCCATGGCGTGCCCACCTACAACAACAACAACCAATGGGCTCAACCTGCACCACCATACACCCCTTCAAATACAGGCACTCCTGGTCAGGGTGGATACTATGCGCCACCTCCTGGTGCACCACCAGGCGAAAACGCTGGATACTATGGGAACCAGCATAACGGTGTAGAGCTTCAACAACCACAACATGCCCACAACTACAACCGCGGCGGAGAAGACGTATACGCACCACCCCTTGGCCCCCCACCCGGCAAGAAGGACGATGGGATCATCCGTTAAAATCGCCTACGCGCTTTACAAAGACAACATACACTACGTTCACTTCGACGAGACTAAAATGGTGCTATGGGCTTACATTTTCTGACATGCCCATCAAATCGTAAAATAACAATGGTCAGGCAAAAGCGTCTGCAGTAATGGACGGTGGCTAGGGTTTGGGCTTTCGCGGAAATTGGGAGAACGGCGTTATGAAGAGGTGATATCCCCGTGCTGCTAGTAACAATACTTCATACAAAATAGTTAAATGGCCACTCAAGGATTCATTTTCCATTGCACTGTTCGGGAATGAGAATATATGCGTTTGATGTGCTGTACTCTCACGTTCTATAATATATGTTTTGACCGAAACCGGAGCTACGCGAATTGCACTAGTAATAATTGAACGTGGTTTGTTGAGGAGAGAAGCCAATAGAGTTGTGGAGCTGAGGTCATGTGACCAAGTCCATCTAATCAATCTGATTCTCGATTTGATTCGCCACACCGATGATGTAGCGCTGCCTCGGATCCGACTTTGCGCAGGACCGACACCGACAAGTGCGGGCGTCATTTATCAAACTGTCGACTCTAGATTCACCATCCACCATTCACCACCTCGTAATCCAACCCTTCAACATCCACCTACCATCGTCTCTCATCTTCAAAGAGTCGCCAAAGGAACTTTTATCCCCCTACAAGCTACGCGAACACCTTACAATTATCATCATGCTGCAGAGATTTGTAGCTACCGCCCCGGCTCGCGCTGGCAGGATTATCTCAACCGCTGCAAGACCTCAAGTCGCCGCTCCACTCAGAACCGCACAGCCAGCAGTTTCACGACTCCAATCAAGGCGCAACTACCATGAAAAAGATAAGCGTCCCTCGCGTTACGACTGTTCAGTCGTGCTGCGGTCGTCTCACCTCCCAGTGATCGACCGACGCGCTCCTCCCAGGGCAGTGCCCAAGCCTGACATATCACCTTTAAAATAGATTGGAACGCTCAGCTAACACTCGCAGCACTGCTCGACCATTACAACAACCCCCGCAATGTTGGATCAATGTTGAAGACTGATACCGATGTCGGAACGGCACTCGTTGGCGCACCGGCGTGCGGAGACGTGATAAAGCTTCAGATCCGAGTGGACCCCAACGATAACACCATCAGCGATGTCAAGTTCAAGGCCTTTGGATGTGGTTCGGCAATTGCAAGTTCAAGTTACTTGACAGAGTTGGTGCGTGGGATGAAGCTTGAGGATGCGGCCAAGATTCGGGATGCCGAAATTGCGAAGGAATTGTGCTTGCCACCTGTGAAGCGTAAGTTCGCATTACTAGCCCGTGATTCTTCTGCATACTGATGTTCTCGTGTAGTTCACTGCTCTGTGCTCGCGGAGGATGCCATCAAGTCGGCAATCTCGAACTACTATACCAAGAACCCGAAGGCCAAAGCGACCGATCTCGCTGGAACAGGAGGTGTGATGCCGAAAATTGAGATTGAGATGCAAGATACGCCCCAGCAGGCGACTGCATGATGGGCTCACAGCCTTTACTGGTCTTCTCTTCTTTGTTCAATAGTTCTTGATTGGTGTTATTGCATCACATTCATTAGGCGCAGGTGGTGTCGGTGAGCCTCTCTTTCATGTCATGTGCGTCAATGATGCACTCGCTTCATGGCTCGATATCAAAGCAGTATTTCGACGATCTTTTTTGATCAGTAGTTAGCGGGCAAAAGTGTTCTAAGAGAGAAATGAAACTTTATGAATAATACAATCTAAAAAGGCGCGTACAACGGTGATGATTGTCAAGGAGATTGAAATGTCCCAAACAGTGGTCAATACAATGAGTCGTAAGAATGAGAAAAAGAGATTATGGGACGGAGTTTGAGCACCTTTATGGCATCTATTCTTAGTGGCGAATGAACGGGTCTTTGGATATCTGATGGCTTTTTTTTATCAGATGCCTCCTGGCTCCTGCCTGCCTGCCACCCTACTAAAGGTATGCGACGATTACCAGCAAGACAAGTAATAAGTCATACCACATTCGAGGCGACAATGGATGATTGCAACCAAACCCCGGGTACACACACTCGCGCTTATGAGCAAGTCTATACAGCTTTTACGTATGTATGTATATATACCGTCCCTCTGAAGTCCCGATCCGACTACCACCGCCACGAACCTACACATCAAATTCGGATCAGATCAAATCCCATAGTCCGTCAACAAAGATGCAGCAAACATGGATGCAGTGCCATTACATTCCAGCACACAGATGATATCGCAAACACGCAAACAAACGCTAGCATATAACCCAGCTGTGCATATATCTGATGATAATTCTATATCTCATATTGTAATGGGATAAAGCTATGTACGCTCGATGTTATTACATACAGGAAGCACAAGCTTACGACTCTACGCGACAGCCCTAGAAAAATAGATATTTTCAATATGCTGCAGTAATTATATATGGACGTACAGTACTTGCAGCCGCTCAGCAACAGCAACAACGAGCGTTGGTAGCCGTTGCTTGCCGCCACTGCGAGCCGGCTGCTTTGCCGAGTCTGCTCCCCGGACCGCGCCCCCGCCCAAGCTCTAATAGTTACTAACTAGTGGCTGTGGGGTCGTGTGTGGTAGCCTGTAGGTAAGCTTTCCCTCGAGGATCTCCGGTTGTGTGCTTCGAATGGGATGTACCCGCGTGAAGCTGCCGAAGTACACGAGGTGCTGGACAGGGCTTGTTTGTGTTGCTTTTATGGGCTTATAGGGGTGTGGATGCCCGGTTTGTTATGCGCTGATCCTACCCTCTCAGTTGCCTGCGACTTTCTGAGCTGTTTGGGCTTGCTTTGATCGGGATGGTTTCCTTCACACTGTCGGTGCGGGCTACGGCCTTGTACTCGCGGTCGGCCTCAAGGGTGAGTTAGCTGCTTGTATGGTGTGCAGGTCAATTGCTGATGTTCGGTAGCCGTTTGCGTCCACTCGATCGTTCTCCTGCACGGCACGCTTCTATGAGATTAACAAGATATATCCGTCGGCGAAAGAGGCTATCAAGGATATGAAATCAGACTCAACACTCCTCTGTGGTGGCTTCGGATTGTCTGGCGTAGCTAACACGCTCATAAACGAAGTCAAAGCCACTCCCCATATCAAAGGACTTACTGCAGTTTCAAATAATGCCGGTGTCCCGGGCAGTGGGCTGGGACTGCTGCTGGAGTCTAAGCAGATCAAGAAGATGATTGCGAGTTATATTGGCGAGAACAAGGTTCTGGAATCGCAATATTTGGACGGCTCAGTTGAGGTCGAGCTCACTCCACAGGGCACGCTGGCAGAGAGGTGTCGCGCTGGTGGCCACGGCATACCGGCTTTCTACACTCCAGCAGCATTTGGCACGGTGGTGCAGACCGGAGAGCTACCCATCCGCCACAATCCTGACGGCACGGTCGCTGAATACTCGAAGCCTAAGGATGTCAAGGTCTTCAATGGCAAGAGCTATATCATGGAGGAAGCAATCAAAGGTGACTATGCCTTTATCAAATGCCACAAAGCAGACAAGCTGGGCAATCTCCAATTCCGCCTGGCTGCGCAGAACTTCAACGGCGCCATGGCACGCAATGCGACTGTCACCATTGTCGAAGCAGACGAGATTGTTGAGCCCGGCGAGATCGACCCGGTCGCCGTCCACGTCCCTGGTATCTATGTCGACCGTGTTATCCAGTCTCTCGCTCCCAAGGGTATCGAGAAAATCGTCAACGCAAAAGCGCCCGGCGAGGAGAGCACCGCTGGCATCCTCGGCACCGGCGACACAGCTAGCAAGCGCGAGCGTATAGTGCGGCGTGCGGCCAAGGAGTTCAAGAACGGCATGTACGCAAACTTAGGCATTGGCATGCCGATGCTGGCGCCCAGCTTCGTCGATCCGTCTGTCGAGGTCCAGCTACAGTCTGAGAACGGCCTGCTGGGACTCGGTCCGTATCCGCAGAAGGGCGAAGAGGATCCGGATCTGATCAATGCGGGCAAGGAGACGGTAACGCTGAACCCGGGTGCCTCGTGCTTTGGGTCGGACGAGTCGTTTGGCATGATCCGCGCAGGGCGAATTGATTTGACGATCCTGGGTGGCATGCAAGTCAGTGCAAAGGGTGATTTGGCGAATTGGATGTTGCCGGGCAAGGTCAAGGGTTTCGGTGGTGCAATGGACTTGGTATCGAATCCGCAGAATACGAAGGTTGTAGTGACAATGGAGCATACCGATAAGAAGGGCAGGCCAAAGATCTTGAAGCAGTGTGAGTTCCCGCTCACGGGCAAGGCTTGTGTGTCGAGGATTATTACGGATCTGGTAAGTGTTGCTTGAGCTGCGAATATGAAGCCGTATACTGACTGGTGAATAGTGTGTATTTGATGTTGACTTTACGAACGGTCTTACCTTGGTTGAGCTTGCGGACGGTGTTACTGTGGATGAGATTAAGTCGAAGACGGAAGCACCTTTCAAGGTGGCAGACGAGATCAAGCCGATGCTGTGAGGTGAGGAGAGCCTTTGTTACTGCATTACTGAGCGAACTTGTATATATCTCCGTCTCTCAAAGCGCACTCTATAAAGCATCTTCAAGACGCGGCCCTTTCCAAGCGGATAGTGAGTGATTCGTGAATGATAGAAGTATGATTCTCCGTTGAGAGATGCTGTGAATCGCCCAACGCTTGATACATCAATAGCTCTATGAGTGGTATTGTTGAATTATTGTCATCATCTTAGGTGAAGTTTTGCGCACTATCCTATTGTTCTTGTCATCGTCAATAGGTCTCATGTTTTCGTACAGTGATGGATGGTTGCCAAGTTAGTCATCCATGGATCCGCATGGATCCATCCCTCGCAGGCTTCCCCACTGACTATTGCTTCACCAACCTCGTTTCTTCGTTCCTACTACGCCTCCAGATAGATTTCGCATCCGCACTCTGCGTTCCGACCCTTCGCCATGCTAACTGTCCTCACTTTGATTGTAAAATCTGCAGAGTAAGCAGACCGCCACCTCAACTATTCGCGTGCCCACGAACAGCCTCACATCGACATCCCATCGACGCCGCCGAGATCCGCTATCGTCATCCACATTGACAAGAGAATCCTCATGGCCGACCAAATGGCAGGCCAGCAAGGCCCTCCGCACTTGCGGCTGAACCCTCCGCTGTTGAAGGTTGAAGAGATCCAGCGCGCCACTTTCCTGGATGGAGCCACCAAGGCGAAATATAGCGAAGTATTCAAGAAGCTATGGAGCTACCTCGACACGAATCCAGAGTCGACAGAGTACAAGAATGCTGCCATGAGGCTACAGGAGTTCTCGGCGAAGTTGAGACAGATGGCGGGAACATACCGTCAACGCATGTCGCAGCAAGCACAGCAACAAAACCAAGGCGGGCAAGCGACTGCAAACGGGCAGCAGAATCAAGGACAGCAGAATCAGGGTCAAAATAACAATGCGCAACCGCAATCAGTGCAACAAAGCGCACAGTCCGGGCAGAACGGTCAACAGTCACAGCAGCAACAACCACAAAGCGCAGCTCAACAAGGCCAAGCGCGACCCGAGCAATCTGCTCAAGCGCCCAGAGGATACCCACAAAGCGTCATCAACCATATCCAAACATTTCCTTTCGTTCTACCTCTCGGCTTGGATCCACGCAGTCCAGAGGGGATAGAAAAGCTGAAGAATATTAAACAGGCGTACGCGACGCAGCTGACGCGCATGGAAAGTGCCCGGGTGACTATTGGGAAAATCAACGCACAATTAGACCAGCTGAACAAGAGCGGACAGCCCATCCCTGAGAATTTTTTGCGACAGAAAGCCGAGGCAGAGCAGATGCACACCACGTCGCGGAAATACGTGGAGGATTTCAGAACGAAGCAAGCTCAGCTTACACAGGAGCTCAAGGTCCGACAAGCCGCTGCCAAACAGGGACAACAGCCTGCGAATATGCAAGCTTCAACTGCTAGCGCTCAATCTAAGGTAGAAGGCAACACGGCTCCTCCTCCCCAGCAACAACAAGCCATGCAGCCACAGCAGCAGCAACAACAGCAGCAACACCCTCAGCAGAATCAACAGTCTCATCAAGCCCCTCCGCAGAATGTCGGACCAGGCGTACCCAGACCAACACAAAGCCCAGCGACCATGGGGCAACAGCAACAGCAGCAACAGCACTTCCCGCAACAAGGTCAGACGCCGAATATCGGGGCGCCAATGAATGGACAACATCAGCAGAATGGTATGCAGAATGGTATGAATTTCCAGAGACCACAGCCTATGCCTCAACAACAGAACCCCATGAGCGCGGGCCCAGGAGGACAGCAGAATTCTCCTCAGACCCAGGGTCCATCGCACAACAACCCCGTGCCCCTCTCACATCAAGATGCCGTTAGCGCCGCGCGCTCCTATTCCGATCCAAGGCCAAATGGCACTCCGCAGCAAACCTCAACGCCTGGCTTCAGCCCAGGGAACCAACGCGATGTCACGAATAATCCTAAGATGCCAATTCCCAAGCAGCTGAACGTTCCAGCTCCGGTGCCCGTCAACATGGGTCCTTCGCGGCCAACGATGGGTGGTAGTGGAGCTTCTGGTATGATGGGTCAGCCTGTGCTGAACAAACTCCCAGGCTATATGCTGGAAGGCGACAGCGAACGTGTTCTTAGCAAGAAGAAGCTCGACGAGCTAGTGCGGCAGATCACCGGCGGAGGCGACTCAGCTGGCGGCGAGACGTTGACGCCAGAAGTGGAGGAGGTAAGCCGCCACTACAGCCACTCTGGCTACATACATACATTACCACAAGCTAACAGCAGCCATCACAGACAATGCTCCAGCTCGCCGACGACTTCGTCGACAACATCATCTCCACCGCCTGCAAGGTCTCGAAGCTGCGCGAATCCAACCAGCTCGACATACGCGACATCCAACTCGTCCTCGAGCGCAACTACAACATCCGCGTCCCGGGCTTCGCCAGCGACGAGATCAGAACAGTGCGCAAGCTCCACCCGGCGCCCGGTTGGAACGAGAAGATGAAGGCCCTCCAGGCAGCCAAGATCATGGGCGGCAAGACGGACATGTAAAACACCAAAAAAACCATTTTAGATATATCTTTCAGGAGGAGGAGGAGGGGGATGGGTGACGGTTTCGACGTCAGGCGCATTTATCACATGGGGAATATACAAGGGGAATCTGGTCTCCCAAGGGACGGGACCCAATTGTTAGGGGGGGGGGCGCTACTGGGCGCTGGCGTAAGGTATGTTATTATCGATCGATCGGGGCTCATCACTGCGAAGATGTGGATTTTCTGTAATACCATTGAGATTGAGGTAGGTTTGAGGGGGTGGTGGGTTGGGATGGGATGGAATGGGATCATGCTTTGCCTACTTACTTACCTACCTACCTACCTACCTACCTACCTATACCATATTCTGAATAAGGATGCGTTTTACACCTCGTCGATCAGACGGACAATGTTTCCCGTCTTTGGTTCGACGCGAGAGTTGACTGGCTCGCTGGCTGGCTGACGTGCATGCATGCATGCATGGATTTTTCCTTATCCTATTCTATCCCGTTTGTAGGCGTTGGCGTTGGCGTCATACAGCTAGGTGATGATTTTCTTCCATCCATATATATATAGAAAGACGGGATGGATTGCAAAATGGCTCGATCGTTTCTCTGCCACGAATGCTGCTGATGCTGGTGTTGGTGCTGGTGGACTAGATGGTTGCAGCGGCGGCGAAGAGTCCGACCGAGACTGGACTTGAAAAGATCCCCGAAGAGTTCGAAAAGCTGGAGAACCTCGTCTAAGAAGACCTCGTCAAGCCAACCTCCAATCTCTCCGGCCTCGTGAGTTCCTCCCTTTCTCCCCCCTATTCCCCCAAACCCGCCTCGAATGATATCTTATATCTAAAACGCTCCCTCCAACAGCTTCTACAAACTGTCGGAATCCGTGACTTGTTGGGGTATGAAGTGTGAGGGTGTATGGGTGCGTATGAAAGAATCGATATGCATTGAGTTGCTCGTATTATATGGAACGTAGAACTTAATGACTCTCCATTTTGATAATTTTGACTAGAATTACAATAGTTATCATCCAATATAGTACCACGTGCCCTCCTCCCTCGTGAAGAGTCATTGTAATGACGGAAAAGGAAGAGGTTCAGATAGAACGACTACAAACGTAGAATTCGTAAACGAAAACGCCTATAAACCTCCCTACTCCTCAACTCTCAAGCACTCTGTCCAAGCACGGCACAAAATCTTCTGTATCAAGCGTTGTTGGGAGAGCATCACTGTAGATGATCATCATGTCCGTCCAGACAAGTTGATATTCGCATACGGTGTCGGAAACTGTGAAGAGCTGTCCTGGATAGACAGAATGACGATTGTCGAGGATGTCGGTATGTTTGGAGTTTCATCTAGCTACTTCAAACGAGCAAGGTAGAGGTCATGGTAGCGAAGATAATAGCCAGACGTCAAGAGCGGGTCGATGAGGGTGCCAATTAAGTATTCTGTGAGGGCCAGAACTGTATGCAGAATTGAAAGGAGCATGGTCAAAAGATCTTGCTGTTGGTATGCCGCGAGGTATACGTCGACGGGCTTGATCTGTGCGTATTCACCCTGCGGAGGGGAGGCTTCCAGTTTCTTGTCGATCCACCTTGGTCTCATTTGTATCGTTTTGCCGGGCGGATGACTTGACGGATCCAGGTGCAGTAGTGTCGGTATCTTGCGAGGCGTTTCGCTACAGTATGTGACTGCCGCGTCGCCCGATTACTCTCAGTGGAGCTCTGCGCTGTCAAACGAACCTGCTATCCCTGACGCCGCTGCTCTCTCGCAATCTCTAGGTTCTCCCAAGCCGCGCGGTCCGAGGTCTTCCTTGTGAGCATATGCGTCATGACGTGGGCGCAAATACCACGTGCAGTGTCGGTGGAGATGACTCGCTTTCTCAGAAACGATATATCATGATGGTCTTGCTGGTAGAGCTCTGTCAGTCGTACGATACATCTCCCAAAATGCTCCGCTGATTTGAGCGTCGTCGGATTTGGCGCCATCATTGATCCAGTGGTTTTATTTACAAAGAAGAGTAGAACGGCGACGTTCCTCCGATGAAGATGGCTGTTCTGCATGGGTCCGATCTCCTCACCGCGCTCATACTGCTGCACGGCCACCGGTGTGCCTGGCTTCCCAGGTCCCTCCAGGACCTCCTCCAGCTCTCGCAAGATCAGCAGAGAAGATTTGTGGCTGATGATGCGTTCAAACTCTGCCTCGCTGACCTTGCAGACGGCAGCAAGGTGATACCTTGAGCGCCACAATTGTGCCGGGAGAAAAAGTTTGAACGGCTCACATCCGTCGTGTGGGTGATTGAGGTCCACGATTTCCGGCTCTTTGAGTCGGTACAAGTGTTCGTGCTCTAGTATGAGCGCGGATGCAGAGAACGTCCAGTCGGGCAAGTGCCCCGAGGTCGCTTCTGCCACCTCTTTGCTTACTTTGTATTTCTGTAACGGGTCTGGCACATCTGTCATGTATGGCATCTTCGGTATATCCATTGTGTTTCAGCGAGGGAATTGGTAAGATTGGGTACGGTATACCGCACAGATATGAGCGACTAAGGTGTAAGGATAAGTCCGAATGAGGGTAGGATGGAGCGGAAAGTTTTATGGAAGAAATGACTTAAGATCTGAAAGATGTGGGTTTTCTGGTCTGGATTTCAGAAGGGAGGATTTGAGGAGGGTTCCCTGCCTGAAGAAGGGAATGAGTTTTGAGTCAATAAGCGAACAGTGGCTATGAGATGGAACAAGATAGAGAAAACGGACAGTGCCCGACAAGTGTCCAGGTTTGAGATATATACTGCCCTGGATAACTTGTTTAACTCTCCATCTCGATTGTGTTTGTTCTGCCAGTCTGCTCCTGCAGATACACTGCACTGTTCGTTAACATATTACATGTTGGAACCGTTGTTGTACAAAAAGGGATCTCGGTTATATTTATATCTCGGTTCCAGGCTGAGTCAATCCCCTGTCAATATACTATATGGACTTGGATACTGTGACCAGAGCTTCGGTTGTGTAACATATCCCTGCAGTTGCAAGCACACTGGCGTTAGGTGTACCTCCAATACAGTATCTCGGAAAGAAAGTTACCTCTTGGAATCAGAACACGGGAGGCCTCGAAGCAGGGCCTATAAAGATTTAATGCCAGATATTCTGATAATCATTCTCCAAAGAGAGGACGCCCGTAAAGGAGGAATAAGCTCAGGAAAATCTATATAGGCGACGCTTTACTGGTATTTGGTATTCTATACACCTCCCTCCAGACTGTATCGTCTTGTATATTCATTATTCAGGATCATTCACTGGCTGATGAATCGGACCCTGATAGCTAGTGGAAGGGCTCTCAATTCCTGCTTCATTGTAGCCTTCGTGTTGAATAAGATTATATAGCAAGAAGAGTCAAGGCCCTACAGAAGTCGAATCATACACAAGCTCGCATGCTTTTCAGTCGTTAAAAGTAATCTTTTCCATAATTCTGTCTTGATTCCTCCATCTTCAGCCTCTTCCTTGATGCAATCTTTCAGTCCTGTATAATCTTACACTTCATGATGTCGCTAGCCCCCTGGATTCCATTATCGGCAAGAGGGTAAGTATTGGTGAGCATTTCTATTATGATTCATGCCAAGTTTGCTAGAGTGATGGAAAACAATGGATTGAATGCTGTGCTAAGTTAGACAGTGTCTTGATGGCTGCGGTCCAGCTTTTGGAGGGGAGATGGCACTCCAGTGACTTCGCTTTTCATGTTATGTTTCCTATTTTGCATTCTTCTTGCCCCTATAGCGCCAATATATCCTTCTACCGGAAGTGCGAATGCCATAACTGCTATACGTCTTTCGATTTATCGGAGGTTCTCCATATGAACTGTTACGCCGATGATATTATTAGAGTCTCTTTGTGTCACGCCACACATTTCAGATTGGTGGATAGCAGCTGAACTGAAGAGCTTAGTACGTATAGATGGCTCATGTGATCTTAGCTATTGACTTGAACATCTAGAATCTCGATCGTCGAAGGATCATTGCGGTAGCCTATGTATGATACACATGTACCCCTTGGTTGGATCCTTCGCACCTGGGGATCTTTATCGAACTTATTTCGACTCCTTCGAGGAGACTAAACAAATATATATCGTGGAGTTGTAGGTGAAGATCGAGGACGGCTTCGTCGCGTGGTAGTTGAAATAGGTTCGTATGCGATTTTTGATCATGTTCATACGATAGGGGACATCGGAAGTGCTTCAATATCTGACCCTCCACGAGGGGTTGTTGTTAGAAAGATCGTCATCCCAGGAATCAGAGCAGGTATCTGGCCGAGCTGAGATAGTAAAGGTGTGTAATTGAGATGTGAGAGAAGCGATTTGAACGAGTGTGGATTTCAAGTACCGAGTTGGTGATTGTTCACAAGCGAGTAGGTAGGCTTTGTAGCTTCACAAAGAGACGTTGTTCAACATTGGCCAAGAAGAAATAGGAGAATGAAATTGAACAATTCTCAATGAAACGCACCAGTATAGTAAAGAAACTGTATACATGAACGGACTCTAGCCTCGACCTCAAACGCCATCATCACACAATTCGCGGGATCTTGCATCTACAGCGGCAGTTCCCGGTACGTATACAAAGCGGTAGTGACAGCATGATACCCCCTCCGTCCCACCCTCACCGCCAACTCACTCCTCCAATCTTCCCCCTTCATAACCTTCTCCAACGCCGCCTGAAACGTGTACACAGGCTTCCACCCAAGCTCCACCTGCGCCCTCGACGAATCATAGATCCGATCAAACGCATCCAAAAACTCCCACCCCAAGGCCCTAAAAGCCAGCTCCGTGCCCGGCAGCACGTCCTCTAGCACGCCTCTTGCGTCACTGTTCAGTCTCTGCAGCGTCTTCGCGTCGCCCGCGAACGGACTCGGCGCGCTGATGACATACTTTGCAAACCCGATCTGCGAGGCCTTCTCCATTGCGCAAATGCATGACTGCACGACGTCGTGGATGTCGACGCGGCGGTAGCACAGCTCGAGGACTTTGATATTGTCGTTGGACATGTACTTGCGTAGGCCTGTCTCGTCGTCGGGCTGTTGGAAAAAGCGACTGACGCGTAGGACAATGATAGGCATGCCTGTCTTTGTGTGGAAGAACTGGCATACATCTTCGGCGGCTGTCTTGCTGAGGCCGTAGATATTCTTGGGGACGGAGATCAGAGATTCTGTAAGTGGTGGTGGTGTTAGCTTTTGTGCTTGGTGAGGGGATAGGGGCTTCTTTACCGTCAACCCACACGGCCGGTTGGCCTTTGGAGGGGCTTAGTACTGAGCCAAATGCAGATGTTGTGCTAACATATACGAAGGATATGCGTTCTCTGCACTTGCTGACCTCGTCAACGAGGATATTCGTGCCGGTGATGTTTGTGGTGATGAATTCCTCGTTGGTGTGGGAGATGATATGAGGTTTGTGTAGGCCACCAGCGTGTATGACATATCTGATGCCGCGGTTGGTTGAGAGAATGTGAGAGATGAAGGTACGATCAGCGAAAGAACCGACAAAGCTTGTCGTTGAAGAAGGGAGGATGTCGATGCCCAAAGGCCGGTAACCTAAGCTTGGGAGGAAGAGCATCAGGGCATGACCGAGATGGCCAGCTGAGCCGGTGATGAGTACATCGTATGTTAAAGTTGGTGCTCTCATTTTGGTTTACAGAGACTTGACCCGGTAAATGAATAGATATAAATCCTATTGCAACTTTATGAGGAGGACCTGAAAGTACCGGTCTCTTGTCGAAAGTAGTAGACACAAAGACTAAAGGTGAATGGAGAGGTACAAATTTATAGAATCCAAGGATATAATTCAAAGGGAAGAGTGACCGTGACGCGAGGAAATGCAGGTTCATTCAAAGAGACCACAAGCACCACATAAACATCTCCTCTCCTTATGGTGGATCAAGTAAGACACAGCCTCTATCCTCTGACTGGCACATCGCCCCTCCGAAATGAAGCTACATTATTACCCATGCTTACCAGCGTATTCTTGGACACTCGAGGGCCTTGTGAGTCTATTCCTTCGCCAAGGTACCTAAAAGTTCGTCGTTATGAAGCTGTCCAATTCCTGCAAATACGTGATCCTATTCCCATTTCTGGCAAGTCTCGTCTCATCCGCTCAAGTCCATGTGATTTCCAGCCGCCTTTGATGGTGGTATTTTCAGAACCAGGCTATCCCGGTAGCCTTAGTGGTCAGGGGCTGCAATTTCCAGTATCGTGGTTGGGGATGCTGAGCATCAAAGATCGTAGCGCTAGCGGATAAACGTTACGAAGTCTCGCTAGAAGTCTGTGCTTCATGTTGATGATAGCGACCATCGACCAGAATGGAACTTGGACAAACTCTACTCCACTGGCTAACAGCTTGTGCCCGGGGCGGATTCCTAGCCTTGGCATCGTCGCCAAGTCGCCGGCCTAAACCCACGTAAACGTCGTAAGCGCTGGCATCGTACAATCTAGACCTTATACATGGGTAGACCTTAGTGCTGATGATTAGATGCAGCATCTTCTGCGATTAGTAGCTGATTCGCTTCGCATGACCAGTAATCGGCGCAATGTTTCGCCTACTGAGGTAGTATCAACAAACGCACGGGCCTCAATCCTTAGGAAAGCGATGTGCGTTGTGGCTGAGTTTAGTCGTGCAATGACAGGGCTTGTAGGCATTTCCCCATTTGGGGGCCATGAGGCACACGAATAGGTCGGGCATAACAATGTCAAACGAGTGAGGACCTTCGTCCTTTGACCGGATCAGAACTTTGGACTTGCGCTTCTGTGATCAGTTACTCCTACCTCGTCTTTCCAGTTGCACCAGTTTTGATCAGTACACATTGAATGAGCAAACATGGCAGCATTCTCTACCTTGTCCTCTTTGTATCGATTTCTCCTCTCAACATTCCAACCCTCACTGCCGCCCCCTGAAGCTTCGAAGATGGGAACTGTCAACGTTCAGAACTTCGACTACCATCAGTTTCGCCATTATGTCCTGGACGAGATCCCAGAGCAGTTTGCAACAGAAGATCTCATGCTTGCCGCAGGCAGGATCATACACGGAGATGCCACCCTCTGGCGTCTCTTCGGACTCGACGCCCATCAACTGGCGCAAGAAGGCGTCAAGATCCGATGTCGTACGCTTGTTGAGTGTATGATGGACGGTATGGCCCGCACCGTAGCACAGGACATCAACAAGATTGTTCAAGAATCGGCATCAGCCTCGACAACAGCCACGCTTGCGGTATATGATCTATTCTGCGGAAGTGGCAACTTCTCGTTTCACCTCTCAGAGCAGATCAATTGCACCTTGCTCGCGTCCGAAATGGATCCCAACGTATATTCAAATCTGAATGACAATTTCAAACAGTTGGGAGTGTTTGACCAAACACAAGACCGGACTTTGCAGATAGAGAATTGCAGCTATGCAGATTTGCTGAAAACACGAAAAGCAGCCTCAGGTCCTGAGGTCTACATAGTTGACCCACCCTTTGGCAGTGCATTCAGTGATGCAGGGATGGATTTTACGAAGACAGACCCCTCACTGCCTCAGATCCTTGAAGATATTAGGCCCTCAAATCGGGGGGTTCCTGTTTTTGTTGTGCTGAAAGGGACGGATAATGTTGTACAGCCGGCGTTCGATGACATATGGATAGGGGGTGAATTGTTAGCAAAGATCTCTGTTAAGCCAGAGCTGCCATTCGGAAAGAACGCTGTGTTCTACGTGTATCGGTATGGATCTCTATAGCTTCTCTAATAGATCCTGTCGTATAACAACATTCACTTCACCTTCACACTTTTTGGAACAATGCTTGCCAAGCGTCAGTTCTTGCTGTAACCGAACACTGATTACACCGCCCAATGAGTTGTATCATGAAAATAAGGCCCTTCTCTCCCTTGTCACCAATGCACTTTGCAAAGCCACGACTCACATGCAACTTGACAAACCGTCAGCAATTTAGTCAGTAATTAGTGGTGTCATCTCTCGACTGCATGTGAATTTCTGACCCCCGACTGAAGGTCGATTACAACGCACATGAGTATCAAGTAGAGTTGACACGCTGACCTGCATGACTGGCTCTCAGTATTTCTTGGCTCTCTCAAGCAATATGCCCAGCTGAGATTTGCTTTTCACACTAATAGCAAGCGCCAAACCCTCTGGGGTTTCGGCCCCAACGGTCCGAGCCCGGCCCCCCCCGGCAGGCTGGGCCTTATGACAAGCACGGGCCTCCACGAGAATGGTCTGAGCTGGCTAGGGAGGCGGAGGCGGAAGGCGGAAGTCCGCGTTTTCTTTTTCCTCTTTGGCGGAAGCACTGCAGTCCCATGTTTAGAGTCACCCCTGCAGAGCCCACAAGCTACGCCAAGTGCCTGTTCGTCTGATGTGGCGTCTCAGCGTTACACAGTACCTGTGTACTCGTTTATTCCCACGTTCGGCGAGTAGGCAGGCGACATGTCTGGACGTTTGTTCGTGAGAATTCGTTGTCAACACTGACTTGGCATTCACGAGACTGTCTGGTGGTTTCTCTTCACGACATGAGACTTTCCTGTGGACGATCTTGATCTGAGATATTCACGCCTTTGATCTTCCCACTTCGTGCCTGAGATGGCATCGCGAGAGAATATGCTGGAGCAGTCTCCCGAGAGACAATGCTCGAAACCGCCGGTCAAGTCGAAGGACAAGACGTCCATTATGGAAGCTCTACGCATTACAGTGATTATGTTGACGTTATCGTCGATTTTGTTCCTTGCAGCGTTGGATATGGTAACAAATCAGCAAGACTCTGCATGCAAGTACACTAACACCGGCGGCAGACTATCATTGCGACAATTGCACCAACAGTCTCGGAGCAATTCGCTTCTCCAACTGGCTATGTGTGGGCCGGTTCATCATACCTGCTGGCTTCTGCCATATCGACCCCTTCGCTTGCTAGATGCAGCGATGTTTGGGGACGCAAACCATTGATACTCGTGGCAGACTCGCTGTTTCTGCTTGGTAGCTTGCTAGCTGCGACGTCTACCTCGATGGCGATGTTTCTGGTTGGCAGAGCGATACAAGGAACCGGTGGGGGAGGCATCATTGTCCTGGTTCAGATCATCATCAGCGATCTCTTCAGTGAAAGGTGAGTTCAATAAAGAGTCGAGTGGCTGGTCTTCTAACATGTCGAAGGGATCGAGCTGCATATTTATCTGTGATCGAGGTTGTTTTCGCTGTTGCTTTGGCTGTCGGTCCTACACTAGGGTGTGTATCATCTCTGTGCATTGTTCTATGCAATTGGCAATTCTAACACCCAGCAGTGGTGTCATCACAGAACGAGCATCTTGGAGATGGGTTTTCTACATGAATCTACCAGCTGGAGGCGTTGCCCTGATCCTAGCATTCTTCTTCCTAGACATCCAGACGCCAGCATTCAAATTTCTTGAAGGTGTCGCCATCATCGACTGGACTGGAAGTCTTCTCATCACTGTGGGCACCGGACTGTTCCTTGTCGGCCTCGAGTTTGGCGCAGCTGCATATCCCTGGGACTCACCGCTTGTTATCTGTTTGATCGTGTTCGGAGTTGCGATTGCAGTCGTCTTCGTGGTGTGGGAGCTATACTACTCTACCAACCCTCTCATGCCCATGAAAGTATTCACGCATCGTAGCAGCTGTGCAACACTTATTGTGTGCTTCATGCACGGTCTTGTCTCGATGGCTGGGTCGTACTTCCTCCCACTATATTTCCAATCAGCGCTAGGCGCCTCTCCACTATCATCTGGAGTATACTTCTTACCCACGACGCTCGCTACCTCCATCGCATCGATCCTTGGTGGACTCTACATCCGAGCCACCGGTAACTATTTCTTTCCGATATTTGTTGGCCTGGTATTTATGACCGCTGGAAACGGCATGTTTGTGGACTTATCAGCGACATCTACACTTGCAAAGATAATCTTGTACCAAATTATTGCAGCTGCGGGTATCGGACTGAACTACCAGGCGCCCCTGGTTGGCCTCCAAGCGATGGTGTCTCCAGATAATGTTGCGAGCGCAACGGCAACGCTGAATTTTCTGCGCAATCTAGCGACTGCTATCTCGGTTATTGCTGGTGGTACAATATTCCAGAGCCAAATGAGCAATAAGCGCGACCGCCTGCATTCTTTGCTAGGGAACGAAATGGCGGCACGGTTTTCGGGAGAGAAGGCAGTGTCAAGTATACCTGCCATAGCAAGATTATCCTCTACGGAGCAGATTATCGTACAAGAAGCGTACGCCGATAGCTTGTCTGTTATGTGGATATTCTATACAGCTTTGTCGGCGGTGGGGTTAGTAGCTGCGGTGTGCATAACTCAATTGAAGCTCAAGAAGGAGCATGAGCAGATCTCCACAGGCATTGACGCTGAGATGAGGCGAATAGATGCAATAAGAGTAGAACGAGAGGACGGGAAATCCTGATCAGAACACAGTATAATTCATTCAAAAGTCAAGTCTTCATCTCTCCAGTACACCAAACTCTAGTCATTTACTCGTAAATCGTCCCCAGTACAGAAGTGAAACAGGCGTCAAACCTCACATAATGAATGAGTATTGCGTCTCTACACGAGATGCTTCATTCCTTAGGATACGGCTTGTGATCCACAATCTCAATGTTGTTCCTAGCCAACACGTTAGCACGACACCAAACACTCCCATTCCAAAACCACAAACTCACCCAACAGGATCAAACACAAAAGCCCCATAATAGTCCTCGTGATACATCGGCCTCAGCCCAGGCGGACCGTTATCCTTCCCCCCAGCCCCAATCGCCGCCTCATACCAAACTCGAACCTGCTCCCTCGCTACCACCACCATCAGCAACCACACTTTGTATCAAACCACAACTCCTCTCTCTCCAGTATCACGAAATTTTTTTTAAAAAAAAACTAAACTCACTTTCTGCCGTAAAGGCCAAGTGCAACCCACGCGTCTCCTGACTCGCATCCTTCGCCACACTGACCCAGAAATCCGACGGTCCGTCGGCGCCTATGCCGAACCCGACGGCGACGCCAAAGTCCATCTGCTTAGTGTAGCCTAGCGGCGTGAGTATGGCGAGGTACAATGCCACGGTCTGCTCGTACAGCTCGCTGGGCACTTTGATGCCGATGTGGTTCAGCTTGCCGGTGCCGTAGGGGTTGGGAGGGGTCATGGTGGAGCCGAGGATGTTTGATGGGATTGTCTACGCGAGCGTATGTGCGTGTGTTTGCGTAATGAAGCTGGATCGTGTCTGGAGTGGATAGAGAGGGTGGCTGAAGTGAAGACGTGCGAAACAAACGAACGAACGCGTCGTTGCGTCCACACAGTCCGGCATTTTCCTCTCCCGAACACGATTAGGCAACCAAGTCCAACACATCCATACCAAGCCACATACCTCACTCAGCTCGAGTTACCAAAAACGCAGAATAGCCGTCGACAAGCTTTCCCAGTGTAACCCTTCGCTCCCGCCAAGCATATCCAAGACAACAAAACACCCTTACCTCCCCAGTCAGCCCCCTCCCCCCCCTTTAGTTCCAGTGCATTCGGCGCTTATTTGCACATTTCATTGCTCCACCGTTCGCTTAACTAAAACACGCTCCAGCCTTCTTTCTGCGGGAGATCCACAGGGTCCTTCTCCGCCCCGGTCGGCCCCCAAACACATCCATGGGTCCTCCCCGGCTCCCACCTACATCCCATCTGCTATGCCAAGACGTCAGCCTAACTCCCATTCTGGGCGCCAAGTTAGGACGATAAACACTACACCTAATTACGACCCGTAGACCACTTAATTTACATACTTTGCTATCAGCCCTCTCGAAGGATTCTGGACTAACCTTGCCTCGAATGGGACAACAAGCTAGGTCTAAGCAGACACCGGGCACCGTGCGTCTCGAGAATGGATCCCCGACCATCCTGATTCAATCATCATGCTACCTAACGAACGCGTCTAGCGAGCTGTTCGTAGTTTGATCCAATCACGTCGTTGAGATTGGTAAACTGTAACTCGTGCTATCATACATCGACGACACTAGCGTTGTTGAGAAACCTTGAGGTCGGTATAGAGTACAGGATCTCTGGAGCTTTGACTATGTGGCAGTCTGTGCGGTGAATTTTGTCTCTACTGTGCCAATGAATGGGATGGAACTGTTGTTCGGCTACGATCCTACGTCTTCCTTCCAGACGTCGACGGAGTCAGCTGCGGCGAGACTTTTCCTGATATGTGAATTTGGAAAAAAAAGGTGAATGGGTAGCTTGGAGGGTTGTTGAATGATTGATTGTCAAGGGGCTTCTTCGCTGGCTCGCTTGAGTGTTATTGGATCTAGGTAGCGTTGCGTTTGGTGGGCTCGTCAAGAAGGCCCCCAAAAAATTGTGATGCTCCTGGTAGTCATGTTGTTATGCGAGCGGACAGGCATAGTGGGTATGATGGAGAGAAATAGTCTTGTTGTGGTGAAACGCTATGGTAGGATATAGACGAAAATACAAGCTCCAGGAAACATATATTAGTCGTCCAGACAATCCCCTTTTCCAAAGAACTACTCACTTCAGCAATCTATCCATCTGTTTATTCACTCCCCAACCAAAACACACCCCCTCACCCTCACCACTCCTCTCAGGGGCCACCTCCTCACAACAATCCCCTCAACCCCATCCCAAACCACCACAATGCTCAGCCCAACCCTCCTCCTCCTCCCCCTCTCCACCCTCCTCCCCCTCGCCCTCAGCACCCCCGACTTCTCCAAATGGGCGCCCCCAGGCCCAACCGACGTGCGCGGGCCCTGCCCAGCCCTCAACTCGCTCGCCAACCACGGCTTCATCAACCACACAGGCCGCAACCTGACCGTCGCCGACGTCGCAGCCGCCAACGAGGCCGTCTTCAACCTCTCCCCCGAGCTCGCCTCGACGGTCGCGCGCATCGGCTTCGAAGTCAAGCCCGAGCCGCGCAACGGCTTCTTCGACCTGCCCGACCTGAACCGGCACAACGCCTTTGAGCACGACGCCTCGCTGTCCCGCGACGACTACGACGACGAGGGCGTCGGCGCGGCCAACGTGGCAAGGTTCAGTCAGCGGCAGTTTGACGAGTGGTTCGCGCACTTTGACGGGCTGGACTATATCGAGAATAAGGTTGCGGCCAAGGCGCGGTATCATATGGTGCAGCGCAGTCGGGCGCGCAATCCGGCGTTTACGTATGAGGTGCTGCATCAGACGATTAGCTATAGTGAGACGGTCAAGTTTATGCGTGCTATGGTTGATGGGACGGGGAAGACGAAGACGGAGTTTGTGCGGATTTTGTTTGGTGAGTGGGGTGGTTTCGTACTTCTTTCCCTCTCCCATTCCCTCCCTTGATGCGTTTTGTGTGTGTGTGTGTGTGTGTGTGTGTGTGTGTGTGTGTGTGTGGCAGAATGAAGTGCTGACGCTGGGATTGCAGAGCAGGAGAGATTGCCATATAATGAGGGCTGGAGGCCTCCGGTCGACATGCTGAACGGGTTCCTGCTCGGTGCTGGGGCGCTGGAACTCTCGCTCTCGACTCCTGAGAAGGCGCTGTATCTGGACGAGGTGCCGCCCGAGGGCCAGGAGCACCAGACGACGTTTGACGTGCCTGTTTGCTACGGCACGGATAACCCAGACTCGACTACGACTAGGAGGCATGTCCGGGATTTCAATCAGCTTTCTTAGTGGCCCAAGGCCGCGAGGTGTGAAATTGTTCGTCAAACGGGGTGTTTCTCGGTCCGGTGGTGTGGGTAGAATGATGTTGTCTTGCAGCTTTTCTGCTTATTTCGGTTCGATATAAATATATTTGATGAATTTACTCGAGATCTGGGTGCCCGCGTGTGCTTTTGAAGCCTGGACGCTACTTGACTTGTTTGTCTTCATTTTCGATGTCTATCTACAGTCAGTGAATTCCAGACATGCCCCTCCAGAGATGCTTACCTGGAGATCCGTGGTTCGTAGCGCATTAGTTGTATGCCATTAGTATTACCAAGGTACACATCCCGTCCTGATGTGCAGGCACCCAACTGCTTGGTAGAACTGTAGTATATGTCTCAAGTATTTACATCTCTATGCTGTCCACGTATGTACATTCATACTCGTTATGCCGCGTAGATATATTCGCGAATATGCAGCTTCTCGCTCAGATCTCGCTCAGACCCCGCTCTTCCGTGGTCTCCCTCTCTTTCTCAACTTTACTTTCTCCACAACCTCGACTACCTTCTGCTTCCGCCAATCGCACTCTTCGGCAAACTCGCACATACCACACTTGTACGCCTCTTCAATATCTACACCCACAGCCTCACGTTCGCCCTTCCACCAACTCATCTCCTTCCCTACATACGCGTCGAGCTCCTCTTGATCGTACCGAAACACCTTGCTACCCAGCACAGTGCCGTCCCATGCACGGCGAAACTCGGCTTTGACGAGCGGCGAGATAGCTGCTGACGTGGGCGTTAGCAGGGGTATGGCACGCTTGTACTCGTTGATCATGAGAGCCCATAGTTGCGTGAGAGAATTGTGCTCCAGCAACTCGGAAACAGAGTCTTCAGCGGATTCAAATGGCGGATCGCTGGAGTCGACGCTCTCTTCGCGGAAGTTGAAGTCGAGCGCGCCAACCTGCGCAATGAAGCCATCTGTGAAGGGTACAGCTGGGTTGACGGAGTAGCGAGCGAACAGCGTTGCCGGATCGACAGAATTGGTGGCGAGGGTTGAGAGGATATGGTGATAGAGAAAGAGCTGCATCTTGGTTGGACGAAGAGCCGCACCTTGGGGAAGAGTACGGGCGCCGCGTGTTTTGACGTCTGTGATGTGAACTTGCTTCTGGGGGACTGTGTCGGAGCCGAGCCATGGTGAAGGGCCCGTTGGGTCTTCACCGAGGACAACTGCACCTTGGGTCCTAAAGAAGTCATTGATAGTGAGCCGTTGGTAGGGGTCGCCGCCGAGGAGGACTTTGCCTGAAGAGGTATTGCCGTCTACGCCATCTTCGGGTATAGCCTCGATTGTCTCTTCTCCTTCAACCGTCTCTAGAGGGGCACGGTAGGATAGCTCGTCAATAATACCGTTGACAACTTGTCCGTCGATAACACCCCATATTTCCATCTCTCGTGTCATGCCAGTAATACGTAAAGTTCGTAGACCTTGTATCACATTCCAGATCTTGAGTGCCCACATGTCTTCTTTTGTAGTGACATTGACTTCGACGGCCTCGTGTACTTCCTCTTCTAGCTTCTTGTGCACAGCACTGCCTTGCTTCATCGCGGGTGTCCGCCGCTTCCTTCCATGCTTGGTGAGAGTGTACCAGTATTGGAGTTCGCACCAAGCCGGAGAGATGAGGTCTGTAACCGAGAGAGGTTTCTTGGGCTTTGTTCGGAAGCGCTCAAGAGGTGATCGCGAATCATTCTCTAGGGCAGGCTCAGCCCCTGGGTCTAAGGGTGGCGAGCGCAGTGGATGGTCGTCTTGCGCCACTAAACGCTGTTAGCTGTCAGGGTTGAATAGACGATAAAATATGCGATGCGACCGATGCATGGCCAGAAGAGAGAGAGGTACTGACCGGACCAAGCTGTTCGTGATGGCTCGCTGTACTCGACCACAACCGAGCGCTGTCTCCGCTCCTCTCTTTCCTCGAGATATTTCTTGAGCTCTCTTTCCAGTTCAGCCTCAGTCTTCTGTGAAGAGGGCTTCGGCACATGTGCGACCGGATGAACATTCTCGATGCCTGCATCTTGCTCGATACTCTCGAGTACCAAAGGTGTTTCTGAATCAGCAACTGTCCCCACCAACAGTGGCGCTATCTGTATCTCGGTATCTGTGTCAATGTCTGATCCATAGTCACTCTCTGGTGCTGAGGTAACTATTGATTTGGAAGGTTTCCCAAGACGAGCCATGCCATAGTGTCAACGGAAGTTCGGGTGTGGTCTAGTGATGGAAAATCTGGCAGATGTTGTAGCAGAGAGCGTCATTGATTGATTAGAGGCAAGGGAACCTAACTGCAACGCGCGGGCCGGGGGGGTTCGCGTGTTAGCGTGATCGACAGCCCTACGGGTGCTTTTTGACGATGGATCACTTGGATCAGGATCGGCATTCTGACACGATAGCACGTGCGCTCTTGTACTTGGGAATGTCATAGCTGGTGCAGGATGTCTAGATTGACCTTCATGCAGATAATCGCAAGGAGAATGGACAAGCACAAGAGCCAGGATTCCAGCTCAATGAATGAAAAAGTCGTGTCCACGAGGTTTGCACCAGACCGTCTTGTTGAAGGTGAGTTCTATAAATCCAAGGTTTGACTTCGCAATCTTGCATGACACAAATGTCAAAACGTTTCTGGTGTTCATGATATATGTACTGTACTACGTAACTACAGTGTGTCTGTGAGGTCCCGGCACGGGAAAAGTAAGTACATGAATAGAAGTGCAAATAGTAAACTGTGCAGTGACGCTGTGGCAGGCATCGCTAACTCTGTAGATAATCACCGCCCTTATACCAGATCCTGGTAGCTCATGCATCTGCATGAATGGGGACAATGCCTCTCACGAGATTCGTTTTGTAGCTCACAGTAAAATTGTAATTCCGGCTGTTCGAGGTCGGCTGCGCAAACGGCTTGAAATCGATCGAGATGATCAATACGATTGACTTGATCATACAAACAGCCGAGTAGATCGCAGTCCAGTAGCTCCTCCCCAGGAGATTAGGAGCAATCCCGGCCCTTCCGCCGCCTATATGCTTCAAAGGCGTTTCACAGGCACTCCGATCCTGGCCCGGGTCCCCAAGGGTACCCCGCATCAATCCCATTGAATTCGTAACATCCCTCGTTAAATCTTCAGCACAATGTTGCGGGAATTTGCGCATAGAACTCTGTGCGCGCACGGTCGCGATCCAGACTTTCAATGCAGCTCACGAGCGAGAGATCTCTTTTACTTTCGTAGAAGGACCATTCCGTGACGAGAAGCTCGATCTGTAAGATGTAGGTGACGTTGGTCCGTACACATACTCGCCATCAATGTAGTGAGCTTCGCTGATGAACGTTGTCCGCTTCGATCGCCTGGTGTAACGCTGCTCGAGACGGTAGTACTCAAGTTCTAAGGTACGAATTAGCCTGACTGTCCGCTGCAAGCAAAAGAGATACAAGATGTCACATACTGGCTTGAAGCTTGTCGAAGAAGCCCATATTGACGACTTTGAATTCTGACTTTTGACTTTTGACTACGCCGGAAGCAAGGCGAGTTTTCGTGGGGTCGTTCGTGGTACTCGGTTCCACAGAGTTGCAAGGCCGAAAACCTTAAATGACGTGAGCTTCAGTGAAGAAAAGAGAAGAGAAGTGAATTCGAAGGATCAGAAACAGGAAATGGCTGTACATGTATAAGAAAGGTACAGCGGGGGTGGATTGATAGATGATTGTCAGAGCCGGCGTGAGAGGGGAAGAGATCGATGCATGGACTCTGGCAAAGGTAATTAATGTAACGTTAATGAGAGTCGGTACCGTACATGATAGCTCGTAATAGCTAATACCTGCCCAAAGTGAATTGTTATTGTGGAGTCTATGGAAGCCGCGACCCGGAACACTAAGTTCGAGACAACGCCGGCCCCGCTGCTACACCGGACGGACGTTCCTCTCTGGGGAAAAAGGGGAAAGGCGCGCTGCAAGGCACGAGTCGGTTAATTTTACCATTGGTCTGAGCACATTAGCATACTCCGACGGCTTCGCGGTTCTTCTCAAGATGCTTTGCTTTGCTTAACTGAACGAGCAAAGAGGCGCTTCTTGCCTGCATGAAGTGGCTCTACCTCGATTCGTGCTGCGACGTCAAGTGACGCAGTATCAGCATCATCATCATCATCACCAGCATGAGCATGAGCATGAGCATCAACACCAGCATGCTACCCGCATTTACCTCGAGCCTCAGATGAACCCTGCATGGGAGATGTAGCAGTCGTCTCACCGCGCTCCCCGCATCATCCTGGCAAGGTATTGGGCTCGGCATTGTTGAGGTTTGGGGTTTGGGGTTCTAGTGGCTGTTGACAGGCTCTGCCTTGCTAATCACACGTGGACTGGTGCTGGCGCTGGTGCTGATGCTGCTGGCAAGAAACTTTGTTGACTCGCGTACTCACAGTTCCAGCCCACCTATGCTGGTGGTTGGCCGTGCGACTCGCATAAGCATGGTGGCTTTCTTTGGGCCATCGATGCTCCGGCGCTGGCCATCACGGACACTGCGTATGGCCCAAGCCGGCATGCACAGAAAGTCTGGTGCATCCCTTCATAGTGATCGACAGATTGCAATTTGACAGGTCTGTATTTGTTTCTTATTATAGCCTTGTCACACAACATTGTTCTCGAATCTTTAAACGAGATATTCTGCCAAAGTGCGGCTGATTAATGGCTGCACTCGCCAGCCACCAGACTTGCGTCCGTCCACCAACAAGGACATGGAGATCCTCAAACAGCCGAGTTTTCCGCCGTCGCTCGTAGGAGACCAGCAGTAGCTTCCCTCTCCAGACTGATCTTCATTTGCAGCCATGAATGCCAGTTCGACGAGTCACAAAATCGTTCATAAAGGCTGTCGCGGGCGCGATGCCGTTGAATGGGTCCCTGCCCGCGAAATTTGACCGAAGTTCCGTGCTTCGAGAGACTATGTAGGAAAGCCGACGCCGAAAAATTTGCATACTGAAAGCTACCCCCTGGCGACGTTACTGCCGGCGATATGCTCGTGGCAAGAAATCTGTTGATCGGCGATAGGAACTGAGCTGTCAACTCTGCAAATTGTCGACGTACAAACGATGTGATCTCATCTTGCGATGTCTCGCTGGCTCGTAACAACAGTGCGTTTAGAGCATGCGTAAAGTTTCGATCGGCCTTAAGACAGGTCTTCTTCAGCGAATAAAGCTCAACGTCCCCTGGCATATCAAATGACGGCTGTGTGTGATGGTGCATGGAACGCGAGCGCTTGATGGGAACGTGGGCCCTGTCGCTCTGAAGATATACCACAGTAGGCTTGCCACGTCCTACGCTTTCCGCGCATTCTATTAGCCGCCGAAGGAGGAAAGGATTGGTGACCCCGATGATGAAAGGTCGAGGATGGCCACCGTCTAGCCCAATACTCTTGAAGTCTGACTGCATAGTAACATATTCTTTGATGATACCATTGAAGGGTACCGGTTTGATCAGGTCGATAGCAGCCGAAACGAAATCACTGCATAGCTGCGGGCTCCTGGAGACGACAACCACCGACTCGCACAGGAGAATGCTTTCGTAGACCGCATAGAGGTCATTCAAAGATGGCATGAAAGGCATCAACGTACTCCAGTGTCCGGTAGGCTCGTATGCAAATATGGCTGGCAGTTGCGTTGGTGACGTTCTGGGGGGAAGTGCACCTTGGAGTCCTTGGAGGGGAAACGCTTGGTGTGGCGGTCTGAAGGCGTTAGAAAGTACATCGTGCGCAACGAAAGTCAGCCCTACATTTCAAGCACCATCATCGAACCCATGAAAGGTAACTCGTGCCTACCAATCCCTGGCGTCGGCCATGTACTAGATATTTCGGTGAATGCAGCTTCCAGAATGTCAGGATCACTGATAGCTCCAGCAGAGGTGATATGCCTCAAAATACTGGAGTGAAAGGAAGGGAACTTGTGATTGGATATCAAGACTAAGCTTTTCTGGTTGAAGCTCCGTTTGGATTCATTGTCAAACTCTTGACGGAAAACGCAAGATCCATAAAATTCATTTGGGCTCCCATATGGGATCTGAGGCGAACTGAGTTTGATGTCGGGTGAGTTGTTGTTTACTGTGAAGTGGAATGTCAAGTCGTCTCCCGTTTCAGTTTCTTGCCGTTCTGGAAAGCTGTATTCTGTTAATGGAGCCATTCGACATCATAACGCTGTTATTGTAAGTCATACCTATTGAAACACACGGCTGAGAGGTCCGCAGTACTAAGCTCGGTGTCTGCTGGATAAACTAGCTCTATCTCTGGACCTGTATACGATGAGTATACACCAAACTCAAGTTTAATATATAAGAACTTGCCTACGTCCACATTGAAATTACACACAATACTACCCGAAACCATTAGCGCAGACATGACTTCAGAGCAATGGCTCACATACAATGCTAGAGCCCAGTGTCGAAAGTTCTCAGAATCTCGTGATTTGCTATGAGACGGTGACAATAAGCTCTTAAGTTTCTCCATATCGAGTCTCTTACAACCAACGAGACTTAATGGCTGCAGCAATGACAGGACCTGCGCTCAACTGGATAAAGGGGGTGGGCTGAGAGGGCCCGCGACGAACTGATGCTAGGTCATTTCGGTCAGAACGAGAAGCAGCTGTACACTGCTAGCTATTGACAAACTGGAAGCGCTCCCCACTGTAGCAGATTGCTTTGGGAAATCACGCTAGATGGTGGGATAACAGAGATTCTAAATGCTGCGGTGTGGTGCTTAGAAGATGATGTTTGAATTGCCTGCACACTTCCCGTCAACAGTCTGGTGATGTCGATCCATCGTAGCCCCACTTAAACAGATCTGATAGTGATAGTGGTTCAGCTTCAAGCTCCCAGACCTATGCACGTCAGCCTACGACAACGTACATTCTAGCGCCAATCTTTTCGATACTGCCACTTTCTTAGACTCTCTGCTTCGTCATCAGTCTCTTCACCTTTCGTGCACTAGTTCTATGCATTAAAGCTATAGAAGGTGCTCAAGCCATGTTGACACGATTGGACATTACCTGAACGATGGACCCTCATATCCAAAAGGCTCTGAATGACAAGCTATACGATAAGAGAAAAGGAGGCGCGCTCGAGTAAGTAGACTGCTTCTGATGTGTTGGAAATAGTTCATGTCTCGCAAATATGGTTCGAACGCATCGCTGATACCGTCCAGGCTCGAAACCCTTGTTCGCGATTCCCTTGCCCACAGTGACCACGAGAGAATAGCAAAGATCGTTCATCAGCTATGTCACGAATATGCATACGCTGTGCATCAACCACACGCTCGTAATGGAGGTCTTATCGGGCTGGCTGCGGCCTCGATCGCGCTCGGAGCAGTACGAACACGTAACAATGAGCAAGGAAAGGATCTGACAACCTTTGTAGGAGGTGGCACAATACCTTGAAGAGATAGTACCCCCAGTCCTGGCTTGCTTTTCCGATCAAGATGCCCGGGTGCGTTACTATGCGTGCGAAGCTATGTACAACATTGCGAAAGTTGCTAAAGGAGAGATCTTGGTCTATTTCAATGAGGTGTTTGATGCTTTATGCAAGGTCTGTAGGTCTGCCAGCCAGTCTGGATCTCGCTAACACCCAGAGAAAGCTTGCCGCAGACTCGGAGCTGTCAGTTAAGAACGGCGCAGAGCTTCTTGACCGTCTGATAAAAGATATCGTCTCTGAATCTGCCGCGTCATACGTTTCCATTCTACAAGATCCGGAAGATGTTGGCGACTCCGAATCTGCCTTGGAAAGAAAATCTCTTTCCATAGAAATGCCCACAGCGTTCTCGCTTTCACGCTTCATCCCTTTACTTCAAGAGCGCATAGTGGTCATAAATCCATTCACGAGAACATTCCTTGTCTCTTGGATCACCTTGTTAGACTCTATTCCAGATTTGGAGCTAGTCTCGTACTTGCCTTCGTTTCTGCAGGGCCTCTTAAAATTCTTGAGTGATCCTAATCAAGATGTGCATACGGCGACCCAGGTAGCCCTTGAAAGATTTCTAGCAGAGATCAAGAAAATAGCGCGTATCAAAAAAGGAATTGCGGAAAGTAAGAGAAGCCAGGGAGAAGAGGGAATGCGACGATCGAATTCAAGCGCGAAGAGCGACAGGAGTGGGCACAGTCGTCATAGCTTACGAAGTGACGACGATATTGCCCAAGATGGTCATCTCGTTGATGAGGATGTTGATGATGACAGCCACTCTGTGTCTGGTGAATCAGAAACTGCAACTGCAAACGACGAAAGATCAGGAGATGCGGATGGAGACTGGGTACCAGGTCAGGACGTGCAGGTTGACCACCCAAAGATCATCGATATCATGGCAACTTTCCTGAGAGAATCATCTGGTATGATATGTACCGATCTGCTTCTATCTAATCCGGCTAATATCATATAGACGAAGAAATCCAGCTGACCACGCTACGATGGATCGACAGTTTCTTCGAGATATGTCCCGAGGACATACTGCCATTTGTACCTCGTCTGCTCTCACAAGTATTACCAGCGATGTCAAGCGATGTCGAACAAGTTCGTGCAGCTGCACATAGGGTCAACTCTTCGTTGATGGGATACATCATGTCTTTGTCTATCGACGGTCATAAAGTGGACGAAAATGTCATTGCACCACTCGCGTTGCAGAGAACGGCCACACTGAACAAGGATTTGGATCGAAGAGAGTCGAATAAGGCACCAGAGAAACGAGGAACAAGTGTCGAGCGCGCGACCACGGGCAGAAAAACTCCTGCTGATGGTCAACCACCTAGCCCGCCCCAGGAACCCGCTATACCAGCTCATCCTGTCTCAGATCTTGACTACGAAGCAGCAGTCAACTCGCTCACACTCCAGTTCTTGAACGAGCACGAAGCAACTCGCGTTGCGGCCTTACAGTGGCTGATTATGTTGCATCGTAAAGCCCCGCGCAAGGTATGATCTATCAGCCCAACCGTTACTTGACTAATCTTGGAAGATCCTTGCGATTGATGATGGCACATTTCCAGCACTACTCAAGACTCTGTCAGATCCAGCCGAAGCTGTGGTCACTCGAGATCTGCAGCTCCTATCTCAGATCTCCAAAAACAGCGACGATTCATATTTTACATCGTTCATGGTGAACTTGTTGAAGCTTTTCTGTACCGATAGAAGGCTTTTGGAAACACGTGGGAACCTCATCATTCGGCAGCTTTGCGTCAGTTTGAGTCCCGAACGGATATATAGGACGCTGGCCGACTGCCTGGAGAAAGACGAAGTAAGATGATACTTCGCATATACCTGGCTGCATCACTGACACCTCCTTTCAGGATGTCGAGTTCGCTAGTATTATGGTGCAAAATCTGAACAATAATTTGATAACTGCCCCGGAGTTAGCAGATCTGCGGAAGCGACTACGAAATCTAGAGACGAAGGTCTGTCTTCATGTGCGTACTCGTATTGAAGGAGTCCTTAACGAGACTATAGGATGGCCATACCTTTTTTGTGGCACTTTTTCGGTCGTGGTGCCACAATGCAGTCGCGACATTCTCACTGTGCCTCCTTGCACAAGCATATGAACAAGCGTACAATTTGCTTCAGATATTGTCAGTACCTCTGATCTGGTGTACCGTTTGCATACGAGCTGATGATCTACAGTGGAGAGCTCGAGATGACGGTGAACATGCTCATTCAGATTGACAAGCTAGTTCAGCTACTGGAATCACCAGTATTTACATACTTACGATTGCAGCTTCTGGAACCCGAGAAGTACCCATATTTGTACAAATGTCTCTATGGCCTCTTGATGCTGCTGCCGCAGTCATCTGCGTTTGCAGCGTTGAAGAACCGCTTAAATAGCGTCAGCGCCATAGGCTATTTACACATTGCTCCACGAAGGTAAGTTCCTCCCACTCGTCGTTGCATCTCAAGATCATCCCTAACGCCCAGCAGTCAAGCTGGCTCATCCGCGTCTTCATTTTCGGACAGGCCGAATCGACTGAAAGCTCGCGAAGATGGTGGCATCAAATGGAGCGAGCTTCTCGAGAAATTCAAGGCCGTGCAGGAGAGAGCAAGAAGAGCCCAGCGTCTGGCTAGTCTCGAGGAAGATGGACTCTCATCGCCACTTGCCATGGCTACCTTGCAAGATCGAATGAATCCTCCGGAAGTACCACCCAAAGGGAGTCATCTGAGGCCTGGAAGTGCAGCTGCGGTTGCTAGGCCACCGCAGAACGTGCCTGCATCACAGCCAGCAGTACCAGCACGGAACAAGCCGAACTTTGGGAACCTTGGGAGGCTTGCTGGAGGAGTGGCCGGTAGGCGGCAGAAAAAGTAGCAGCTATTGGACACGAGATGTGATGTTTGGCGATGCATTCGGTGGGGCGTTCGGTGACTCCTGGGACAACGTTATGCGATTAAATAGCTTCGAAGGCGAGACAAGGCCCTGAGCCTTCGATATGCAATACAAACGACACTTAATAGTATGTCGAATCATTTCTGCTTCCCGTGTCGAAACCTGACCTGCCCATCCTTGGTGTCTGGCGCAGTAGCATTGGGTATCAACTTCACCTTCTCAGCAGCACCTTTACTACCTTCTATAATCCACGACTCGGCCACCTCCTTGACCTCTACCTTTGCCTTCTCTGTCGCCTTGGCCTCTCTCACCCGTCGAATATATCCAGAATAGATAACGACCTCTGCTGCAGCAACAACCCCACTCCCCGTCATACTCAGCCCCAACCTCGTCGGCGCACTCCAATGCCTCGCCGCCATCCATATAGCCACACTACACGCGATAATAGATATCAGCACATTCGCAATGAGCGCTAGCTGTCTGTTGACGTCAGCGTATGTCGCCTCATCCTCCTCTTCTGCATGGTCGATGGCCGTTGTGTGAAACCGCGCATTCGGCGTGACCGGGTAGCGTTGTGAGAACATCTCTGTTTGAGGTGCAGGATTCAGCATGCGCTCGTACGCGCGTGCCTCTTCCTGCTTGCGCAGGTGCGCCATCAGAGCTTTGTATTCGGACGTAGGTTCAGGTTTAGGCGGCGGAGGGGGCACGTAGACTTTTGTGCCGCGGAGGAGGTCTTGGAGACGGAAAGGGATGTAGGCGGCGTGCGATGGATCGGACTCGAGGTCGGAGGCATGCTGCTTCAGGAGCTTTGAGAGGTCTATGAGTTGGCTGTGCGTGATGGGATTGCCGGTGCTGGGCTCTCGGAGTGGTGGTTCAGAGGGACGCTGGAGTTTGGCGAAGGTTTCTGGAGTGAGGGCTTCGCATTTCTGAAGGGCTGCTACGATCGCAGGTGTCATTGTAAGGTGTACCATCTTAAAGGTTCGTAGAAATGCCTGGAGCTGGAAGATTTGAAAGTCAGCTACAGCTTGTAGAGACTAAGGTATGAACAAGAGTCGCGTAAGCCGAGTCGTGAAGCTTGCAAGGAGCACTATCCCTGCTAGCGCCGCTTCGGCTGGCCAAATCTTTGACGCTCACCCATTATCCATGTACGGAGAGCTTGCTCCTCAACGCAAGCATGTTTCACGCCCGCCACCTTTCGCATATCACCAATTGAATTTGAAATGTATAGTCTCACGCCTTGAACCCTCGCTTCGCCTTCCAAAGTTCGAGGGAATGTCTAATACATCATCACGAGCCTCCGCGCTCCTCCACAAAAGATTCGCCGCCCATCGACCACGGTTATTAGCATGTCCACGATGCTCTGATACCGCGCCATACCTCCCTACGTTGTTAATAGCACCATCAAGTAATGCTTCAGTACGGCGGAACCAGTCCGGCTGGGCAGCTGCTGTTGCGGCGGCCCAGAATGTGTACAGCCACGCAACAGCTTCGAATGCAGACAATCCTATCGGGATCGATCCATTCAGGACAGTGGCAAAAGAGCTGAAGTTCCTTGCGCAGAATGTGAGAGGTCTTCTAGGGTCAGGGCATCCAATGCTGGACACGGTATCGAAGTACTACACACAATCTGAAGGGAAATACGTACGGCCAACACTGGTATTGCTGATGTCGCGTGCTACCGCGCTCACGCCGAAGGCCTCAAGGAACGTTCTGCAGCAGCAGAGCAAGATCGATCAACCTATCACCTCACCATCCATTCTTTCAGACCGGAATCCAGATGCACCGGGCTATAGGCCGCTTACGGCATCTGACAGCGACGCGAACTATACGTATGCTAGCGCGGGTACTGATATCCTGCCTTCGCAAAGGAGGCTGGCAGAGATTACTGAGCTGATTCATACGGCGTCATTGCTTCATGACGATGTAATTGACCACTCCGAGGCGCGACGAGGAGCTCCCTCGGCAAACATTAAGTTTGGCAACAAGATGGCGGTCCTGGCAGGGGACTTTCTGCTCGGCAGAGCCTCCGTAGCCTTGGCCAGACTGCGCGATCCTGAGGTCACGGAGCTCCTCGCAACTGTTATTGCCAATTTGGTCGAAGGCGAATTCATGCAGTTGAAGAATACTGCAAAAGATGAGAAGCATCCGGTCTGGACCGAAGACACGATTACTTACTACCTCCAAAAGACGTACCTCAAGTCTGCGAGCTTAATCAGCAAATCATGCAGAGCGGCAGCACTGCTAGGGCAGAGCGGTCCAGAAGTTGTCGAAGCAGCATATACGTATGGAAAGAATCTAGGACTTGCTTTCCAGCTGGTGGATGATATGCTCGACTACACCGTCAGTGGTGCAGAGCTCGGGAAACCAGCTGGAGCAGACCTAGAGCTTGGTCTTGCTACGGCACCGTTGATTTTCGCGTGGAAAGATAATTACCAGCTCGGAGCGTTGGTTGGTAGGAAATTTGGTAAGAGCGGTGATGTGGAAGCAGTGAGTTAGCCCTAAGTTACATCAAACAGTACACTGCTAACGCTCATATTAGGCGAGGTCCCTTGTGGCCCAAAGTAGTGGCCTCGAACAAACCAGAGCTCTTGCACAGGAGTACGTCGACAAAGCCATTGAAGCAATAGCACCGTTTCCGGACAGTGAAGCAAAGGCCGGTCTTGTAGAGATGTGTGAAAAGGTCATGAAGAGAAGGAAATAGACGGTAGCATGTAACCATATTTTTGCATTCTATACTCTGCCCTAGTAGACTTTGTCGTGAATCCCGCTCTGTTAGTGACGAGCTGGAGCCGGAATCAGATGTAGCTGTAAGTAGGTAGGCTGACTGCATGTATATACACAGAATGAGGATACTTCGGGGAAACACTTAGAACGGTCGGTCCGAGATCGACTATGGAGATAGATAACTCTTGGCACAAGCATTCAGAATCTCGTCTTGTCCCTTCATTCTCCGCTGTAGCTGCCTATCATCGCCTAGTCTGTGTCCGCGTATCGACGGCCTACGCCCGGCACATGGCAACGTCTTTCGACGACGATTCAACAAATGACCTTCCCATCTCTGGTTGATAGAGCCAATCATTATATTCTCCACTTTTTAGCATAATTAGTGATAACGACTCGGGAGCTTGAAACTACATCATCATCATCATCATCATAGCCCCACTGTTACCCGGCCGGAGACCTCCCCGCACTCACTCGAGACGCGTTGAAGCAGACGACAGGACACTAGACCTCAGATTCAGTGGTTCCATCATCCTGGGAATCTCATGCTCTGATTCTGCTCTTGCCCACACGGAATGGTGACTTAAGACCATGCTGCTGTCACGATGTATGTCCTTTCACTTCTTCGCGGCCATCTACAATATATGTCCCTCAAACATCAGGAAACAATCAGAAGGCTGACAATGGATGGCCTCTAGGATTGACGTATCAAGGCGCCTCCGCCGCGCCATCATTCTGAACGACCTCACGCTCGTCCAACGGATCGTACGAAACAATCCACACGCACTACAAAACCCCGACTTCGACGAGAAGAGCAACACAAGCCTACATCTGGCAGCCAAAGAGGGCTTCCTAGAGATCGCAGTGAGTCAACACCCACCTTCTCCCCAGCCTCTCCACGATCTCTTGAATGACCACGAAGACGGACACTGTCCTAACATATCTCCACCAGCGCTTCCTCATCAAAGCCGGCCACGAAAACGCCGGCATCTCTCGCAACGCAGACTGGGACACACCACTCATGCTCGCCGCCCAAAACCAGCACGTCTCCGTCGGCGAACTCCTCGTCCGCGCCTTCCCCCGCTGCGTCCCCTGGACAAACAAAGCCGGCATGGACGCCGTACGTTCTCCTCTCTCTCCCATATACAAACTCCCACCCATCCATCCGCAAAAACCCAAATCACTAACAACCCAACCCAACAGCTCATGCTCTCCGCCCGCGCCGGCACAACCGCCCTCCTCCCTACCCTCCTCACCTCACCCAGCCCGTCCTCCGTCCACCTCGCCGATCGCAGCGGCAACACAGCCCTCCACCACGCCTCCGCCGCCGGCGAACTCAAAGCTGTCCGTCTCCTCCTCCAATTCGGCGCCTCGCCCGTCGCCCAGAATGCATTCTCATGGACGCCAATCGCATACAGCGCCACCGCGGCCGCGGAGCAGTATTTCAAGACTCTCGTTGCGGAAATTGAGGCGGCGCAGAAGAAAGATCAGTTGCTTGCTGGTGGTGGGACAGGTGGAGGAGGTGGTAATGGGGGTGCTCATCATGGCATGAATCGCCGTCCGGGAGGTGGAGGAGGAGTTAGGTTAGTGACGAGCGAGGATGTACTTGGACGCGCGGTGGATGACGGGAGTATATTGCCGGCGCCGCCGCGCGTAGAGTGGAGTCCTGTCGAGCAGCGGCGGGCTATGACGCCGACGACAGGCAGGAGCGAGTGGATTGGAGCGGCTGGGCAGAGGGTCGTCAATAATATGCAGCAGATGCAGAGCGGGTTGAGGGCAAGGGCGCACAGTGGAGATTGAAGAGGAGTTTTGAGAGGCGGCGTGGGAAGGAATGGCTCATGCATTTTGTACAAACAGGCGTTTGGTATGTGTATGAATAGTGGGATTAGTGGGAACTCACGGCACTCCTTGGAGTTGGCGTCATACTGTTCGTCTTGGATATTCCGCTGATTTTGTATTCGAAGTACGGCAGAGCGTAAATCACGTATCTAGAGAGATTTGTCGCGATGTCTTCGCTGTGAAGCGACGTACCAAGGTTCTTTGTTCGTTACATCAGGATTGCCATCGCTAAGCACAATATGTGTATAGTCAGAGAACCCAATGCAGGGTATTCTAGTGGGACGTCAACATCTCATACGAACCAATTAGTCAACCTCTTACGTTATTTGGCGGTCTGCAACAATCAAATACCTCTTGCCAGCATGACATACATCTTCATCTCGAAAAACAGCATCATGAAATGTTTGATCTATTGTTTAGATGCGCCATGCAGTTTTTCCCCTTCGTTGGTTGGTCGGAGATATGGAATCAACAACAAGTGCTACTATCATACATTACGCGTCTTCTTTATAACCCCTCGAATTCGCCCGCCGCGTCATCCTCGTCAATGTCTCCATCCTGAATCTCCTTTGCGAGCTCGCGTTCCCTCTCCCGGGCTTCCTGGGCGTTCTTCAGCTCAAGACGGTGCTGGTTCATGGGGTACCGCATCGCTTTGACACACTCGTCGTGGAGCGAGAGGCATGCGAGGATGCGGTCATGGAAGGCCTCGCCTGGTTCGCGTGTGGCGTATATGTCACCGGCTTGCTTTGTCTGCATGTATCCCTTCTCATGGTCGATCGAAGCCTCTATGACACCGTCACGTATGGCTTTGGCGACGATATACTCCGCTGATTCTTCACTGTCGAGGCCAAGACGGATACAGATATCTCGAAGCGAGATTCTGGAATACGACAGGGAAAGCATCCGGATACCTGTCTTGATCACATTCTGACGGAGTCGAAGGATGAGGGTATATGTTCCGTCGCGGTGGAACGTAGGCGAGTTCTGCTGAACGATTTTGAGGAAGCCTTGCAAATCTCCCACGCGGACAGCCTGGACGAGGTAGAAGTATGGCTCGAGCCCGCGCTCTAGGCGAGATTGGCTGAAGAGAGCGCGATCAGGGATGTCGCCCATGAGAAGTTCGACGACCACCAGGAGCTTTGTCGACTGCTGATAAAAGCCAGTCGCCACGGCACTGTTCGGTGACTTGCGCGTCGCACTGACAAGATGATCGTGTGCTTCGGTGTACGAGAGCTGGATAGCTCGGATTCGACCGAGGTAGTAGAGGTATCGTGCGACTTGGTTGTTCGTAGCGGCCTCCGGAAATTGAGTCTGAGCCACCAAGAGATCAGCCTGAGTTATGTCTGCCGTAGAAAGGTAATTCCGGAGTAGCAGCGTCGTGACTGATGCTTGCGTGTCTGAGTCCTTGCGCAATACTGCGCTTCTGAGAGCAGCAAGCAGCGTGCCGCGAATACTGATAAGTGGCGATTGCTTGGATGGTGGCTTGGGATCTAAGGCTTCGTAGAAGAGAGAGTAGTAGAAGTAGGCTTTGGCAGCCAGGGAGTCTAGTGTTCTTCTGTTGAGATCGCGGACGCGGCCGACCAAAGCCTTAGAGAACTCTGCCCCGATCTTGTAGTTCTTGCCGTCATATAGAAGCACCTATATTAGGATTAGCGACGCCTTTGGCAAATTATGAATTGTCCTATCAAGGCCAGAGGTGTCATACCTGGGCAAGGATCGCAAGGTATACGTCTATCTCTGGCAGCGGTTCCTTCTTCTCCTGTTTCGTGCTTCCAGTTGAAGTTGATGATATGCGGCGGGCGATCTGCGTGAGCTCATCGCCATCTAGACCAGTAGCTCGGAGAAGGACTTGTGCGGTCCCATTGTTTGGAGGGTAGGTTGAGATGATCGATTCGGCGATGATCTCACCGGACAGACGCTTTCGCAGGGAGGATATTGAGCGAAGAGCTCTAAGGGTATAGCGGGCATCGAACTGTGCTACGGCCCGCTCCAGAAGTGTGAAGTTGAACTTGATGTCTGCAATACATATGTGAGTAGCGCCCGACAGATATAAAAGGTACGTAATGCAGAATCGACGAGGGTGACCGCTTGCAAGACACAGCTCACAAGGGCATGAAAGGCGGATAACCATATTTCGAGCGTATGAGATATTGTCGTACCTGATACTGTCTTCTCATGAACGTTCTCTTCCTTGGGCTGGCTCTGGGACTCATCCTTGACAACGCCTTCCATAGAGTCCGTCATCTTGGTATGTTGGTAAGTGCGAGGTAGAGTGGAGGGTGGGAAGTGTCGAGTGAGTGTGGAAATGGATAGTTGTTGGTGTCGTAGTCGGAGAGCTGCAGATAGCTCTACGGACTGTCTACCCAGAGTGAGAGCAAGCACGGTCGGTCTTGTTTAGGTAAGCGTTGAGCTTGTGGAGCATACCTTAGTACGCCATCCATTTGATGTTTACATGTTGATAAAACAGATATAGAATTGATGCAGCAATCTACCTGCATCGAAGAACTTTCATTATGACGGCTCTGGATAATCATCTTCAGCAGATCTCTTCCTGTGCAGCCGGTATTAGCGACATTGCGTAAGTCTGATTATGCACGCACTGGAAGGTCTCGCGACTAAGTGTACGCGTCCAGCTTTCCCCCGCCCAAAATATTCACCAACGCACTCCTCCAAACGCACGACATCACGACCCTTATACGCGATACCGAACTGCACGAGCGTGCACTATTCTCTGTCCCACCTCCACCACCCACGCCTAAAGCGCAAGACCCGTCCATAAGCTCGAATCGTAGGAACACGGTTTTCAACATCAATGGCGCGACTACAGTTACAGGGGGTGGCGCAAACGCCGTGAGAGCGCCCAGGAGAAACACTGCTGTTGCTGCTGTGTTGGGCACAGAGCTGGTGGAGAAGATCAGACGTGGTGGCGGTGGTGGCGTTGGCACTGGGATGGGATACAGAACATTCGATGCCCGAGACAAACACGACATTGATGTGAACGTACTCTTAGAGGGCGCGGAAAGACTCTGCAGTGTGTAGTAAGTGGATCAACATGCGCCCGGTGATGGCGTAAGGTCGAACAACGCTGACATGCACAGTCCCATTGCCGGCGCGCAAGAGAAGATTGCAGCCCTGCGCAAACGACATCTCGAGTTGATCGTGTCTATCGAAGACTATGAGATCAAAGTCGCCGAACAAAACGAACGGTTGAATCGAATGAACCGTCGCCGTGACTTTGACGATGATGATGAGGCAGATCAGCATCCCGAGGCGGAACCAGAATCAATACAGGCACCTCTGACCGATGAAGACTATCATAGAGAAGAAGAGGCAATTAAGGAGCTTGAACAAAAGAAGCTTGGACTCGAAGAACGTGTTACTTCGATGGGCAAAGACATTACAGGGGTCCTGCGATGAGGCTATCAAATGGATGGCAACGGATACGGTTTCGACAACCCAACCTAGGTACAAAGTAAGTTCCGGGCAAACCTTCCGTGTGATTGAAGCTATTCCCTCAGTCGATAACTGAGACGTCGTCGGTCACAAAGACTTCCGATAAGCTTTGTTCTCCAGACAAATACTCTCTATAGTATCTAGAAGGTCAAGACCATAAGTATTTTGGACATGCAGGAGCACCATCCAAGAGATGAGCAGTACAGAGGTTCAAGGAAGCCATTCTCATATCGCATGCTTCGCCATGTAGGTTTGCCGGAGGGTTTCAACGACGACATCCACATGATGCATGGTTCCGAATCGATCAGACAGACAACAAAATGCTAGTAGTTAAGGAATGTCGCCCTTAGCTTGAGTACCATGTTTGTAAAGAGTTAAGGTTTCCGACTGCACTAATTCATTATTCACGAACGTCTGCGATCAATCAGGCCATTTTGAAAATTATATAATATTTTCGACGATCCTACGGGTTGGACGGCTTAGAAGTCCTTTAGTCTTGCTTTTCGATGGATGGGCAAAGCTCGAGCACAGGTTTCTTTTAAGAAGTACATAAAAGATCCTAAATTAGCCATAAATACTATTAGGGTATGCTTTAGAGCATTCGTCGACCTAGAAGAAGAGGGCCTTGTTTATGTAGATACACTATCTAACCCTTGATAGTTCTATTAGTATTGACTATACAGTCCAATTAAATTCTAAGCTAAGACTGACCCAAAAATTACATACAAAAATAAGATCTAAGAATAAATTCAAAATAGGGATGTATAAGTTAGTAAATCCTAAAACATACCGATAGCATGTTTTTCGTCCGCGCTGAGCGCCTAGACTGTTAACCATAGCTATAGAAGGCGACCGAGCAAAAGTCGGATTTCTATCCATTATGAAATCTTAGCTTAGCCCGTCCGATGGACTATGAATGAGCGTAATCTACCTCCCGGCGGTGAACTTCTTCATTACTAAGCCAACCACGAAGCCCAACCTTTGGACTGTCTTGGTGACTCCAGTTCGTGACGGAAGAGCAAAGACTGACTGCGTAATGTGGACAAGTAGCAAGATAGATATGTTGTAACCAGCAAGCGTCGATATGATTCCACGTTTATAATCAAGTCGTACTTGCCATTCAGTAACATTTGGTATACTTCCCCACCTCTAGTCGACTAAGTTTACGTGAATTTACGCCTGTCTCCTTGCAAATACCGGAAAATTTCGCCAGGGAGGAATGTCTGCATTATCAATATCAGTCTAAATTTAGCAGCGTTAGAGGCATCAGTATTGCCAACAAGGTTGCTCCTAGATGGCTCCAACTGAGCTCGAGGAGCCTAAAGACTACTGCGATATTCGCACAAGATATAGTACTGATGGACTGACCTGTACTTACAGTACTAGGACATTAGTTTGAGAACATTAAAGGCACATTTCAGGCGGCGAAGTCTCCCCGGATCAATGTTCCCTCACTGTACAAATGTTAGATTGTGGGCAGACGACTTGTCGCTATTCTAGGAATAATGTTCTACCTTAAACCGCCTAGATAGTCATTGGATGTCTTAAGCTTCCTCAGGTTTTGGATTGCTGAGGGCGGCGAAGTGACTCTCAATCTTTGACAATCCAAAAAAAATCATTCTCTCGCTTCGCGACTCTGCAATCCTCCAATCTCCATCCAATCGTACCACCTTTAAGCCCTAATTCTTGACCCTCAAAAGCACATGAATCAAAATCTCCAATGACAAAGCGCCCATCCTTGCATAGGATATTACTCGGATTGATATCGCAATGGATTATGCCGAGGCCGTGGAGATGCGTGAGGCCGCGTCGGATATCGGTCAAACAAGCTGCCAAGCTGAAACTTCTCTGGCTTTTGCTCTCCTGGAGCAAGTCATGATCGTATCTTTCGAAACAGAGACCGGATATCTTGCCATCGTCAACGACGCATCCGTGATATTGTGCGATATTGGGATGTGGAGATCGTCGAAGAATCTCACAGATTTGAGCTTCGTGTAACATTACGTCGCTCATGCGAGTAGATACCTCTGTATCTCCATAATCAATCAAGTGAGGCCGTTTAACATGATAGTGTAGAGCTGCGTCATCGGGTGCTCTGGTGAAGTGTGATGGGAAATCCGGCCAGATATTGGAACTGGGAATAGGAACAAGAGTAAGTAGTTGTAGATCGATTTCGGACTTCGCTCTAAAGCGGCGATCGCTTAGAGCATAAAGGTAGGAAGATTCATGTTTCGCGATAATCTTCGTATGCGAGAACGTGAGATCGCCGTATACAGTTTCGAAAGCTTCGGCATATTCGACGACATGGGTGCTCTGGACACGTGAAAATCTGCATATATATATTTAATGTTACAAAAATACCATGTTGGGTGTTTGCAGTAGATATGGGGATGTTTGTCATGAAGCTTATATAAAGGTATCAAGTTTCTCGCAAACCCTAGGAGACCGCGTCTCTAGCTTGAATGATTAGGTAACAGCATAGATCTATGTGCCAAGCATATCGGGCGATGTGGCTATGCCAAATCCTTTGCTAGCCATTATAGTATCTCTTCTGGCGACTTGAATTTTCATAGACCTAATTCATTTTACGACCTACCAGTGCCTGTATACTCCTGAAGCCATTGTTTTTTATCCATGATGGTCCCACTAGACGCCAAGAACGAGGTTATCTTGGTGTTCAATTCTGCCAGCAGTATAAGCCTCATCCCACATCTAAATCACAAAGCGGGAGTTCAGTGGAGCTAGACTCACGTTCAAGTGACATTTCTGTCGCTGCCTGGAGGGAGTAGTGATCAGTATGTTCGTGGACTAAGATTAAGTCTGCGGGCAACCGCGTGCCTACAGCGAGTCAGGAAAACCTGCAGCGATCCAAAGGTCTCTGAAGCTAATAATACCAGCAGGTATACAATATATTACACCACTTTCCCCCCGAAGCTGTGCTACGAGCTTCTTCTGATAAAAACCCATTGGTCGCATAGAGGCGCCGTTCGGAGCTACCGGATGTGTTTAGCTGGGAATGTATAACCGTGAAGTGGGTGGCTGAATCCATACGCTTATAATTGTGTGGATCGAGAGCCTTTGCCTTCACGCGACCAGAATCAGTGAGGATGTCATAACTGCGCTGTCGCTGTAGGGACCACTCTCGAAGACGAATCGCCAATCCGTAATTGACGCGGAAAAGCTCTTTCGGAACTGTCCGGAAGACATTTATAAGTGAGGGCGCCATGGTTTCAGGAGAGATAGAGACAGAATGTTCGCCCTGTATTGTTTGTGCTTGGAAGATTACATTAGAGAGGGAGGTATGTGCGTGATGTTTCGTGGCTAAGGGATCCCGGATTCAGCGAGGTAGGGCCGATTAACATTAACCCCCCGCCTTCGCGCCGTATGAAACAACTTGATACCCTGTGGAGCACCACAATATTACCTCGAGAGTGCCCAAATATTACAAGCGGATATGCATTTATTGCTTTTATGCATTGCACGAGTATATGTATATACATAGAGATCCAAGCTCTCGTGACGCCCAAAGAGGTTTACCAAGGGGCATCAATTCTCAATGCGCAAAGACCACCAAATCCATCGATTTTCATAACAAGAAAGATCGTTCACGGCGAAGAATCTGCAAATATTGCGTCACGGCAGACAATAGCCGTTGCCGCTCAATGGATCGCGCAGATCCAGAAGAAAGGTGCCTCACAAATGGCGGGTATAAACGAAGTGTAGAAACAAAAACAAGGCATACGTACGTGGATAAGAGTCATAAGAAATCAAGATGTGAGAATCATGAGAGTTGCAGGAGGCAATCAGTTGCGGAACTGTCCATTGCCCAGGCGTGCGCCGCCATGCCATCCAGCTTGTTGCCTTTGACTGGCGACTGTGAACGCGGGCTGTTGCGGCGCTGCAGACGCACTTCTGTATCCACCAGCTTGTGATCCGACGGGCGACATGAAGCTGCGCTGTGGCGGAACAGACGATGTTACCCCCCTAGGTGGCCCGCCTGGCGTCAGCGACCTTGGTGGCGCATCGTTGTGGGAAGTGTCCACACGACTCATCTCGTACGAAGGACCCTTCTGGGTTGTATAGTCGGCCTCGTAAGGCGACCACTGATCTGCCATCGGTGGAGGTCCTGGTGTTCGACGTCCCATTCCAGTGTTTGATCTAGGTGGACCGTCCATTGGACCAGAAGGGCCGCGGCCGGGGGCACTGAATGCTGTGTTTGAACGTGGAGGTGGGCGCATACCGCCGTAAGGCCCATTCCGGTTCGAATTTGATGTGACAGGACGTGACATCGGGGAGTAGGGGCGGTCGGTGCCTACTCTGTTGAAATCATTCATCCGTTCCAGTGGTGGCATCACTGGGATAGGCGATGAGCGTCCCGGCTCGTCGTAGCCCATGGGGCTCGCATAGCTGAGAAGTGGACCATCGGTATGAGCGCTATAGCTGGAAGATTGAGTCATGGATCGAGCCTGCATTCCTGATCTTTCGAACTCATCTTCAAACTCTGGCATCCTAGGTTGGCGATCATCTATAGAACCACCTGCAGCGGTATTGCTCCGTGTAGGCGGTAAAGATGAGTATGGCGGTAAGGTTGCCACAGAATTGAGTCTTGCTAGCGAGGGTGTTGACATCGTGTCGTCGTCGTCAAATGTCGTGTTGAGCACAGGGAGGGTCGGTTGTTTGCTACATTGTGGTCGGTCTTCTTTCTTGGCTGCCTTTTGCTCATCCTTGATTCGTTTCGCCTCTGACTTGGCGATAGCCTTTTGTGTCTTGGCGCTGACGATACGCTCCAATCTAGACTCAATCTTGCGTCGACAGTAACGCGCCAGGGATCCATCTGTGTTAGGGACGTGATGCCAAAGAAACAGAAGGTACAAAACAAGAGCGATAAATAAGAACAGGATTTCAAAGGCCCAGATGACCAATGTGAAAGTCATAGTCGACAAAATGACTGTCTGCTCTTTGTTGGCTTCTGCTAGTGCCTCAATATTGACAAAGAACTGGGCAAATTTCGATCGGCCGTTTTCAGGTTGATGCTCACCCTCAGGAATGAGGTTGAGTCTCATAACAGACCAAAGAGTCATAGCATTGATAACAACACGGGGACCTTCGGCGAATATGACTCGGATGGCGCCTGTCAAGAATCAATCAGTGACTGCCAGTAGGTGCGAAGCAGGAGACTTACCTTTGAACTGGAAGTACACAAAGAGCGCAATGTAGTTGACCCCCTTCTTACTCTTGGTGAGTTCAGCCAGGACAAGAAAACGTCGGAAGCCTTGACCCTGGTCCGGTCGTATACTCTGGACGATGGCAGCAAGCGGGTCCATGTAAGTGTCTACAACACCACCCCTTCGCAAAGCTCTAATAGCTAGAACCCATTCAAAGGCTAAGAGGGCAAAGGAGAATATAATGGCCCCAGCAAAAATCCATTTTGCGTAAACGAATGGAATGACAGGCCGTACCTGGCTCGACCAACGATCGAATGCAAGAAGATTGACTGCGGTGAAAGTGTCTGCGGCATAGACACCGATTGAAATGAGAGTAAGGATCCACAACCATACGTAAGAAAATCCAGCGAGACATGACTTGCTCCTAAAGTCGGAAAGTGTCTGCAATAGTTAGCACAAACAGCTACCCGAAGATTGTGTTGACGTAGACTGCCTGTTATAGCAAGCTGGACGCGATTGAGGACGTACAATATATGCCCACTTCTGGTCCTCACTGACAACCTTCTCCGAGTCTCTACCCATACAACCCATGTTGGCGATCTTTCTGATTCCGACGACCCAGCGCTGCTTGCTATAGTTCCGATGATACTTTTTTTTGGATCCTTAATTAGGCAGTACGCTTAGGTGTAATTGTGACAGGCCAGCTGTCTACACCGCATCCGAAATGATATGATGGTATAAGTGAGGTCAGACGAAGTTTAGCTGTTAACTGTAGGTGAGCGCGTCAATTTCGCGCGTTGTAGCGACAAGGATGTGTCGCACGTAGTGGTTACATCCAGTGTATGATAGTTAGTGAGACAGCATGTCGTTCGGGATGGTTGGGAACGTAAGAAGTTCGAAGGGAAATGTTTGGAGCTTGCTTCGAAAGCAGTGAATCGGTCAACGATGGCAAGCAGCGAGAGTGTTGTGCGCTCTAAGAAGAGGGAGGCGATTCGTGTGATCGGGGGCAGTGTACGCACAGTTATCGAGACCCTGCGTATGTGCTGCGTTGTATGAAGGAGTGTATGCGAGAAGAGGTATCAGTGAGTGTTTTCGCGATGGGTATCAGTGAGTGTTTTCGCGATGGATGGTGACGGCGATGGGTATGAAGTGAACTTTGAGCTGTTTGTTTCAATCAATTCATTGTTAAAAGGATCGTGAGGTGCTCGAGACGTCGAGATGCTAAAGTGGGTGAAGTGTCAGAGTGTAGCGACATGGGAGGTGGAAGTGGCAGAGAGTGGTTGGTTAGGTGGTGTGGTGTTCTTTTCTCTCTTGGGGGTTGGCCGAGGGGGTGGTCGCATGGCATTGAGGATTGGGGCATCATAGTCGCACTGCCCAGGTGTCGCATTCCAATCTAAAACGTCTTTGGCCGGCCAATCAGTGACCTTGTAACAAAACATCAGCTGCACCTCATCCCCGGTCCCGCTAGACCTGTTCCTTAATGCTCCTCCTGGTCCGATAACGCCGCCCGCCTCCCGCTCACCAGCCCAAGCCTTGCGTGAGGTTGCATCCAAACAGTGGATAATTGTGTCGCAGTAGATAATTGTTTGCTCTCTGTCGTTACATGCATACTGTGTATATTTAGAATGGTCTCTTATGCTGCTCAAAACTCTGCCGGTGTCATCCAATGACATCCATCCCGTCCGTCTCTTGAAACACTGCGCCGTGTGACCGTCTCCATTGGCCTTCAACCCCGCTTAATCTCTCAATGCCTCAAACCACCCCCTGGCTGGCCGCCCCTTTACTGTTCAACGCACTGCGCCCACTAATTACCTATTAACATATGGTTCCATTCACGACCACGTCACAATTTACAGTACTAGTAGGACATTAGTCGGGGGACATATCAGGCGCATTTCAGGCAGCCAAGTGTCCCCAGATTATTGTCCCCTCACTGTAGCGTCGAGACGTTGGATTATGGCTAGCTTATGATTCGCTATTCGTTGTATCTCTAACGTGAATATCGTGTTATGCCTTTATATGTCCACTATTGAATCATGTTTGAATACCCATCGCGTCCCTCCGCCACATGTCGTCATGCCCCTTAACACGGATGCCTCCTCCATTTATACAATGAAGGCGATAATGCCAATTGTTATACATGCCACACTTTTACAGCTCGTCGTGGTCACCGGGCTCATCGTCGTCCTCACCAGGACCAGCACCTCCGTAGAGTTTGCTGGTGATGGGATACGCCACATTGCTGAGCTTCTCCTTCTGCTCATCAAACTCTTCCGCAGTAGCTGATGCTGCGTTCTCATCGAGCCAGTCCTGCGTTTCTTTAACAGCCTCAATGAGCGCTTCCTTATCATCTTCATCGATCTTGCCGCCAAGTCCCTCTTCATCATTGACCTGGTTCTTCAGGCTGTACGCATAGTTCTCGAGTCCGTTTCGTGATTCGATCCTCTCGCGAGTTGCCTTATCTTCATCGGCATATTTCTCTGCTTCTTCAACCATGCGTTCAATTTCCTCAGCTGTGAGACGGCCTTTGTCGTTGGTGATGGTGATGGACTCGGATTTCCCGGTACCTTTGTCGGCTGCCGAAACACGAAGTATACCGTTGGCGTCAAGCTCAAACGTGACTTCGATTTGGGGAACGCCACGGGGCGCAGGTGGAATGTTCGTGAGTTCAAATTTGCCCAAGTTGTTGTTGTCCTTGGTCATGGAACGTTCACCTTCGAAGACCTGAATCAAGACCACGGGCTGGTTGTCCGCGGCGGTCGAGAAAATTTGACTCTTCTTGGTAGGGATGGTTGTACCACGCTTGATCAATTGAGTCATGACACCCCCGGTAGTCTCGATACCAAGTGTCAATGGGTTAACGTCCATCAGAACGACACCGGAAGTCTGCTCGTCTCCAGAAAGAACACCTCCCTGGACCGCAGCGCCGTAAGCGACAGCCTCGTCAGGGTTGACGTCCTTCCTGGCCTTCTTGCCGAAAAAGTCTTCGAGCATCTGCTGCACCTTGGGGATACGAGTGGAACCACCGACAAGAACAATGTCGTCAATGTCGCTCTTCTTCATCTTAGCGTCCTTGAGCACCTGCTCAACGGGCTTAAGAGTCTTCTTGAAAAGATCATTGTTAAGCTCTTCGAACTTAGCACGAGTGAGAGTCTCGGAGAAATCCTCGCCCTTGTGGAAGCTCTCGATTTCGATCTTGGTGGTCTTTTGGGAGGAAAGTGTACGCTTCGCCTTCTCGACTTCACGCTTGAGTTTACCCATAGTCTTAGCATCCTTGGTGATATCGACATTCTTCTCCTTGTTGTACTTCTTCGTGAAGTAGTTGATAACACGCTGGTCGAAATCCTCACCACCAAGATGCGTATCACCAGCAGTAGCTTGGACTTCGAAGACACCTGTGAAGCGTTAGTGTCTAGATCCAGAATGATGGTCAGCGGAATGTACTGACCATTGTCAATGGTGAGAATGGAGACATCGAAGGTACCACCACCGAGATCGTAAACGATGACCTGGCGCTCGTCCTTATCAGTCTTATCTAGACCGTATGCCAGGGCGGCAGCGGTAGGTTCGTTCACTACACGCAACACATTCAGGCCAGCGATTGTACCGGCGTCCTTAGTAGCAGCTCTTTGAGCATCGTTGAAGTAAGCTGGGACAGTGACGACAGCGTTTGTGACCTTCTCACCGAGGTAGCTTTCTGCCACCTCTTTCATCTTGCCCAAAACCATAGCGCTGATCTCCTCAGGCGTGAATGTCTTCTGTTCGCCTTGTACCTCAACATCGACCCTAGGTTGTCCATTTTTGTTGATAACTTTAAAAGGAAAGTGCTTGATGTCGGTTTGGAGTTCCTTCTCGGCGAATTTCCTACCGATAAGACGTTTCTGTGAAAGAGGTTAGCCGAAGTCCGGGGCATCGGTCCACAAACACTCACGATATCGAATACTGTCCTGTGTGGGTTGGCAGCGAACTGGTTCTTGGCGGCGTCTCCGACCAGGCGCTCCTCGTCGGTGAAAGCGACCCATGATGGTGTGATACGGTTACCTGACACGCGGTTAGTGATTCGTTTCTCATGATTGTGGCATCATTCGTACCTTGGTCGTTGACCATGATTTCTACTCTGCCATTCTTCATGACACCCACACATGAGTAGGTTGTGCCCAAATCGATACCGATGACAGGTCCTGTGACGCTGGTATCCTTGAGAGGTTCTTGATCATCTGCTTTCGCAGTTGAGAACATCAAGCCAGCAACGAGGACCACGAGAAGATAGAAGGCGATCGACCATGTTGATCGGGACGAGCCCGCTCTTGACCGTGGACCGGCCATGGTGTGTGTGAGGGGGAGGATGTGGTGGAAATGTCGTCGGAAAGATGTACCAGTGTCCCTTCAAAAGAGCAGGCAAGAGGAGAATGTCTATTGGTGGTGGGGTGTGCTGGGTGTTGTCCCCTTTGCTGTTGAATGGTCCTAAAGGAAAGGAAGATGAAGGAAAAGAAGAAGTTGGGATTCAAGTCTGGTGGCGGGTCTTTATTTGTTCAGTCGAAGGTTATAGAAAAGGTGGCTTTCTCGAAGGCGCTAGCGCTAGAGGACACCTTTCAACAACAAACTATGCCAAGACTACTGGTACTTGACAATGACCACCGTATTGCATCCACTCTGGCAGCATCCAGCAGCTTCTATTGGTCGCAACAATCCCTTTGCGCATTTTGACTCATTGAATAGGAACGGTAATACTACCGGAGAGGTCAAAGGCCACGTTGATACAAGTTTGTCTACCATTACCATCACCGCCCTCGATGTCCGGGTACGGAATCTCTTCCAAGTCTTGCATTCACAACGACGTACCTTAGCGGCTGGTGGCTCCAATGCACTCACAAGGTACGAACGCATATGTGGTAGATCTAGCAAAGTATTCAAGTATACAATATAGCCATTCACAGCTGATATCACAAGTTCAAGAACTGCAGTTCGCGCGCTCCCAATCCTTGGTGGCCTCTGAAAGTAGGCTTATCTTCTTGGCATGACTTCTCGATGAGCGCAGATTAAGCATATGTCCTGTCTTAAGCTATATTAGGAGTTCACAAGAATCCTCTCGACTGTATATACCTTTGACGATGTACTTACCAGGGTACTCAAGTCGATGTTCCATTATCTCTCCTACAACTAATGTTCAACCTGCTCCTTAGTGAGTGAGATCTGTATAGCGGCCGCCCCCACCGGTTTTGAGGATCAGCTCCAGGATGGCTGTAAGACGTTGCATTCAACCTCACTGCTGTCCTAAGACAACGGCTGAACCCTACTTGGCCGCTCCTGAAATGTTATGGAGGGCAAATGCTTTAATTCGAAGCAAATCTATGTTCGAATGCATTAAAGCGTGTCGCAGCGTTAGCTGATGCCTCCTTGGCGAACTGTACCAACATGTCCGACGGACACAACTTGGTTGACGCTCTGGAGGCCTACCTTGGCCTGTCAGAACCCTCACGCTCCTTGTACCTACAGGATGTACTCAAAAGGGAGGTCGAAGATCAGATTCGATTTGTCAATGGCAGTCCGACTCCGCTCGAAAAGAGCAAGCGAACTCAGTATATGGCATCCATGCCAAACGCGCATTTCGAAGCTCTCAAGCACGACATAGTTTACGAGTTACTCAAGAGAGGAAGGTCCAGTACTTATACCCTACCCGTAGACCTCACCGATTCTGCTGTGACCGCCTCACAGTTGAGAGATCTGCGGCCGATTGTTCCCAGCTTTATAGATAACATGGGCCACGAGCATTTCCGCACTCTCATTGCAGAATTCGTCTGCGAACTAGATAACCGGTTGGCTACTGTAATCGATTCAAGTGATACTGGGGACTCGGATTCCATGTATGCGTCGTCACTGCATTCTGGTGTATCTTCAGTTGTGGAGACGTCGCAGACTGAGCTCACAGAGGCATCAGGTCTCATGTCCCGTTCACCACTTGAGCCTTATGACGGATGGAGAATACTTCATCCGTCACCTCTGATGGTGGATGTCCGCCCATTAGTGCGGGAAGATTTGGCTAGATCCAGGTTTTCGCATGTCAGAAGCAGACCGACTTCTATAGTATCCAGACCTCCACCACTTCCTGCAACTATCACGGAAGAAGACGACCATGATGACGAATCTGGTTACGATGCAGATGGTGTTGCCAAGTATCGACCAGCAATCAAGCGTTCTTCAAGTCACAGGGAGTTTAGTAAAGTTGGTGCTGATATGCCAGACGCGAGACCTGCCACACTACGTAGGAGCAGTGCGGAATCCACATTGGACAATGCGCGAGCAGCATCCGAGAATTGGAACGACCAGGGGACTGACATATTGAATGCCCCAGCCACTGCCCCGTCGATCTATACGAAGGCACGTAATAGCGTTCGCTCAAGCTGGAGGATGAGCAATTCCTACAACCGTAGAAGCATCAAGAGAGATAGCAGCGTATCGAGCCACCATAGCTTCTCATCTGCCAAAAGCTTTGCTACTGCGCAAGCTAGTCTACATAGCGCGGAGGCTCATAATATGGCATCTTCTACGAAGTCCAGTGAATGGCTTGATTTCCTCCGATCTCTATCCTTGATCCCGGACCAGATGTCTGAGTTAAACTGGTCAGGGAAAGGGCAACATGTAGAATACGAGCCCTCGGAAGAGAATGATATACCCATTGTCGAGGAGAACCTTCTTGGCCATACAGCGAGTGCTGTTGTTCAGAGTGTACGATGTAAACGGATCCGACTTGCTCGTAAGACCATTTCATGCAACCGCAAATTTCGAAGAGAGGAAGCAATCAAAGAAGTTGAACATCTTCAGCGTGTCAAGCATTGCCACGTGGTTCGAGTTGTAGGCACGTATGTTGTCAAGCAGAATTTATCGATCCTCCTCTATCCTGCTACAGAGTGGAATTTAGAGACCTTTATTGTGTCTTTGAAATCGGGAGAGGAAGTCGCGCCCCGACGGGACCACCTTGTGGGATTCGTACGTTGTCTTCTGGAGACAATGAATTTTCTGCACGATTCTCTCATAAAACACATGGACATCAAACCCAAGAACTTGCTTGTCCGAGATATTCGGCGCTCGGTCCTTCGATCGAGAATACCAGCACCGCTTAACCATTATAAGGTCTACATTGCTGACTTTGGGATCGCTCGCTCGTATCGGTGCTCCGAGGACGCCGAGACCTCGGGCAGGACATCCTTCACGAAACGTTATGCTGCTCCTGAGGTGGTTGACCAAGCACCTCGTGGCTTCAGTGCCGACATATTTTCCATGGGATGTGTATTTCTGGAAATCATTGCCGCTGTCTTCGATACAGAGCTGGCTAGTAGTGAGCACAGCGAGGGCTCTTCGGCGCCACACGCTGATGAGCTAGACAAGATCCGTGAGAACAATCCAGACTATGATGATTCATATCAGGCGAACGTTACGGAATTAAAAGCCTGGCTTGTTAGACTTGGTTGTCGACCCAAAGATGGTGCCTTTTCTCCAAAGTTCTGCGCCTTGGTCGCCGCCATGATCAATTATGAGGCCCATGATAGACCGACGACTGAGGATATTCTGATGTCCAGCTGGTTACCAATTGGCTGTTCAGATTGCCATAGTGACCAGGATCCGTTTGAGTCAGCGTCTCAATCAAATGAGTAATTTGTCATACCTAGGCATTAACAAAAGTGATGACTCGAGGAATTCTTCTACCACTTCAGCACCGCAGCTATGTAGCTTATGTTGTAAATGCACTTGGAGCAGACGCTGACTCGAAGCATATCTGTGGTACCGAAGTCACGATGAATTGGAGTTCAGGACACATTAGACGCCATTTATTCACCCCTTTGTGGCGTGGAGCGTGTACTCTCGTGACGCCCAAGGATTGATCCGAGAAATATCGGGCGAAGAGGTTCTTCTCAGGCACTTCTCATGTCAATAAATACTGCGACTTGCTCACTGGCACTACATCCAATAATGTGAGCTGACAGGCTGCATTGGGCAACCTCGATCGTATTGACTAGTAGCACTCAAATACTGCCTCTGTACACTTGTATACATCTGTAGCTCAACATTTATCCATACTTGAGGCCTCTACAGGTGCCTAGCCACAATTAAGTAATACCGTAACAGGCTACACCAATGAGTTTCTCCAGCACCTAGCATGGATCACACAAACACAACCCAGAACTTTACATAATTATCGTACAAAACCCGGTCGACACTGGTTATTGTCTACGACGCCGCAGGCATCACCATCATCAAGGCTGGTGCGAGAAGCCACAAAACACAAGCCTCGACACGCCGCCGGATACAATATGGACAGACTATGGATTGCGCCTCACCCGTGTACCACGACTCAGCACCACGTCCATCGTCTATCCTATACGGCGCCAATCCATGACCCTCACTCATCGCACCGCATCGCATCGTAGCGCATCGCATCTCGCGACCTCAACACCATAAAATTCCCCGCCCACAACGCACCCGGCGTCCTGGCACAGCCTTCGAAATTCTCCGACGCACACCCACCCGCACACGCACACCACGATGCAGCCGAACCTTCCGCTGCACGCAGCCCCCGGCCCGCGTACCGTCTACGACCCAACAACCACAACCACACCCAGAGCAAGCTTCACGACCAAAACCACACCCATAAAACCATCCCGCACGCTCACACCCCCCTACCCACCCAAATTACCATCCCATATCCTCACCCACCACGACCAGACAGGCGGCAACTTCCAATGCATCCTCGCCCTCACCACTAGCAATAGCAGCAGCAGCAGCACACATCTCCTCGCCATCCTAGCCGCCCACTTCGACCGCGCAATCCACCTCTCCACCAGCACTAGCACAACAACAACACACCAACCCCCATCGATCCCACGCGGCCGCACAAACAGCGGCCGCGCAATCGAATCATTACATCATCATCACCAGCACAACAACACCCCATCATCAACAAGCGCACGCATCCTCGACCTCGGCGCCGAATCAGTCGATCTAATCGTCGTGCACGACGACGGGGATGAATTCTCTCACACTGACACAGACATAGCCTCAGCACCATGGTGGCGAGCCATAAGCCGCGTCCTGCGCACAAGCGGGACAGTTGCGATATGGCGCGTGGACCGCGCGTATTGCTATCCGTTGCCGACGACGACGGTGCGGTGCGAGGAGGTGCAGCGGTTGTTGTTCCGGCTGGAGGATCTGAGGAGGGGAGTGTGGGATAGTAGTAGTGGTAATGATGGTAGCGGTAGTAATGCTAGTGGTGGACACAGGGACAGGGACAGGTACACCGGAATCCCAATGCCATGGCAGTACGCAGGCCTGGAGACGCCGTTTGACAAGTACGCGATGCAGCGCATGGTGTGGAACGCGCGGGGTGAGGCGGATGCGTTGGTACGTATTCTGTTCGTTTGTGTATACCGTCCATACATGTATACTGTCCATGCCTGTATGTGCTTGAAAAGGGGGCGGGAATCGCACCATCGACTAAACCTCACACGTACAACAGGGCGAATACTTCGCCGGCATCGAATCGAGAAGACTAGATGAGTGGGAGCACTTACTTCGGACAACGATAGCAACAAAGACAACGACGAAGTCTGACAACGACTCCAACACTGCACACGTGATAGCCTCAACATTCGCACAGCTACGCGACGTGCTCGGCGAAGGCGTGGAGGAGATCAGTATGGTCGGACCGACAGCCCTGGTGACGATGAAAAAGATATGGTGGTATACGACTAGGCTGTACTGAAAGGAAGGAAAACACACTCTCCGTCAATTAATCAATGAATAACTAGTGGGTTTGGTCTGGTCTGGTCACGTGGGGTGGGCTGGTTATATTTTCATTATCTGGAAGGGAAAAGAAGAGAGTTTTGTCTTTTGGTAGGACTTATTGACGTCGTTATCACTCTTATTAACTTCCGAAACGACAAGACATTCAGGGGTTCGGACGTCTGCAGAAATGTACATAACTGTCCTAACATTCCTAGTATCTCGAGGTGGTAATCAGGGGGGTCAAGACACACGTCCACGGCTCACTCATCTCGCAACATGCGATCACTCCTCAACACGAGTGCACATCGTAGGATGCGCTGATACTTATTATCGCAGTAGGCAATGGTCATCCATTTGAATAAATACACGCACACGCACTGGAAAAGCCAACAGCTCGACAATTCTCCCCCTTTCAGTCTCCCACTCCACCGCAGCAAAGTCCCTGGAGATCTGATAATAATAATAGTCGTTCTGTATCCCCCCCCCTCCTAGAAGCTCCAAATGGCGCCAATATCCCAGCGCCCGCTAAAATCATGCTGTCAAGAAAGTGTGCGAGGAAAACGCCCGACTATATCTTCCATGTTCGTCCCTCAGAAGTCCCCAACCAAACCTCCCCCCCTAGTTCCCTTCCTATTTCAGGATCACTCCCGACTTGAAGATTTGTTCCGAAGTATGTTCGAAGAAAAGTTGTGTAGATTATATATGGCCCCCATTCTTAGCCAGGCACTGAAAGTATATCTCCTCTTCCATGAACCAAGTGACCCCGTGGCTGCTTCACGCGTCCGAGAAATCATCCAGATCGTCATCATCGTCCACCACATCCGTGAAATCCAGATCAACAAGCACACCTCCATCGACCACGACGCCCCCTGCATCGTCATCGATATTCGCAAGTTCTGCGTTCATTTGTACCTGCATCGCCTGAGAGAACGTGACGAATTGCTCGTCGCTGACCGGTGCGTCATCCTCATCGTCGCCCATCTCGCCGTCTTCACTCACGAAATTATGTAGATGGTTGTCAATGGCAGTGAGCGCGCTATCGGTGGCAGCAGGCGTATCGTCGTTGAACAAGCCAAAGAAGAATTCGCCAAGCTGGGCAGCTAGCTCATCGGCAGCTTTGGCACCCTCGCGTTCGTGTTCGCGGCGTCTGCGGTCGGCCTCCTGAGCAGCTAGGCGTGCTTTGCATTCTTCCTGGAGACGGCACTGTTTTTGTATATGTGGTTTCTGGTCACAATGGGGACAGTGATAGTTCATTGAGCAGTATCCGCAGGGGCAGAGCTGGTTTCCAAGCATGCAATTCTGTGCAACATGTCAGTATGATAATAAGCGTTCTGTGAGCGATTCTACTAACCTCACAGACGTATACGCCGCACTCTTTGCATTCTTTCAGAGTCGCCGGGCACCTTGATCTGGAATCGCCAATGGCGCGGGGAGATTGGCAGTAATAGGCACCGCATCCTTCCCACTGAACCGGATGTCGTGGATGACCTGGTCGTGGCACCCTCGCGTGTGGTGCATTTGCCCGTTGCGAGGTTGCATGAGATGTACTGGTCACACGGTGTCGAAGGTCTGACACACTGAGTGATCGAGGACGGGTGAATGGCATGTTGTAGTACGAGATATCGAGGTTGTTGTCTAAAGCTAAGCCACGTGACGATATCGACGCAGCCATGTCGGTCGGTGGATGTAGTTCCTGAGATGGGACGCTAGTGTGGGGAGGCGGAGCAGGTCCATTGATATGCATAGCAGTAGTAGATGGTTCTATCACAGTTGAGGACGTTGCCTGCTGCTCATCTGCGAGGGTGCCCACATATGCAGGAGGATTTCGTTGAAAGGCTGGTATCACAAGCTCATTTCGGTCGGCTTTGTAGTTCAGCACGAAGTCTCTTTCGGTCTGCAGGTCACGGAAGCCGCACTTTCGAATTTTCAGCGCACGGAAGTCATGTTCTTTACAGAGCGGCTTCTTGCAACCCCTGCAGGAAACCTTCCACCGGAAACTGCGATAACAGTCTTGACACAGACTCCTCGGGCACGTCGATTCTTGCAGCATGAGGGAGTCTTGTGTGAGGAATGAAAGAATGTTCATGTCTTCACCTGACAGCTGCCCGTATAGGCCATTGGCTTTCAGATTTTTGAGCCTTCCTGACGGTATCGTCGATGAGAACTCCGGGTCTTTGAATTCCGGACTTCGGGGAAGAGGTGCTGCACGTATTTTGTCTGCACCTCTGCCCCCGATTGAATTCCCAAGGAATGTGATGCCACCGCCACCCGAAAATATTGGTTCAAGACAGCACCAGTGCATATTGAGCTTTAAAGGGCTCATGTTAGCCAATATATGGGGGTTAGCTACTGCTCCGAAGTTGTTGTTACCTCCATCCTCGGAGTCAGAGTCGCCGTCATCTGGCCGTTCTGTCATCATATTTGGTGAACGTGTCGCTCCGGGTGCCCACCAGAAACGGTCATTAGCCGGGGATTCGGAGCGTCGTACGTTCCCCTCAAGACTAATCGAAGCTTGTTGAGCTTGATGTGAATTCGTCAACAGGAACTGCTGGTTGCCGAAGGCTTCTTCTGTAAAGTGTCGAGTCTTTGCGCGTTTTCGAGGTACCGGACGGTTGAAAGCGCAGCTCGCACAGAGAGTCTTCCTGCATCCCATGCAGTGCATTCGCACACTACATTGCTCGCACCGCTCAAGGATATCTTCATCACACTGGCTGCATTTGACGCCGTCCACAAAAGTTCTGTGACTCTTTCTCAGGTGTGCTGGAACGTCCTTCCCCTCACCTAAACTTGATCCATCTTCAGGGCCGAGGGCTTCACCATCATATCCGGTTTCAGCGTCTTCCCAAAGCCGACCATCTGAGGTTCGTTGAGCAGTGCCGTGTGACGGGCCTATGCGGTTACAGGATCTCCATAGCCTGTCGAATGGGACCCATACTTCAGGTGTGCCAGGTGCAGCCCTGCCGTTGTGGTAGTCCTTCCTCCTGAAGCATCGTCCAGCCGGGGTCGGACACCAAGCTGTATCTGTCCAAATACCAAGCTCATGACAGATTTCGATGAGCTGATGTGTTGGCTCAGAGTCGGAATCTTTTCTGGCAAGTGACTGGGGAAGATATGGCCGCCGGCGGTGGTGACGACATCGATAGGCATATAAAGACTTTAAAGCGAGTTCCCCTTTGACGGCCCACGGGACGCCTTTTTTGCTATAGGGTTCTAGGAACGGGACCAGATGGTATTTGATGGATACGTTTTTACATCCACGGACAGAAAGATGCTGTAGCATGGAAATGCGCGGTTGCAGGACCCGCGAAACTAGGGACACTCCAGTCACCGCAGTATTGCACAAATCAAGGTTTCTCAATCGCGTTCCGAGAGGAACTACTACCTGTATCAGAAGACCGTCCAAGGCATACTGCTTCGATTGTCTGTCTCGTCCATCTGGGGTTTCGTTGCCAGGCGAGCCCACAACTGGAGCTGGTTGAGGTAGTCGGAACGATAAGGTCTTCCAGGCTAGTGGGTAAGATGCAAGGAATTCTCTAAGATAACGACTGGTGTGAAATAAGTCGATGATGGACACCGTGGGGAGCTGGCTCAGCAAACTCTCCAGTATTGGTGGGTGTGCGCTGATGACGGCCTCAAAAAGACTTGTTCGTGGAGCAGTCTCATATGTTTGGATATCCCCTACCAGCATGATTCCACCTCGTCCAGCAGGCCCTTGCCTCATAACTGCTTTCCCTGTGTCTCTTTTTTCACGGCTTCCCTCCACCACCTCGCCATTACGGAACACACCCTCCGCAGCAGTATCCAAGAACAACTCCACGCCGGCAGAGGAAGATACCAAAGGCGAGGCAATGCTCATGCTTCGTGAGAAGTGTTTGACTTGCGTTTGCTGTCTTATTCCAGGTTGCGGACTCAGTCCAAGACGATCGGCCAGTTCCAAGCCTTCCAGACAATATTCGCGACGCAGTGAGCACGGTGGTCGACACGTCATGCAGGTGCAATACAGGCGGTGTAGGTGAAGCGGCAGTAGCGAAGCCGACCACTGCTCCTGGGAGTCGCGGTGAAGAAGTGAGTGAGTCGGAGGAGCGTGCAGCAGAAGACAGCGTGAAAGTGAATGAGAGAGGGTATGAGAGGTCGTGTGCAGTCCGTTCACGAAGGTTGGGAGATTGAATCGCGCCCTGCCGCCTGGGAAGGGGCTACGCCAGATCCGGCTACTGGTCTTAGCGCCACCCCAAATATATACACCGGAGGTTAACTGTACCCATCACCAGCCTGAAATTGGCCCTGGTGTCGGCGACAGCGTCTGTTCTCAGAACAAAATTGGCTGAGACCACAATCTATAAGTCCATTTTTGGTTTATATACACATCACTTGTACTACTATATGGTACGTAGTCGTGCTTCACATTTACAACAGATACCGGCCATCGTGTACACACTGTGACCCTATCGACCGCTAACTGGCAGACCTATCATCTCCAACCACATAGCCCCGAGCGACTCCACGTCTCCCTTCTTCAACAGGCGCTCCTTGTCTGTCTATAGCACCTGACTCGTCATATGCGATTTCGAAGTCACTCCCCAATCCTTGCCACGTCCGTTTCGACCTCAGGAATTCTGCACCTGGAGAAACGACCCCTGCTATCTGCGCTATATCGCCTTTGGCACGCTTTACGACTGAAGAAGACATTTTGGTGCTCGATGTCAAAGCAGCAGCAGAAGAGCGATGACCGTTAGTAGTACGCATTGGACGACTATGTGAGACATAGCGACCCGTTCGTAGATCAAATTCCGGTGGTGCTGAATCGCCCTCGGAATCTACATCGTCTGCGTCTCCAATGGTGGCTTGGTCGTCTTTTGGGGCAGCATTATTCTGCTCCTCACCGATCAGGATGCTCTGAAAGTCGCTGCTCCACTCGCCTGTCCAAACCCTGTCGTTGTCGCTCCTCAAGGCCAGTTGTAGTTCGAATGGCGTGATTAGCGGCTTCCAGAATTCCTTGCTCTCGATGAGGCTACTTTCCCAACACCCAATCACGACCCATCCACCTATCTCGCTGAAGTTTGCGACTTTGGCTGCGTTGATCTTGCCTACAACAAAAGTGTAACTTTTCTTCCCAGCAGCTGCGATGCTGTCTCGAACATGATCTACAATATGCAGATAGTTCTTCACAGACAGAGTATTGATGAGAATACCAAATATGTCAACAGTGCTCTGACGAGTGATGAGAGCATATCTGCGGCGGAGAGTCATGGCAGACGAGACCGGCAGAGCATTGACTTCACCTCCATTATTGTGTTCTGTTGGATAGATGTGTATAGCGCCTACACGAGAGGACAGGGTCAGCAGTAACGCGGTCGGTGGCTCTGAGATATGGAACAATTGGTAGTCTTTCAATTTGTCTGGCAGCTCGCTCACTTCGACGGGAACAGTACGATTTGGAAGTGGCGAGGAGGGGTTATGCTCAACAGACGTAGCGAAGACGTTACTGTAGCCAGTTTCTTGTAGTCTACTTTTCAGTAACGTTAAATGTTCAGAATAGGGAATATCGGCCATAAGCACTATCCTGCTCTCTTTGTCCGGATATGTGTTGATGAATGTTTGTATCACAGCGTCTATGTTCAGCGGTCTCGTGGTAAAGACGTATATGACGGGCAAGCGCGCACTGGGAGAGAGACAGGAGCGACCGTAATGTACGATGACATCGGCGTCTACGTGTTCAGCGGCGACTTCATCTACACAGCAGGATCCATATGAGGTATCACCGAGAATGAACAGCTTTTCTTCCTCTTCCATCTTGGGAGGCGAGACATTGACATCCTGCAAGCGCTGCGAAAGTCTTGCAATTTCTTCCCCATGAACATCCGTCGGCGGAGGATCGCTTGTACAGGAGCAGGACTGTCGCTTTCTCGTAATATGAAGACCGCGGCTCAGTGCTTCAAAGACTCGTGTAGAATCCACCAACATATGATCGGGAAATTGAAGGGCGATGCGTCGCCATCTTCCGGCGCGAATCTCGTTCACTGTACGCTCGACTTCGTACGTGATGGCAAGCTGCTCATCGGAGAGCCGAGGCAGAGTCGCAAGGTCAATCTTGGGAGCGGCATCCTCGAAGATGTGTGTATCAGGAGTCGACAGTACGGGCGCGACTTGTGTCGGGGCGAGGGACGACGCCATTGTGGATGAGATGGAAATTGGGAAAACATGGAAAGAAATCTTAGGCGGGGTTATGTCAGCGATGTTGGTACACGGCGGGGGCGGTACCTAAGGCGCTGCTGCAGCCCTGGAGAGGTTTGGGGTTGGGTGCGCCGGGAGGCGCAGAAACGTTTTCTGCGTATTGAAACTTGGCCGCAAGAATAGAACTAAAGGCGCTTCAGCGCTCACCAGCCTCACAGCCTCCAACGAATACGCAAACCCTATATACGGCAAATTCACTCCGGATTACCGCCCTAGTTCTCATCATTCGCCATCCAGATCTCGGGCGGCCCTGAAATCCATGACACCGTCGGCAATAGGGTGTAAAGACGACCACAACTACAACGACTACGACGACGACGACGTCGACTACAATTTCATCGGCGCCATGTGAGCGCGAGCGTTACTATAATTACCTACCAATTGTTCGGCCATTAGAACGCCGCCCGGGCCGGCCTGAGGATCATCACATTATGCTGCGAACGTCATAGCCTGAAACTAAGCTGAGGCCGGGTACAACATTGACATTCCTTTTTCGGCACCGCCCAGCAGCATAAGCCAGCGCCAGCCTCTGGTGCATATAAGCTTCCATGCCCACTCTGACGTGGCGCGTCCATCTCGCAAGCCCATTCTTATCCATCGCAACATGAGATTTCCATTGTCTTTGTTGGGCGCGTCGTTGTTGACCTTGAAGACATCTGGTAAGCTTCCGTGGAGCACGCGACATCCTTGTTCACCCTTGCTAACCACCTCTTGCGCCAGCAAACCCGGTCGATCATGTCGACGCTGACATAATTTCTCTGCCGAAACGCGCAACACCTCAAGCTCCTAATGGATACACTCCTACTGAGGTCGACTGTCCTTCAGATCGCCCTACCGTTCGCGTCGCGTCTGGCCTTTCGAATCAAGAGACGGAATGGCTACAGCGGAGACGAAACAACACCGTCCAGCCTCTTCGCGACCTGCTTGGACGCCTGACCATCAATGGCTTTGACACAAACAGCTACATAGACAACAACCAAAACAATGCTACAGCTCTGCCAAATATCGCCATTGCCTTCTCTGGTGGTGGCTACCGCGCGACGCTGAATGGTGCCGGTGTCTTGTCTGCTATGGACAGCAGGACGGACAATTCGACCAGCAGTGGCCATATTGGCGGTCTTCTTCAGGCCTCTACATATATTGCTGGTCTATCAGGAGGTTCCTGGCTGGTTGGCAGTATCTACGCCAACAACTTTACCTCGGTCCAGAACATTGTCAACACCAACCCGACCTTTTCCGGCTCTCTCTGGCAGTTTCAAGATTCAATCCTTCAGGGTCCAGACCAAGGTGGTATTCAGATCCTGAACACAGCAGATTACTGGTCCAATCTTCATGACAGCGTAGATGGAAAAGCCAGTGCTGGCTTCAATACGTCCATCACCGACTACTGGGCTCGCGCCTTGTCCTTCCAGCTCGTCAATGCCACTGACGGTGGACCGGCTTATACCTGGTCATCGATTGCTGATGACCTAGATTTCCGTGACGCGAACGCGCCTATGCCCATAATTGTGGCAGACGAGCGTGATCCGGGAGCTAAAATCATCAGCTCAAACACGACCGTCTACGAGTTTAACCCCTGGGAGATGGGTAGCTTCGATCCCACGTTATATGCCTTTGCACCCATCAAATATGCCGGATCTAGATTCAATGGTGGCCAGATCGCAGATGGCGCTCGTTGCGTCCGTGGCTTTGACAACGCAGCTTATATCATGGGCACCTCTTCCTCCCTCTTCAACCAGTTCCTCCTTCAACTCGATGGCACCAGCGCGCCACAATTCATCAAAGATGCACTGAGCTCCATTCTATCCGAAATCGGCAATGATGAAAACGATATTGCCGACTGGACCCCCAACCCCTTCTTCGGCTTTAACGAAGGCACCAACCCTAACGCCCAGTCTGAGCGCCTCACTCTCGTCGATGGCGGTGAAGATTTCCAAAATATACCTCTGAACCCACTAATTCAGCCCCAGCGCGCAGTCGATGTGATTTTCGCCGTCGACTCCTCTGCAGATACTTCGAACTGGCCCAACGGCACCGCCCTTGTTGCCACGTACGAGCGCTCACTCAACGAAACTATCGAAAATGGCACCGCATTCCCTGCCATACCTGACCAAAATACCTTTGTCAACCTCGGTCTCAACTCGCGCCCAACATTCTTCGGATGCGACGCAGACAATACCACCGGCGACGCCCCACTCATCGTCTACATCCCCAACTCGCCCTTCGTCTTCGACTCCAACGTTTCCACCATAACACTCGACTATACGATCGATGCGCGCAACGCCATGATCCAGAACGGATACCTCACCGCCACGCGCGGCAACTCGACGCAGGACAGCGAGTGGCCGCAGTGTGTCGCCTGTGCGATTATGAGCCGCAGCTGGCACAAGAGCGGCGCCCAGGTACCGGACACGTGTAATACCTGCTTCCAAAGGTATTGCTGGGACGGCACGCTCGATCAGCGACCTGTCACGTATAACCCGGACAATGTATTCGCCAAAATTAGTGCCGGACCGCCTGTAGCCAATCCCCGTTCGAGTATGCTTGCGGGTGCGGTTGCAATCGCTGTTACTGTTTTGACGTTGTTTTGAGAGAAAAGCATGGAGAGCATGGTGTCACATGGGCTTTGTTCGGTGTTTTGTTTTCTTTGCATATGGAGCAGAAGCACGTTCGAAGGATGATGTTCTACAAAATTTTGGAATCTGAGTGTGCATGTTCGGGTCTTGAAAGCTTCGGCGAGTTTCGATGTTAGTTTGAGTCTTTACAGACTAGTGTCCTGTATCTAGCTATGTATATCTATCTATGACTCTCCTGCCAGTGGCGCAAACTAGAAAGTCATCCCAAACGAGGAATGGTATATAGCTTTAACAATCAATACCACTATCAACACCACTGTCACTTTTTACTGCCATACCGTCTATGCGGATGAGGGTGTCCTTACCGCGAGGTGAAACGTAGAAGAAAGGTTATTAAGATCACGTTGGACAACCTCGACAATCGATTGTTAACTAGTATAGTTAGCCTTACTATCCCGTTCTGTCGTTATTATGTAGGGTTAGATGTGCATTATTCATGGGATCATTGGTAATAGCAGACCGCGTCGTAATCGAGCACAATGCATGGTTTAGTCACTTTAATGCCTGTTATAATGAGTGCCTGATCATTGTCCACTGTGTCCATTGTGTCCATTGTCTGTTGTTAGGATGCGTTGGTCATTGGCAGAATGCATTGTTCATGTCTGTCCGTTCATCGGTATGCATTGTTCATGTCTGTCCGTTTGTCGATATGCATTGTTCATGTACATCGTCCATGCCGATTGTCCATTGTCAATTCTCGATTGTCCGCTAACCATTCCCGATTTTACATTCTCCATTCTCCATATGGGTTATGCATCGTCCATCGTCCATATGCATATGCACATCGCAGTTCCCTCTCCAATCCCGCGCTCTCTCGCTTTACTATCGCTGATCGCTGATGCAAACAAAGTTCCCCCAACGCCAAAGATGGATGAATGGCTGAATGAATGCAAAGAACGTGTAAAAAGAAGAATAAGAAGAGGAGCAAGAAGAAGAAAAAGTCCAGATGCACCGACCGCACGTGCGCGCAAAAATAGAATCAAGCGTTTTCGCTAGGAGGAAGGCGCTCACGACACAAAACGGCAAAGCTATGCATGCATGCACACCAGACCAGGACCCCATTGACGACCATATATACCAAACGCGCAACGCCGACGCCGACGCCGCCGCCCCAAGCATCACCTCTTAGCCACAGCGGCGGTCAGATCCCGCTCATAAAACACGATATACGCCTGTTCGTTTTGCAGCCTCTCGTTGGCCCTCAGGTCCTCTGGCATAAAGTCCGTGACGCGCTCGTCGTTGAACTGGCGCCATACACCCTTAACACTGTCTTTAACACACGCAATGTAATGCCCGCTACTGATTGTCTGTCCAATATGCCGGATGACTGCATACGCATTGTATATATACGGCCCGTTCATGCTGACGTCAGCCTTTAGCTTCGCAAGTTGGTTTGCGCCGTCTTGCTGCTGTGCGATAACAGCTTCCTCGGCAGGCGTCGGGGGTGGAAGCATGTATGGCGAAAGGTCGAGACCGGTGAGGGGAAACTCGATTGGTGTGCGAACTTTTCGCGCTCGCTCGTCGTGACTGGCGCTGAAGCGCTTGAAGTGCAGGATGAGGTATTGCGGCGCGCGAGATAGCGTGATCTGTTTACTGGCCTCGCGCTCAGTCTTACACTGCGGGCATTTCCACACTTCGTCACCGCTGAGGCGCTCTTCCTTGCAATAGGAGCGCAGGCAGTCACGGATGTCGGAGGGGTGATCCCGTGGTATCTCGACGGAGAGCGAGTAGAAGGCTTCGAACGTAGTCGAGGTGTGGGCGCAAGTCGCGCAGCGAAGACGCGAGGCATGCTGGCCGGCGAAGAAGTCCGAAATGATGGATTTGTCGCGCATTGAGTAGCGCATCCACTCGACTTGTGCGGCATAAAGTTTGGGGAGACGTTCGCGGTAGGCCTCATCGCGCTCTGTGAGAGCTTTGAGTGGGGGATGGGACCATTGCCGATTCATATCTTCATGGAGGATATCGAGGAGGAATTCGAGGAATTCTTTGGCGTCTTGCTGCTGGTCACGGGACCATTCGGCATTGAAGCGGCCGCAAAGTTTCTGCAAGCGTGCGTTAGATTCTAAGCATGAAAGAAAGGGGGCTACAGAACTGACCCGTAAGCTAGTCGGGCGAAGGGCGCGGACGTCGCCCTGCCAGAGATTCTTTATCAATGTAGCGTAATGTTCCGACATGAGTCCTTTGGACCCCTTCCAGTTGTCTCGCTCAATCAACCTTTGGTATCGATTGTCAAGGAAAACACCTGTCAAAGGCATAGTTGCGTTCAGACATTGAACCGTCGAATTCATGTAGCATGTAACACCAAAATTGACGAGTCCAGTCTTAGGGAGACGATAACGAGGGTTACGACTGGGCGGTATATACGCTGCAAGGTGAGCTGTGCGGCTCGATCCTGTCTGTTGAGATGATTCCCGTTCATGTACACCACTGTAACTGACTCGAGGTACAGACGGAGCTGGCCTGGATGGTACCGGAGGAATACTAGGTTGTATGTATGCAGACTCAGAAGCCTGGCGCCGCGGCGGATACACCATTGATTGTTGGTCAAGCGCTGCCGGCTCTGGAAAGCGTCTGAGGAAGTCTGCGGTGGAACGATATATCTGAGGGTCAGAATCACCTTCATAGTCGGCTTCCTCTTCGGGGATATTCCTGTTTTCCAGTTCCGCTCTTTCAATTCTGGCCTTTTCAAGCCACTTTTGCTCCTCTTCGGGATCTAGGGTGGTAAAGTCTCTATGGCGCTTCTTCTGCAAATTCATCGAGATATTCCGCTTTGCAGGCATGCGGCGGATTGGTCGATTGGATTTTTGTTGTTGAGACACGACTGCGGTCGTTCGTGAAGTTGCCAACGCGTTGGTACCTATCAAGTCTGCCCATGCATCGAGTCCTCCTCTTAGCATAATGGGTGGTCGACTCAGAGGTCGATCAAAGTTGAATTCGGTCAGCGATTCATACAAGTTCTTCAGCACCTCCTCTTCTTCATTCCGCACTGGTCGATCAAGAAAACTCGTGTCTCTCGTGGCCTGATCATAGAAGACTACCAAGTCGAATTCGTTCCTTTGTTCGAACCAGTACAGTTCATTTTCAGGGGAGAGGACCAGAGAATCCTGCAATTGCTCGGCGGACATGTTGGGTTTCAAGGTAGTCGGTTCTATGCACATGACTTGTTGCGCAAAGATGTGGCCATCGTCAAAGTCTTCACGATTACGAACATCGATCAGTAGCACATTGTACATGCGATTGTAATCGAAGAGCCTCTCGGCATCAATATGGCTTTCATTTGGTATACCCAGCGACACGCGGCGGGTATGTCCATTTGTTTTTGGTGCTGCTTGGGCTGGAAAGTACGAGTCTGCCGAGCCATTATTGTTGGGGGCTTGAGCAGATGCATTTGACGCCATAGAATTACTACGACCTCCGGTACCTACCATACTTCTGGCGGTACTCCTGGGCGGGTCTATGCTGGCTGGAGTTGCCATGTTTCTCGCGGGACTGTATGTTGGACTGGGCGCCTTTGGCATTGAAGCCGTAAAATTCGTGATAAGGGGTATCTTTGGGGGGTGAGGAGGCGCGGAGGGAGCGGTTGGTAGGTCTCGGGGCCCCATAGGCCGGGGCAATACATCGCCTGAAATTTGATATTCAGTTGGCGAAGGCATCTTCACTGATAGATCCCATGAAGTGTTTGTCGAGATAGTGCCAGTTGCGGGCATGTTGGCTGCTGATTCCGCTTTTGGGGTTGCTCTTAATCTAGCAAAGCGCTCCGCTAGAGCATCAGCATTTGCAGCCCCGTTTGTGAGTGCCCGACCATGGAGACTTTGAGGTTTCGGGTTCACTGGTGGCCGCGGCTTGAATGCTACATAAGAATCGCCCGGAGTAGAGCGACCTGCAGCCGAGCCTGGTCGAATGTCGAGTGAGGTTTGCGAAGAGGAGCCTTGCGCTTCATAGCCATTCGATGATGGAGGCATAGAGTACCGGTTGGAAGGGTTTGATTGAATGTTGGAAGCAGTATGTGGCATTGTGGGCGGGCCGGCATCTCCTGGCCGGGTGCCATTTCGTATGTTATCATTGACGATTATCTCTCTAATCTTGGCATATCGCTCCTGGTCGGAACCTATTTTCTGATGATACACATCAGTCCAGTCCACTTCATTCGTAGACAGTGACAGACCTTTGTGAGTTCCCTGTACAGTCTGTGAAACCTTCCCCTATCGGCTTGGAGTGTCGGGTATTCCTTGTGTCGTGGTACGAGGTTCAGGATGATTTCAGAAGCGACCAAGAACTCTGTGTATGCGAAGTCCGGTCGGCGATACGTTTCGAAGATATCAGCCTGCTTTGCAGAGTCGTGTGCTACGGTCAGAAGGTGGCCAAGCTGCTTCAAGTCAGGTCGAGTGGTCCGACGATAGGACTGTGACTGTACAGGTAAATGCTGCTGCGCTTGCTCAGCCAGAGTCTTATTTGCTTTCGCTTTGAGATCTGCCAAATGTTCCATTATACGGGGAGGCTTTCCAGCTCCATTTGCTTGCGGGCCGCCATAGCTACTGGGCTGTCCAGGTAGCCCATAGCCATTCATTGCAGACGCCGGAGGCGGAGGGGCAGCAGTACTCATGTCAAGCCGCTTACGAGACTGCGGAAGGCAGCATGCTTCGTCCGATTACCAGCGTAGCCAGACTATATCTTCTTCTCTATACGCAAAGAATCGGTGGATATGAGACGATCGAGGATCGAGGCACGGGTGCTGGTGCTGGTGCGATGCTGTGACTTGAACTTGCGCGTAGTTCTAGCGCAGATATTGTATAATTCAGAGCTCGTGATGCGGTGTGAGAGAGGTATGGAGGAAGAGAGAGAAGGACAGGTAGAGGAGTAACAAGAGTCGACGGCGAAGTTAAGAAGGTGGTGAGCGGTAAATGGGGAATACGTATGCTGGCAGAGGATTACGGTGTGTGTTCATGAGACTCTCCCACCACAGTCAGTCCCACTTTGATCTGAATTGACAAGGGTGGTTGTTCAACCTACAGTGTGCCAAGACTCGAATGACGACGCCAGCATCCACCAGCCGCGGGCAGGCAGAGATTCAGCCCAGAACCCGCCTAGTAAACCCCCCCGGTCTTTGCCGCATCCCATCGCCCTGGTTGGTTCTAGTTACCGCCTAATCCAGCTCCTAAGAACAGCTTCACTGTCTTGATACCCAACAATACACACACACATACGTACATACGTACATACTCACCTGGTCGCATTTCGAGCCTCTTCTTTACTATTGTTCCTGCTATCTGCTTTGTCTGCTCAGTGCGGTGTACCTACCTCATACCTCTTTCCACCATAGCTCGAACAGCGACGACCATGGCAGGGTGGTTCTCATCGGGCACTTCAGCTCTGGACGAGCAGATCGAACGTGCGACCTCTTCAAGCTTGTACGGACTATATGAGTGCTGTCTTCGCCCGGCTGCCGTGTTGCTGACATCTCTACAGAGAAGACATTGCCCTGAACCTCGAAATATCCGATGTTATCCGCTCGAAAACAGTGCAGCCTAAAGAAGCCATGCGGGCTTTAAAGAAGCGCATAGGCAACAAGAATCCGAACGTTCAGTTGGCGGCCTTGAACGTACGCGTCCCATATCCCATCCCACGGTCTTATGTGTGTTGGACTGACCAGTACATAGCTCACAGATACATGCTTCAAGAACGGCGGAACCCATTTCATGAATGAAGTTGCGTCACGGGAGTTCATCGACAACTTCACATCCTTACTGGAGGGCTACGGAGAAAGTGCCCCGAATCACGCCGTCAAATCAAAGATATTAGAACTCATACAATCGTGGGCTGTTGCTGCCGAGGGAAGGAACAGTCTCTCATATATCGGAGAGGTCTACAGGACACTCCAAAGGAGCTACAGCTTTCCGCAAAGAGAGGCTATCGCCAGTAGCATGTTTGACAGCAGTGCACCTCCGGAATGGGCGGATTCGGATGTATGCATGCGATGTAGGACACCGTTTACGTTTACGAATAGGAAACACCACTGCCGGAATTGCGGGAACGTCTTTTGTGGCTCATGTTCCGGGAAGACACTACCTTTACCGCACCTCGGCATACTAGAGGCTGTCAGGGTCGACGATGGATGCTATCTCAAGCTCACCGACAAGTCAAAGCCGTCCTCAGTCGCTCGGGGCTTCGAGGCTGTAAAGCCGGCCCGAACCCTCTACCAAGGTTCGATGGAGCCCAGGAGTGCGCGGGTGGAGGACTCGTTTGATGCAGATCTCAAGAAGGCACTAGAGATGAGTCTGGAAGAGGCGAAAGGTAGCGCTCCGGGATCAGGTTATGTTCCACAGGCACAACCGAAATCACAGCCCAAGCCAAAGTCCGCCGTACCTAAGCCGGTGGCAAAGGACGAAGAGGAGGACGATGACCTCAAAGCGGCTATCGCGGCATCTCTGGCGGACATGGAGGAGCAGAAGAAGCAGCATGCGGCAACTTTCAAGCAGCAGACGTTATCTTCGAATGGCGTTGCAGCACCTGTAGCTCCGAAGAACGATTACGAGCTGACGCCTGTGGAGGCTGAGAACATCAACTTATTCTCCACGCTTGTCGATCGACTACAACATCAGCCCCCGGGAACTATCCTTCGGGAGCCACAGATACAAGAGCTATATGAAAGTATCGGCAAGCTACGTCCTAAGCTCGCAAGAACATACGGAGAGTCGATGAGCAAATACGGTCAGTGGAGTGGGATTGATGAGACCAAGCAGATACTAACCGGTAGTAGATACACTCCTTGATATACATGCCAAGCTCTCTACTGTAGTACGATATTACGATCGGATGCTCGAAGAACGACTCTCGAGTACATACAGCCAGTCTTCCTACGGAATGCCACGGCCGGCTTCGAATATGTATCCACAACTCCAGGCGTCGACAGACCACAGCGGTCCGTCGGCAGCTGAGAATTACTATACGGGAAACGCAGCGCCATCAGACCCGTATGCGCGACCGCAGACAACATACAGCTATGCGCCCGCGCAACAAACGCAGCCGTCGTATGCGCAATACGACCAGCGCGCATCCGCAACTCCAACACAATACAACGCGCCCCACGATCGACTGCAAAGACAGGCTTCGAATGGGCCGTACCCGAGTCTTGCCGGCTATGCTCCTGGACAGTCACAACTTCCGGCGGCGGCGGCGCAGCAGCAGCAGCAACAGAAGCCTCCTAGCACATCCTATGAAGCCTCTCCACACATGCAACGTCGCACATCAACATACTCGAACCACTCGCAACAAGCGGCGTCGTTTAACCCCGCGCAACCACTCCCTTCAGCTCCTGAAGATCCGAACACTTCATATTACTATGGTGACGTCACGCCCACCCAAGCACAAGCCCCTGAGCAGCAGCAGCAGCAGCAGCAGCACCGACCCCAACAGACGGAGCCTCCGCAACAGACATACCCAATCTCGCCGCCCCAGCCCGCACCACCACAGCTCTACCAGCAGCCCCAGCAGCCTCAGCAACCACCATCCTACACACAGCAGACGCAACCGACGCAGCAGCCCCAACAACAGCCTCCACAACAAGCGCCACAAGCCGCAAGCCAGCAGCCCCAATACTGGCAGCAACCGCAGCTGGAACAGCAACATCAGCAACAGCAGCAACCACAACATCAGCCACAACAGCAACATCAACAGCAACATCAACAGCAACATCAACAACAGCCCCAGCAAGCACTCCCTCCAACACAGCAATCAGCTCAACCACCACAACATCATCAACATCTCAATCAACACCACCACCAACAACAACAACAACAACAACAGCAATGGCAACCCCCAACCCCAGCACAACATCAACATCAACAACCACAACAACATCAGCAACAACAACAACCACAACAGACATACGCCGGCTACGCAGCAGACAGCTTCCCGGAGGCGCCGCGACATCAACCGCAGGCGGTCAAGGAGGAGGCCTTGATTGAGCTGTGAGGCGGGTGGTTGGTGTCGGTGGGGAGGATAGATGGATGGGAGGATGGAGACGGGGATGGATGGATGGATGGATGGAGACAGGGATGGATGGATGGATGGATGGAATGGTAGGAGTGGCGTGTAATGAATGGGTTACTTGCAAGGGGGGATGGGAGGTGTTTGGGGGAAGTAGGGTATATATATATATATATGTAGTAGCATTGGGTGGTAGTAGGTATATCACATCACATCACATTAGACGTATTGTTCCATTCCATTCCATCTATCTATCCATCGTCGTCACGAATTTGAGAGCAAGGACCAAAAGGTGCAGAACGACAAGGCCACAAAAGTGATAGTAGTGAGTAACACCAGTGTCAAGGCAAGTCAAGTAGTTGTACATGTCACAGAGTCTGTGTATTCATCCGCTGTCCTATCTGTCCGTCTGTCGCTTACTTGCTTGCTTTGCCTGACTGCTGGTCTGCTTACATACATGCCCGTGTCCATCTGTCTGTCTGTCTGTCTAGTTAACCGTCTTAACTTGGCGCACAAGCAGTCTTCTCCCTTCCTCTTGCACCACGCACACAGCCGGTCGCTGTTCCCCTTTCAATCCCGCTCCTCTGCACAGTCTAGTCTTGTCTCTGGCATCATCATGTACGGCCGGGTCCAGGCACACAATCCGCGGCGCGTGGGGGTGCTCTGTCTTCCCGCTCTTCCTCTGTCTTCCTCTTCCACGTCCACGTCCACGTCCACGTCCACGTCCAGATACCGATCCGCAATTCCCCCCACGTCCTATTGTCCCCTTCCTTCCTGCCTTCCTTCAGCAAAGTTCCCTCCGTTGTAATAATATGTATAGAACGCCGAGATGATGCGGCCCAGTTTCTTTTATAAACGAATGAAGCAAAAAAAGGGGGCCCCAGAAGATGTATATAAACAAACAATGCAATAGAGTGTGGCCCCCTTCCCGTAGATCAGAAGGGCTTCAGCTCCAAGACGCCGGTACCGCCGAAAATGATGTGTGTACAATGAGGGCTGGAACAAAAGTGCCGGCAATGACAGGCATCCCAAAAAAAGTACGTACGTGCAAAGTCTATACGTCGCCTTAGTGATGGTTTGTTTTGTTGCGGCGAATGTGGGACGGCGACGGAAGTCGAAGTTGGTGGTGTCAATTAAGATCATGTATAGCGGCGAAAAACTTCTAGAGGTGGTGTGTATATGCAATGGGTTGTTGTGTAGTAAGTTTGCGCAAAAAATCTTGGTTTCGGCCGCTAAACTAGCCGGTGGAGGAGGAGGAGGAGGAGGAGGAGGGTACAAGATGTCGGTGCTCCCCGCGCGATCAAACGAATTCCGGCCAGTAGTTGTATGGCATGAGGGCAGGCCCCTCCCACTTCTCGCCATATGGATTCGTGCGTGTGCCGGCAAAGAAGCCGTCATGTGCGGCTTCGAGGATGGCTATCCACGAAGACGGCTCAGGATGCTTTAGCCACTGTCGTGCAAAAAAAGTGTCAGTCACATGGGGGGTAACATACATACACTTCATGAAAACTTACCTGATTGTGAATGTGATAGGTCCATGCACCTCGAAAGAAGTTCTCGAGCGTCCTGTTGTTGGGAGGAAACTTGTCTTCCTCGAGCCTGTAATCAGCAACCAAGCCATTCGTCCGAAGCTCGTCCTCCTCGTCGGGCGTGGCGTTGAAGGACTCGGCAGCGTGCTCGCCGCCCGGCTTCTGTTCCTCGGACGAGGCAGAAACCTCTTCATGACTGCGTTGGGCCAGCTTTGGAATCATGGTGGCATTGCTATGGGCGGGCGTGCGGAGTTTGAGCGCCTGGTTCTCCGGCAGAGTCAGGTTGAGGCGCTTCAGAGGCTGGCCGTCGTAGCTCTCCCATTCATCCTTTAGCGCGCCAGTCTTGCCCTTGAATGCAGCACCATAGTCCCTCAGACACGGCACTGTGCAGCGGCCCTCTCTGTCCCAGTTGAACTCGGTCCAGATGGGATCAAAGGCGGCCGTCTCGAGCATGAGAAATTCCTGGTCACGCCCATCTTTCCACGCCATGCGTCCGATGACTCTGGGATGGAAGTTCAGGCCCATGCGGACACCGCCACGGACGAGGTAGGACGACAGCGACGAGTTTGCAGTCAAGGACATGATGGCCGTGTTGTAGTCGCCCGGGTGGGGGTGGGCCGCCCAGCGCTCGGCAAAGGAGTGGTTCGAGGGGAGAACAAGAGGACGCATGTCGCGGAGCATGAGCACGTCCATGTCGTAATAGGAGCCGCCATACTGGTGGAGCACGACAAAGCGCATGGCGTCGGAGACAGCGACGGGCAGGAAAGTCATCTGCTTTTGGGTCAGGACAAGCCATTCCTGGCCGTCGGCGTCACGGACGAGGCCGTCGGCGATGGCGACCTCGCCCTTCGAGTTTGGCTTTCCGGGCGTCTTGTAGTAGCCACGGCCGTCGGTGTTGTCTTCGGTGCTGGGCAGCGGGATGCGTGTCGGGAATTTCCAGGCCATGAGCGTGATGTCGCCGCGTTCGACGAGGGGGAGGAAGCGGGCAAAGAGAGCATCCTTGTTCATCATATCCTCGATGGCGTGGGGATTGCGGTCGGTGTCGAGCCAGATGTAGAGACGGGAGCAGGCAATGTTTTGGGTGTAGAGATAGCTCTTGATAAAGACCTCGACACGCCAGGTGGCCGCTCCGGTCCAGTAAGTGTGATAGGGGGTGATTGGGCCCGGGCAGGCACCGAGCGACTCGTTGGAGGGAGGTTTGTACGAGGGGTATTTTGTGAGGGTGTTGTTGTGGCCGTCTGCGTTTACGTATTCTGCCTTTGTCGGATTCTGTTGGCCGGCGCGAGCCTCTTTTGCGGGCAGGCGGTAGTACTTGGACTCTTGGTTTGCAAAAAACTGCAGACAGTCAAAGACGTTTCGCATCTTTTCGATGCCGGCATAGGAACCTCTGCATTCCTCAACCAGCATCTGGAGATCAGCCTCGGTGTCGACGTGGGGACGCGATCCGAGATAGTCATCCTGCAGCTCGACAGCGCTGACGGGTCGGTTGAAGACGTTGGCGTGCGGGTTGAGGGTGACCTTTGTGGACGAGCTAGCAAACTTGATCTGGACACCCGTCTTTGTCGTCTTGACCAACTCGGCAGGGCCCGTCTTGTCCAGCACGGCGGGAATGCCCAGCTTGCCCTTTGTCCGCACGTTTGGATTCCGCACGACCTCTATGACGCCAAAGATTAGGCTGTAGATGAGAGCGGCAAACAGGAGGTTCCTCAGGAGGGTGCAGAAGGCGCGTAACCGAGTCCGGTCGGGCATGGCGGACTTTTCGAGTCCGGGGAGCAGCGCCCGCGGGAGAAGGAAGAGTCTAGGTTGCCAGCAGTGTTGGATGTGAGGGTGTTGATGTCAGGCTTCTCAGTTGGACTCTTGATCTATTTTTGTCGCAGATCCGAGGCAGGTGTGGTGTGTGTGGAATTGGGGTCGGAAAAAGGATGTCGTGTAGGCTTCAAGGACAAGGGGGCGGAGAGGGTTGGAGGAGGAGGTGTCTGTACAGATAGGCCGGATGAGTCGGGTCGAGTCGAGTCGAGTGGTTTGGCAGGCTCTAGACGGCAATTATTGAAGGGTGAATTGCGAGGAGAGGGCTTTCTCTTGCGACGGCAGAATGGAGGAGGGTGAAGCACACGATCGATTGGGGTTTGGAGGCAGGGATTGCGAGGAGCATAAATAAAAAGAAGATATAGTATAGAAAAAGGAGCTAACAGAAGAGAAGCAAGCAGAGAGAGAGAGAGAGAGAGAGAGAGAGAGATGGCAGGCTAGCAAAGAGAGCGTAGCAGTATAAGAGTGAGTGAGTGAGAGAGCAGGATGAAGGTAGGTGTTTTTGAGGGAAGAAGAAGGAGAGAAGATGGAGGGATTGACGAGTTGTAAGGTAGGTGAGATGGAGATGTGGATGGAGATGAACGGGCAGGACAGGGCAGGACAGGGCAGGGCAGAGAGAGAGGATGGAGGGGGCTAGAAGTGGGATTAGGCGAGTGGTGGTGGGCAACAAGAAAGCGGGCGAGTGGGCGAGTGGACCAGCCCGAACAAGCCAGTGTTGCCGCCTCTTTTGCCCTTTTGCCCTTTTTCTAGGGGGCCGACGACGCTGAAGAGGGTGTGTGGGTTGGACAGTTGGACTAATAGTCAGTTGGCCCCGGTGCGTGCTTCAGTTGCTGCTTCAGTGCTGCAGTTCTGGCCCCCGCGCCGCTAAGCCACACAACGTTAATCCAGGGCTTTTGTTTGAAATTACGCTTCTTCGCTTCTCGCTACCAGCGTCCACTGTGCAATTCAGCCCGTGTGCGGCCAGCAGTCTGTCACTGTCGCTCGCCAGTTAATTACTACTGACACACTCGCTAATTACACTGTACAGTATCAAGCAGTGCTCTAAACAGTGCCAGTCAGTCTGCATGGACGTTGTTGGTGGTTAGTCAATGGCATTGTGATGATTGAGCACAAAGAGCTGTGGACGATCGTCCATCGTCCATCGTCCATCAGCCAAGCCGGCAGGGCGAGTCAGGCAGGAGTCAGGCAGACAGGAGTCAGCATGCATGCGCCAAGTGCCACGTGCAGCTCGGACAATCTGCCTAAACGACTCAGGACTGCTTTCCCTACTACGTTACTACCTAGCCATTACCGTAATCAATGCTGACTCCTCCCCTCGCCCACTACCTAATAATTACCTACTTCACTCATTTCTACCTACTGTCACCACTCACCGCTCACCACTCTCACTGATCATTACCCCAGATCGACATCCTCCACTCCTGCCTGCCACACACTACTCAATTGCCTCTCCGCTCTCTCCTCCACTCACACCCAACACATCACCACCACCACCACCAACCATCCAACACACTGCGCCCCCCTCTTCCATCCTTTAAGCTTCTTCCCATCTTCTGCAACAACAACATGACGTACCTTCTTACCCTGCCCTGCCCACTACTACTACCTACTACCCTGCCTGGCACGTCGGCCCGTCTGCCCGTCTCCCTTGATCCCTCCCCTGCATACATACACACACTGATACACACAATCACCTTCACCACACTCACACATACACTCACACATACACTCACACATACACTCACACATACACTCACACATACACTCACACATACAACACGACACTGCCAGCTTTTATTTCTCAATTCGATCCATAATAGATGCAACTAGTCCTGTCCCGGCGGATGTCCCGGCGGACACGGCGTGCCCATACTGCACACAACCTTCGGCTCGCCCTCGTTCGTCGACAGCCAGTTCGTCGACTTGTCTTCGCGCGCACAGCACCGCTGCGCAAACATCACCGGGCCCTCCTGATCCGGCGTGAAGATCTCGTTGCTACACATGCCGCACTCGACATTAGCAATCTACTAATTAATCACAACAAGAAATCCAACAACACTGTCATGTATCATGCGCATCATCAAGAAAAGTACACTTACAAACTCGCGTGCTCCCAGATGAAACACAGCCGCAGCTCCGGCGAGCCGCCGTTGATGCCCGTCACCCCGTAGCCCTGGCACTTTGGCGACCCTTTGTTCGCCTGCTCCTTGGCGATGCATGCGTGTCCGCACTGCGCCAGGCTCCAGTCTTTCTTGCTGCCGATCGGCTGCCACGCCTTGAGCTCGAGCTCGTTGCCGTTGTGGTTGGGCGTGCCGGCCACGCCGCATTTGCAGGCCTGCGCTTCTTGTTCTTGTTCTTCCTCTTTGGGCTTTTCGATGGGTTTGTCTTTTGGCTTGTCTTGTGGCTTGTCCTTTGGCTTCTCTTTAGGCTTGTCCTTGGGCTTCTCTTTTGGCTTCTCCTTGGGCTTCTCGTCCTTGTCCTCAACCTCCACGTCCACATGCACATCCTTATCCTCATCCACCTGCACATCCACGTGAATCTCCTCGTCCTCATCAACATGCACAACCAAATGCACATCCACATCCTTTCCACCCTTCTTCTTCTTCTTCTCCCCTCCCTCATTCACATTCAGAGAACTGCCCGGTATAACTGTATGAAACCCACTCGCCGGCCCGGTCACCGTCACCACGCCATCACCATCACCTGTTACACCAGCATAGTCGACTGGAGTGGCGGCAGCAAGTAGTGGAAGTAGGATGTTGAGAGTAAGTAGAGTCTTCATGATGAGAATTGATCTTTGTTGGTAGTAAGTTGTAGTAGTAGTAGTTGCACTGGTTTTTATACAAGTTTGATCAAGAGACAGAGACGACCACTTGGCTTCCTATTTATATATTTTTCTACCACAAGTCTTGACAACTTTTTGAAGAAAAAAAATCCTCCTTTATGTGCGCCTGGTACCGCGGACGCTGCCGGACTGTCGCGGATGGCCATGTTCTTGGGACCGGTCCATCTGCTGCTCTGAATCTTCTGAGTATTCTGAGTCTGATGGGTATATTCTACTGTGTGCTGTGCTTGATGTCGCGAGACCGTGGTACTGCTTTTCTTGCTGTCCAGGGTAGGTGGTGTATTTATTGATGGGAAGACTCGGCTGCTTGGTAAGTGTTTGTGAGTATTTTGACTTGTGAGATTGATGGGATATTTGACTCTTTCTGTTCTGTTCTGTGCTGTGCTGTGCTGTTCTGTTCTGTTCTGTTCTGGGCGTTCATGGGAGTGGCTTGTATTCTCTACATCATGTCCAGACATGCACTGTGGCTGTGCTGTGCTCTCTCAGACGATAGCATATAGCACTACTACTTGTGACTGCTCGTCGCCTTAGGCTGCTGTTACCTCAGCATATCACACTGTACATCCATCAGTGCATCTTCTGCCTTGACACCAAGCACGCATGAACGTCGTCTAGCATCATGTCTTGCAGTTGTTGGTGGAGGCGCGAGACCATGCACAAGTGTGTCTATGTATATTTAGCCAGCCTTATGCAGCTTATGCAGCCTATGCAGCTTATGCAGCTATGCAGCCTACCTCGTGCGGCAGGCAGACCGATCGAGTAATTAGTACCCCGTATTTGCCGCTGACACTAGCAGATCCTCCGGTACAATACTGTATTCTACTCCCATCCATCCAGACCCTTCTGGCCTAGCGCCTCGTCCACACCCACGGCAAACTTCCCGTCAAGGTTCACTTCATCTCTCCATCAACATTCAAACTCTCGTATCGACCGCAGACGGAAAGGCTGCTGACCGGTCAGAAAGTCTCAGCTGCGGTGAGGCCTAAATGGTCTGGTCGAGAGGCGTCTTGACTCTTGCTTTGGGGCCTTGGACACGGATACCTACGTGCTGCAGCTTCACGCCCGCGAGACGCGTGTGCCCTGCTACTACTACTACTCCACCACCACGACGACGACGACGCAACGCGTGGCTTGGGCATGGAGTGAGACTTAGATACTACTCTGATGCTGCGTCACGCAGACAACAGGTCACGGTTGATTGCCGGTCGAATGGATCCATCACTCTCGAGTACGTACCTTTTACGCTGTTCCTTTTCTGGTGGTATATCTGATATCTGATGCTGGCCTTGCATGTCATGTTGAGCCACCCCATCATATCATACCCTCCTCTGACACCGTCATAGCATCTTTCACCACGCGACCGCGTCACCCCCCCTCACCATCATCTATCTTCCATCAGGCCTCAAAGCAGACCCCCTGAACGATGACCACGCAGCATCAGCCCTCTCCGAATCCGCTGAAGCTACCGTTATCCGCATCAACTACCGCTCCGGACCGGCTCATCCCTTCCCCACGCCCATTCATGACGTCCTGACCGGCTACGACTGGGTGCTGGAAAACCTCGTCTCGCCAGATCCGCAGTACATGCGCAAACCCGCCAAGCTGGGCGTATGCGGTGAACTGTTCGGCGGCACTCTAGCCACCGCCCTGGCCCTGACAGAATGCCGGCTCGGCGGCCATCGGATAGGCGCAGCGGTGCTGGACAGTCCAATCGTGGACTGGCTGTTTCCGAACCCCTCCGACCAGGACGTCGATCCCCAGCTCGAGGACCTGGAGTCGCAGAGCCAGGAGGGCGACGACGTCAGGGAGTCTGAGCGTGCGCTCGACGCCGAGATTGTCGAGTTCACAAAGACCGGCAGGAGGAAGAAGCCGAAGAAGCCAAAGCCCCTGCCGCCTCCTGACTCCTTCATCGCGAACGCCTCCTATCCTGCGCTCCCGTCATCCGAACTGCTCTCCCTCCGCACGAGCATCTTCCCCCACGCCTCCTCGCTCTTCGACCGCTTCGCCTCCCCAGCCCTCTTCTTCCGCTCGCCATCCGCCATCCTCCCCCGTCCCGCCAGTGAAGACCTCCTCGCAAGCCTTTCCCCACCACCTGACTTCTCCCCTGACGACAACAACAACAACGACGTCAACCCACCCACAGACGACACCCCATTCGACCCCTCATCCCTCTCCCACCTCTCCGAAAAAGACCTAGCCATCGACCTCACCGCCCTCGTCCCAACCTCCGACTTTGACCCCCTCTCCTTTACCGACCCGCTCATCTACGACAACCCGGACACCACCCCTCCGCATTTCCCTTCCCCTCCCACACACCCCCAATACGACCCCCTCTCCCTCTCCCTGCCCCCACCCTCATCCCTCTCCCTCCCCCGCCTCACACGCACATACCACCGCACATACCCCCCCTCCTCCACCTCCCTCGCCCTCCCCTTTCTCCGCCTGCACACTACTCCCGCCAGCCCGCTCGCCACTCAACACGCAGAGTTTACAGCGCTTGTCCGACGGGCTGTTGCGAGGGAGTATGTGCGTAGACATGGCGGTGGGAATGTGGATGTTGGGGTCGGGGATGATAGGGCGGATGCGGAGGAGCTGAGGAGGGTGGGGGTTGCGGAGGGTGTGGGGAGGGTGGATGTTGTGTGTTGTGAGGGTGGGCTTGGGATGCGGGGTGATGGTGGTGGTGGTGGTGGTGATGGGGATGGTGATGGGGAGTGTGCGATGGAGGATGTGGGGAGGTGGTTTAGGGGTGTTCTTGGGGTGGATGGGTAGGGCTTGTTGTGCATGTGCATGTGCATGGGAATGTATGTATGATGGGATGTATGATAGAATGTATATATAAAATCCTGAAGATGGATAGTTTACATGTCCATGTCTATATGAGATCACATAAGATGCACGCACGCATGTATGGCCCACCAACAGAACAACACAAAACACGCTGAACACAGAACAAAACACACTGAACAATGCAAAAATGCAATACGCAATGCACCCAATCCACACAACACACCACCACCACCACAACCACACCCACCACACCCACAACCACCACACCACCCTAATAAAACTCCTCCAACCCCAACCCCGCATAATCCCCCCCCTCCCCCCCACGCCCCTCACACCTAAACCCCCTCTCCCACGTCCTCCTCGGCAAAATCCCCGCCTCCACCCCCCTGCGATAACTCCACTGCACCGCCCTTTCCGTCTCCCAAGTCCAATAAAACCAGCCCCAGCCCTTCTCAAAGCTCTCCATCTGAGCCTCTGCAAAATCCCTCAAAAAGGCCTTGTACCCCTCGCTATAAGACCCCGGCTCGGCATTCGCCTTTGCACAGCTACAGGTTGGGTTGTTGTGCGTGGGACAGGTAGGGTCCAGCACGGAGGTGGATGCGTTGCCTGTGTTGTATGTGCCTTCCCAGCGGGTGCCTTGGCCTACGTTGTTGATGAAGGGGGCGCAGTCGGCGTCTGCCTGGCTCCATTCGCCGCAGATGGTGGGGCCGAAGCCGGTTTCGGTGTCGGAGGAGCGGAGGGTCTGGGCGGACCAGTCTGTGCAGGCGAAGGCGACTTTGTCGGCGTGGGGGAGGGTGATTTGGTCGGTGTTGAAGATGACGTATTGGTGGACGTCGAGGAGGAGGTTGGGCGTGTCCGCGAGGCGGCCCTGCCACTTGTCTAGGCCCATGAAGCCGTCGCCGAAGACGACGATTGGGTGGTCGAGGCCGTTTGCGCGGATGAGGGCGGTGGCGGTCTTGGTCCAGTTGAGGACGGCGTTGGTGTTGAGGTCGACCATGCGGGGTTCGTTGGCGAGGCCGTAGAGGGTGATGAGGTTTTTGTAGCGGGGCTGGGCGAAGAAGGTGGAGAGCTGGGCGTGGATGTCGAGGGAGCGCTGGGCGTTGAGGTCGCCGTCTGTGCCGTTCAGCCAGCCGATTGTGCCCTGGCGGCCGGAGTGGTTCCAGCCGTTTTGGGAGCCGGGCAGGCCGTGGAGGTCGAGGTTGACGCGGAGGCCGGACTGGCGGGCGTATTCGAGGCCGCGGAGGAGGTAGCGCCAGGAGATGCGGGCGACGTAGGGGTCGTTGTCGTAGATGGTCACGGCCCAGTAGCCGTAGGGGATGCGGACGTGGTCGAAGCCGGCGGCGCGGATGTCCTCGAAGCTTTTGCGCGTGATGAAGCTGGAGTAGTGCGCTTCGAGCGTCTGGGCGGCTTTTGTTGGGCCGAGTTTGGTGGTGAGGGTCCATTCGTCGATGACGCCGTCGCGGGTGCTCCATTGCTCGAAGAGGGAGGGTGTGATGAATGGCTCGATGTTGAGCCAGCCGCCGACGTTGACTCCCCGGATGGGGAGCTTGCCATAGCCGAATGAATCTTGGAGGTTGGGAACTTTCTCGTTGGCTTGCACATTGTCGTCCCAGGTAGAGTTGAGGCCCATGACTGATAGTCCTCCAACGGTCTCTTCCGTGTATGTCACGTTAAAGTCCGTCGTGTCGTACCAAGTGAATGGGTCCAAGAGGCCGCCGCGAGCACTTTCTGGGATATCACTCTCGGAAATACCATCGAGCTCCGTGTTGGCTGGCTTCCCCGAGGCTGCTCCGGAATCTGCTGTCGATGACGAATCCTTGTTCTTCTTGGATACCACCACCGCAACAATGACTATGACCGCAATCAGGACGAGCGATACCCCAATAGCTATCATTATCCATTTCTTCCTCTTCCTCTTGGCTTCCAGATCCTCGTAGTAGTAGTCGGCGTCACTCTTCCCTCCCGCACCGCCTCTCTTCTCCGGAATCGCATCGTAGTCATCGTCGTGGATATCACCCTCTTCCGCCAGAGGCCCGCTGACCACTCTGCGTTTCCGTTCTTCTCTCCTTCTCCGCCGCCGTTCTTCCTTTCGGTCGATTTCTGAGTCTGTGTAATCTTTCCGCCCTCGTCTATGTCCTGCAGTATCATCCTCATCTTCATCCATAGGCCTGACTCGTATCCCCATATCATCAGTATCCCTCCTCCTCGCCCTTTCTGCCCTCCTTTTCTCGGCCAATATCCGCTCTCGCTCGGCTCTCCTCCTCTCTTCCTTCTCTTTAGCCTCATTTTCTCTCCTCTGAGCATCCTCCTCTTCCATCCGAGCATCCTCCAGCTTCTGCTCTTTCCTCCTCACATTCTCCACATACCCGCCATCAACGCCATTCTCACCCTTCCCCCACCCGCTTTTGAAGTTTGCCTTGTCCAGCGCCGCCAGCGACCCCGCCACCAACGGCTTCCCACTCCCTCGGCTACTTTCCCCCGTCCCATATCCATAGCTTGACGAGTCGCGCCGACGCGCTTTGGGTGCTATAATGGGGCTCGGGGACTCTTCCTCGCGGGGAAGCAGCTCATTTGTGCTCTCAGTCTTGCGGTGACCATGACGACGACGGTGCCTTCTTTCGGGGTCACGGTCGGGATCCGTCCGACGGCGACGCTCGCGGTCGCCATCTCGGTCTCTCTCGCGGCGGGACTCGGGATCGCGATCTTTGTCCCGTTCGCGACGCTGTCGTTCGCGGCGGCGACGTTCGCGGTCTTCGGGGGTGCGTTCTTGGTCGCCGCGAGGCATGGCTTTGAGATGTGGTGGTGCAGCTATACAAGCTCAAGAGGCTCAGTACGACATGGGTAGGATGGATGGTGTAGAAGGGTAAACAGTAGCTGATAATATATTGACAGAGGTACAATGGCTTGATGTGGTAGAATATACAAGAAAAACTGCGCAGGCTTCGGAGCAAACGATCGATGTACAATTGCAAAATCTTATCTGAGATCGCCCGTCCTGGCCCAGATCCAGGGTACCTTATGCACAAGCAGGTCCGGATTGTTTGGTTGTGGCGGGTGGCCGGACAACCTACCTAAGCCCAAGTGTGGCTGGTTGGCTCGCGTTGAACGTCGTCATGCGCTAAACCCGATCTTTCGATTACCCTCCTGTCCCTGCAGGTCATCTGTTTCAAAGCAAAAGCTCGCAAATATGATCACAAGCATGAGCAAAGATTCTCACATTCGTCCCGCTTGACTAACAATTCTAGCTGCCCTCTGAATCGGGTCGGTTGGCCTGGCGGCACATAGTCGCACGCATTCAGTCATAGCTAATCATAAAACGTATGGATATCACCCAAATACTCACTAAGCCTCCCCAGCACCGAGGTTCCGCCTCCGCCAGCGGCTGTCCTCGGTGCAGCATCTATGGCGTTTCTCAGAGACTATGAGATGAGAGGAAATGACAGTTGTACATCCGCGCAACCAGATCATTGCAGGCTTTGCATTATATCCAACCCAATATAATCGCTTGTCCGTATTACGGCGTGATGAGGAATGTATGCTTAGCGCTGCTCGTTAGATCTTGTATCACTGTATGATAGAAGTATCTAGTGGTCGTTCTCCAAGGAACTAAGGAAGGTTGGCCGAATAGACACATTCGAACGATGGGCACTTGACATTCTTTACGAACTCTCTGCTGATACGCCTTCAGCTTTGCCTTTACCCTTGTCGGGGTTGTCTGACTTGGTTTTTGCTTCGTCGTCAGAAATGTAAAGGTTGTGTTCGTAGATGTAATCCACCACTCGGTCCGGGACAAGGTATCGAATCGACATGTCGCGTTTTCGGAAGAGACGTATCTTGGTGGAGCTTACATCGTTCTGGATCAGTTGGGGGATTACTCGGATGTTGTCTCTCCATCGTTGCAAGCTTGCAAGGGCGTCGTCAATGTCTGTTCCGGCTCGTTCGAGAATGAAAGCTCCGTCTATCTTGCATTAGTAAGGATCTGCGCTGCAACGACAGTGAACGGACAGTGTCCCAGGATCCTATCCAGATCCCTTTCCGCCCAAACCCCTGGTGAGCTCATAGTTTGTATCAAATCTGCCCCCGCAAGCAGGGCAACTTTGACTCTTTTCCTTTCCCCGGTGCTGGTCTCCATGCCGCCATCGCCTGATTTTGTCAGCTGAGCTATTTTATTGACAACGCTGCCTTCACGTACGGTTTAATGACTCTTCAAAGTGGTCTAGAACTTGCGCAGTGGGCTAGCATCGATCAGTCCTGTACCGGCCGGTCTCGAGACAAACTTACGAGGTATTCTTTGTGTAGTGGCTCCCAAGGATCTATTGCTATCCAGTTCGAGCTGTATTGCACGGCTAGGTTGCACATGTTTATGCGGCTGCACTTCCATTAGCGCAAAAGAGATGCGAGCTGGCTCAAACATACTGCCGAGCACTTGCTAGTCCTTGTTTCTGCGCCATGATCAACAAGAAGACTCTTGAATACCCCTCTTATCGCGGGTCACGAACCTTGTATGCGTCACCGACAGGGCTGAGAAAGCCACCTATTACTTCAAACTCGGTCTGAAAGCGGCAGTAATCCGCGGCTTGCTCGGCCATGCGCAGATGAAGATATGTCGGAGGGGAAAAACTGCCTATATGGTGACGACAATTAGAGAATGAAACAGGAGTTGGCGCCAATCGCAGGCAGAGATGGCATACCACATGCGACAAGGACTAAAGGTGTCTGTAGGATGTCAGATTTAGAGCAATGAAAGAGTCGAAAGACAATCACCTTTGTTGAGTCTTTCAAGACCTTAGACAGGCGGTAGCTAGGAAATTCATAGTCGTCGAGCGATTGCGCCATTTGAAATTCGTCGTCGGTCTGTATCATGCGGGGTGCCTGGATGTGGTCGTGGGAAAAATACGGCTCGGGGTCGGTCATCGCGTCGGAAGGCGTCTGGGCAGGCCAGGTGCAGATATACAGGCTGCGGAAATGGAGTCTCGTTGAGGGGGGATGAGAAAGCGAAGTGGGTTCTGTTAGGAGGTTTCCAGGTTGACAAGTGAAGACAAGGACCGAGAGCTAATATCTGATGACGCTAGGCGGTTGGGCGGCGAATATGGAGTGGAGTCACGGTGGTGGTAATAGTGGGTGGGTGGGTGAAAGGCATCCATGGACAAAGCTGCCTCGGACCTGACCTCCCTGCGGCGACGGTGATGCTTGTCGTTCAGTGCGACAAAACCGCCCTCGGGCTGCTGTGACCAAAGTTGAAGACCGCAATTCTCCTTCATTTTGACGTCTTCTTCCGAAACCAACACTGTCACTTATCACGCGATCAGTTCGGGTAACAGAGCTTTAGTTGCTGCTGTAAGCATGAGGATGTCCGACCGCCGACCGGAGTGGACCGTCTGGAAATGGAATGGGATATTCTTACACTGCAAGTCATCCATGCGTGCTCTACAATTTGCCAACCAATCCAGCCGCAGTTCACGGCCATTTCCGATTTATGCCTTTTTGGTGATAGCTGCTGATTTCACGTGGAGGCTAATCCATATCGACACTTGTGTGCCCATTCTAAGCCTTTCATGGTAAGTAGAAGATATTTACCATTGTGGTGCTGAGATATCTCGTCGCCGTATACCTTCTTTTCGACACAGCATCATTTCTCCAAGCATAAAAGCGACATACCTGCTCACCAGTACTGCAATAGCCGTTGGCGTTGACGATTGTCGTAGACAGGAATGAGGGCATGGGTTTCCGTATTTGAAAGATCCCAACAACCACCATCAGCTCGTAGAAATGGAAATATTTCATCTTCCGCAATTCATCTTCGGAGACTTAGGGCCAATGCATCGTCAATATGACTCCATCCGTACCACTCAAGCACATACCCTAACATTATTCTACCTGTCCATTCCCGTATCTTCCAGAGATCACCTTACAGTCTAGTACTGTATATCTGCTTCTGGTGGCGAAAGCCTCAAACTTTTCGTTGTGAATACGTAGATGTCTATTGTGAAGATGATGTTATCAAGTCAAAATATTCGTTAACACCTTGATGTCCACGACGAGTGAAGGAATTGAGAGCATATTACGTGCCACGCAGCCTGGTTGTTTGCTTCAGCATCCGTATCGAGAGCTTTACAGATGCCGTGTGAAACACTTGGCCAGAATTGGGTTACTTGACCTAATCATCTTCAATGCTTCCAGTTCCGTAGTTGACTTTTGATACGTGATTATTCAAGGCGCCGCGCTAAGCCCCACCCATCTGTGTTCCAAGAGCAGCCAGGCCAGCTGTGACCTGTGACTGCATTCCATCAGCATCTTTGCTTCGAAGGAACACTCGTCTTCGAAGAAAAACTCATCACCTCTATGCAGCACATCGAACACTGCTTCTAGCACACTTTCCCAGCGTTTACTTACCTCTGTCACCTTATGGCGTAGCTGCGAAAGCCGTGGCATGGACGAGCGTCACCCACCACATCCACTGTTTCTCAATCCCACATCCACTACTTGTTCCAGGTATTCCACCCTTTCATCATCTGATATCGCCCTTTCTTTGCCCAAAGAGCCTGGAATCTGCTGCTGCTCTGACTTAACTGCTTGCTGCAGCACGTTTCCAAGGCCTCTGCTGCGGGCTTTCTTCTGGCTTGCGCGCGCTCAATTCCAACAAATCAAATTCTCATGTCGTCAAGAGTGACTCGCTCTTCTGCGAGGCTCTCAGCAGGTGCCGCAAACTCGACTCATCCTTCATTCTCCGCCCCTCCTGCAGCTCCAACTCGATCGCGCAAACGGAAAGCCTCGGGCGGGGAACCCTCCATCGAACAACCTCCGGCTGTTACCGAACCCACACCTCGATCACGATCAAAAAGAAAAAAAGTGGACGAACTTGAAGCATCTACAGCCTCTGTTCCTGCTCCAGTCGCTCCAGCTCGACGGACACGGGGAAAGGCCACAGCGGCAATGTCAGGCGCTGGGTACGGAGTGAGGCTATACGCGGTGATATACTTGCTAACACTTACAGACCTTCGGGTGGACCCTCAGACGACAAAAGCATCGCAGAGACCCCCTCGACCAGCACAAACAAGCGTCGGAATGGACGCAAAAAGGACTCTACGGGTATGTGTGCGGAGTGTGTATCAGTATCAACTAACGTTCCTACAGAGGATGGTCCTTCCACAACCCCAGCACCTTCAAGACGGCGCAGGAAAGCCGTTGCTTTGAAGGAAGACATTCCCGATAGTACAGATAAAGCTACAGATAAGCCCAGTGTCGATGCCACAAAAGCAGAGCTCAGTGAGGACGAGAACGACGATGGACCAGGACAGGCATATGATGAGGATGATGAAGATGACGATGACGACGACAATCCGTTCAGTGGAGGATACCTCAGTCGTGCTGGTGGTGTTGGAGGTCTGTCTAGCACACTTCGTGCTCTGACAGGTATGATGTCCGGCGTATCGTCAAGATTGCGAACAATACTGGAGAACCTCCGAGCAAAAGATGATCCGTCGCTTCAACTCATCGCGTTACAGGACTTGTCAGAATTGCTACTTGTGTCGAATGAGGACAATCTGGCCGGCCATTTCTCTCCCGACCAATACGTCAAAGAATTGGTCTCATTAATGCAGCCAAATGACTTCGGCGAAGAGAACCCCGAAATCATGCTACTTGCATGCCGATGTATCGCGAATCTAATGGAAGCCTTACCGTCCGCGACTGCAAACGTCGTTTACAGCGGAGCGGTCCCTATTTTGTGCCAGAAGTTGCTCGAAATTCACTTCATTGATCTCGCAGAACAAGCCTTGAGTGTATGTCATTGATACACCCTCACTCATCTACATTGACTGACTGATCCGGTGTAGACCCTTGAGAAGATCTCAGTCGACTTCCCTGCGTCCATTGTGCGTGAAGGAGGTCTCACAGCTTGTCTCACGTATTTAGACTTCTTCGCTACCAGCACACAGAGAACAGCTGTCACTACTGCGGCGAACTGCTGTCGCAACATACCTGAAGACTCTTTCGGAACAATCAAAGACGTCATGCCGATACTTCTCAATGTTTTGAGCAGCAATGACCAGAAGGTTGTCGAGCAAGGTTGCATTTGTGTTTCCCGCGTGGTCGAAAGTTTCAAAATGCAGTACGCCAAGCTGGAGGAACTCGTCAGCGCTGATTTGCTCAAAGCCGTCTTACGACTACTGCTTCCGGGAACTACCAACTTGATCGGCCCTACGATCCATACCCAGTTCTTGCGTGTCTTGTCACATACAGCTAGAGCGAGTCCTCTGCGATCAGTCGAACTGCTTAAGATGAATGTCGTCGACACTTTATATCAAATTCTCGCTGGGGTATCTCCTCCATCAGGCACAGAGGATGTCGCCACGAAGATTGATAGTGTAGTCATCATGCAAGCACTTATACACCGCCCCCGAGATCAGATCTATGAAACCTTGAGCGTCATATGCGAACTGCTCCCCGAGGAACAGACAAGCAGCATAGCATATTTAGGTGATGTACTGGGTCCTACTTTTTCCTCCGAGCTGAATGCAAGCACCGACAATAACAAGAAAACTCTGAACGAGAAACGACTGGAGTTACTCAAAGATTGCCAATTGGAAGTGCGACGATTTGCGATTGTCCTCCTTCCCACCTTGACCGATGCTTACTCCAGCACGGTCAATCTCAATGTTCGTCAACAAGTCCTTCGGGCACAGCTGAAGATGCTCTCGAATCTTGATATTGGAATTCTCGAAGATGCCCTACGTCCCGTTCCGTACGCGTCTTACCTTGCTTCAATTCTGTCCCAGGAGGATCATCCAAGCCTGGTCACAAGTGCTTTACAAGCGGCTGAGCTTCTGTTGAAACGACTGGAACCAATTTACCGTTACCAATTCCATCGTGAAGGTGTCATTGCCGAAGTGACCAGACTTGCTAACAGACCTATCAAGAGTTTGGACGAGAAGCCAAAAGGGACAGGCTCTAAGGCCGTGCCTGTTGATATACAAGGTAGCTCTGCTAGCTCCAGCTCCATGGTAGATGATGAGATGGTCGAACAAGCCGCAATTGATATCGCCGATCCGGAGTTGCCATCAGAAGATGAGGACGACGAAGATCCGGATGACCCTGAAGATCGCGACGACTCTGATTCAGATTCGTCACATTCCTCTGATCGCCGCTACGAAAGCAGTCAGAGTCTGCCAAACATTGAAGATATCATAACTCTTCGCGCAAAGAGATTCAATGAAGCTCACGAGCAGAAATCAGGACACAACGTTCGAGCCAAGGCATCCAACATATTAGAAGACTTGAAAAGCCTTGCTGTAGAGATCAAAAGTGCCTTTACGGATGGTAAACCGGACGAGTGCGTTGGCCTTTTTCATCGCATGGCGGATTACTTCGACGGTGATGCACTCGATAGTATCACCAGCTATGAGCTCCTGACTTCGAATATTGTTGATATACTGTTGGAGGTTTTCTCTAATACTACTAATGATTCGGGCTCATCCGCAAGGGCTGCATTCCTGGAAGCTTTCATGGGCTCAACAGTACAAAGCAAGCAAAAGATAGGTTCCGCCAATTCTCCGTCGACTCCGTTCAGCATTCTTGTCAGTAAGCTTCAGGATCTGCTCAGCCGAGCTGAACATTTCGAAGTTATTACAGTGCACCAGAATTCCTTCGATAGTAATCGCAGTAGCCCCGCATCAATGCTCGCGAAACAATTGCGGCTCAAACTCATTGCAGATGATGATTCCGGAATTCCTCAAGGCTATAGGAACATAATGGTCTCGATCCATGCAATCGCAACTTTCAAAGCCTTGGACGACTACCTACGCCCTCGCATTGTAATTGCGGATCGGCCCCGAGGCTCTAGGAGTTCAGAGCGGGTTACAAGTGCAATTGCGGCTTATGCTGCTGCCCTTGCAAACTCGCGAGACCCTGATCGACGCAACACCCTTACTGCGCCAGTTCCGACCACCACAGCAGGTACATCAAGTCGCAGTTCCACGAGGAAAACTTCGAAATCCAAGCCAGCTTCCTCCGCGACTACCACTCCAGCTCACGCGACGACTTCGGAAGAACCAGCTCCCGTCCGTCGATCTGCTCGTCGACAGCCTGCTCAATCATCACCTGCGCCGCCTCCACCGGCGCCCCAGCTGGGAGACTCACAAGACCCACTCGAGTGTGCAGACGAAACCCAGCTAACCGATGAAGATGACGAGATGGAGAGCGCAAGCGCTGCTCTAAACTCCATTGTGGATGATCTTGAAGATGATGATAGCACCGAGGATACTACTGACCCCTCTGCTGTAAACGTTGAAGTAGCATCCACGGGCAAAGTGACTGCTCACAAGGATGATGGTACCAGAGTGGCAACTCCTTCACAAAACACACCTACAGCACGCCCTTCTCCAGCTGACCGCTTGAATGCTCGTGTCAGCGCTCTTTCACGCGCGATGTCATCACAGACCCCTCAAAGCCTGCCAACCTCCTCGTCTCGTCCATCTTCATATGCTGCAGCTCTCCAAGCCACGCCGCAGGACTGGCATATCGAGTTCACGGTGGACGGGCAGCCAATCACCAACGAAACTACCATTTACCGTGCTGTTCACTTTCAACAACTGCAATCGGATGACAATGGACCGCGACCAGTTTGGAGTGCAATCCATACAATTAAGTTCAAGCGGGTAGAAGGTCCACCACCCGTCGAGTCGACATCACTTCATGCGCACGGCGAGCAAGCCAGAGTTCATGATGGCTTGCCGGCATCTTTGGCCAAGCACCCGGCAACAGCATCGATTTTACAACTTCTGAGCATTCTCCATGATATGAATTCGAACTTGGACGATGTCCTCGCCGAGGATCAAATAGCAAGCAAACTGAAACCTGAACCCGTGTCCCAGTTTGTCAATACCAAATTGACCGCGAAGTTAAATAGGCAATTGGAAGAGCCACTGATTGTAGCAAGCAATTGCCTGCCATCGTGGAGCGAAGATCTCGCGAGGCTCTATCCATTCTTATTCCCATTTGAGACTCGGCATCTCTTCTTGCAGTCGACTTCCTTCGGATACTCTAGGTCAATGACGCGATGGCAAAGTGCGCAGACGTCCAATGACTCCCGCTATGATAGACATCGCGATGAACGACCATTCATGGGCAAAATGCAAAGGCAGAAGGTGCGGATCTCACGTACTAGAATTCTCGAGTCAGCCATCAAAGTCATGGAATTGTATGGATCTTCTCCAAGCATTCTTGAAGTCGAGTACTTTGAAGAAGTCGGCACCGGCCTCGGCCCCACTTTGGAATTCTACTCGACAGTCTCCAAGGAGTTCTCCAAGAAGAAGCTCAAGCTGTGGCGGGAGAATGAATCAAATGAAGATGATGAGTATGCTTTTGGAAAACAAGGGTTGTTTCCTGCACCGATGAGCGAGGAGCAGGCTGCCAGCGAGAATGGGAGGCGACTGCTTCACCTTTTCAAGATGCTAGGCAAATTTGTCGCACGATCTATGTTGGACTCACGCATTATCGACGTTTCCTTCAACCCAACATTCTTCCGTGTCGGAGACGGCGCGACGGCTGTTACCCCATCCCTTGGCGCCGTTAAATCGGTAGATGCTGATCTCGCTCGGTCCCTGAAAATGCTCAAGAAGTTTTCCATGGCAAAGAAAAAGGTTGATGAGAATGGAACATTGAGCGCTGCTCAGAAGGTCGAAGCGGCTCAAGCTATCACGATTGATGGCGCACGAGTTGAAGACCTCGGTTTAGACTTTACCTTGCCAGGTTACCCGGAAATTCAGCTGCAGCCAGATGGTGTCAACACGCCTGTGACTATCGACAACGTCGCGAGTTACGTAGATAAAGTACTCGATCTTACCTTAGGAAGTGGTGTCAAAGCACAAATCGACGCTTTTGGTGCCGGCTTCTCTCAAGTGTTCCCATACTCATCAGTGAAGGCATTCACTCCAGATGAGTTGGTCATGCTCTTTGGGAGGGTGGACGAGGATTGGAGCCTGGAAAGTGAGTATACCTGCTAAGCATCTATCCCCAGCTATCTGACAATTATGGCAGCATTGATGGATTCTATCAAGGCCGATCATGGTTTCAACCTCGACAGTAAAAGTGTCCGCAACCTCTTGCACGCTATGAGTGAGCTGTCTGCTCCCGAGAGACGCGACTTCTTGCAATTTGTCACGGGCAGCCCCAAGCTCCCCATAGGAGGTCAGTCCATCCTGATCCTTTCTTCTCACATTCTAACAACTCTTACTAGGTTTCAAGAGCCTCACACCAATGTTCACTGTGGTGTGCAAGCCCAGTGAGCCTCCTTTCACATCTGATGACTACTTACCCAGCGTCATGACGTGTGTCAATTACCTCAAGATGCCAGATTATTCGAGCATGGAAATCCTTCGCAATAAACTCAACGTCGCTATCAAAGAAGGTCAAGGAGCCTTCCATCTATCTTAAATTACTCACGTCTTGCATGTGGTCGTATAACACAATAGTACCAGACCGCTACAATCGCATTATTCCTTTAGTCGTTCTTCTGTCTCTCAGAACACTCGCAACGGTCAAGCATATCTTGGTGCATATCATGATCTCCAATTTGGTGTTTTGCGATTTTCCACATCCGGTCATACACCATGATACGCTTTCGCCATTGTGGTTTTCTCTGCTTAAATTGATGCATGGATACATTGGATGACGGTCGTACTGCCTAAGCATTCCTACAATGGGCTGGAATGGAAGGTCGGCTCGAGAAGCCCAGGCGTTAACATTTGTCCTTCCACAAGGAAGATAAAAGGGCCCTAGCCGCTAGATCGAGGTTGGTGCACTGCACATGGAATAGATATCTCTCGGATAGCGGTATGGTAATGCAAAGGATAACATATCTCGGGTGTTTCTTGCGTTGTGTGATATGATTCTGAGTTGCATGCATTACCGGCACGCAACTCGTAACTTACAAAAGCTCCCGATGTGTATACTCATAATCATCTTCGCTATCACTGCATACTGCTGTCGCAGGCGATGTTTATACGGAGACAATAGTCATGTCGCAACAGTCCGAAATCCGCCTCTTCCTGATGAGTCCTCCCTTCAAATAATCCTCACGAAACTTGACCTGTCCTTGCCCGCCGAGCGCCCGGCCCCTTTCCGCTAAGTGGCGAGTCAGGTGGGATTGAGAGGAGTGTCCAAATGAAGCAAGTCTTTATCTTTAGATATTCTGACAGGCGACAATAGCAGGATTGGGTAAGTCATCTCTCCGCGCTCGGTATACCGTTCAAGAGGTTTTGTTCGTAGAATGTCTTCTCCGCTTCACGTTGTCTGGACCATGTCATGTTTCTACCCGCATTATGGGACTCATACCATACAACAATTACGACGGAGATCAAGAGGGGTCATGCCAGCAGTGTCCCGTTGCGTAAGTCCTCTACATAATTGTCTGGCAGACTTCTGGTTGGAGTAATTAACAGTATCGCAAAGTTTAGCAGGCGCGGCTCTAGGAAGTCACCAAAGTCGCTGATCATAGAACGGGCACTTCATCTTTATAATCCTGTTATGCTGACAGGAAGGAAGCTCTGACAAGTAAATGGAAAGATTTATCTCGATCGTATCAAGGAATTGTATATTCGTCTGCTGTTTACTACTATCGTAACTCAAATTTCTGGTAGATCATTTAAGGCATTTATAAGTCTTGGAACCACGCATACACAGCAACCGTGAAGCAAGCTATCATAGCCACCAGATAGCTGCCAACCCCAAAAGCCTGCTCTTGAGTTTTCGCCAAACCAAGAATCAGTAGCGAGATTGACAACGATAGGGCGACCGCACAACCAAATATGAAGGCAAGTACAGCATGGTCAGCACCGTCAATGATATGGATGCCCCATCCAAATGCCAGATCCGGATCCGAGTTGAGGTCAACAATGTTTTGTTCAGAGTTATTTTGGCTCTGCACTACCTCAGCAAGAACAGTCTCACTGAGTTTCTTCGGTAAACGCTGTAGCCAAAGATCTTCACTGTGCTCCCCCCAAACCTTATACTTTGCGCGGTTGAGATAGTGGAGGAAGATTTTAGCTGGCATCCTCAGTTTCGGATGTAAGTAGTGATACCGTTGATGGTCCAGCTCAACCTTAGGAGGAAACTCGTCGGGCTTCTCGTGAATACCAGCAGTGCACTGATAACGCCGGCTCATAGAAAACTATGTTCATGTTAGGAGAGGCGTCGTTTTAGCAAAATTCATAGATGCATACCAAGACGAAGTGGACATCTCGAGGCTTTAGCAGCCATTGTCTCGCAAAACCGCGCTTCGCAGACTTGTATCTCTCCCTGATTAGTCTGAATAGCTCGGCGTCCGAGCTCACCTGCGAAATATCGATTTCGTAATGGTCTGTGGTATAGTCACCAACGTCGACGCAAAGCTCAAACCATCTCAACGTGAGAGTCTCCTGTGATGTAGACCGGGTCTCTTTGGGTGCGTGTATGGGCGACACTACCACGCCTTGCGATACATCTTGACAGAATTGGTTCAATGCATGCTCAGCGTGAGCGTCAAAGTCCTCCCAGTGTATAGTGTTACAAGACTTTAGTCGTAAGCTCGATGAAGCAGTAGTACGGAGAGGAACTCTGAGTACTTACGCATCGCCAACGGATTCTTCTGTACCCGGGCTTAGCCCAGGGCAGCAAGTACTCAACTAGATCATGGAAGATGAGAGATGCGCCTAGGGAGTCCACTATAGAACATGATAGCCGACGTAAAATCCAAGAGATGGTGGGACCTCGGAAGAGACGTTCGAAGGGTTGATTTACCATAGAATCAGACTCTGAAGCTTTCACGAAGATAGTCTCGTCCTTGGATCCTGCTAGATCGTCGTTTTTGTCTCTGACCAATAAGAATGTTCAAGAATGCGGTGTGCTCTGGCTGTTCTAATCTCTGTTACGTCTAATCCAAGCTGTGATGTATACCTTTATACTGTCCGACAGGAATTTAAAGCTTTGTGCTGTCTCATTGTGCTTATCGTACACCCGGGTCTGAATGCTTTGGTATCTGCTCTGTTTAAATAAAACTATGATCGTTGTATATACACTGTCTGACAGAACGTCAAGGCTTTGTGCTATCTCTTTGTATTTATCGTGCACCCAGATTTGAGTGACTCATATCTGGCTAATGGAATGAATCTTTCCGAAGGGAGGAGACCAATACGCCAGAGTTATTAGTCAGCGCAAGTGCTGAACGCAAGCAGCGTTGAGAATCGACTACCCCCTAGACGGGCCGGATCCTGTTCTTGTCCTTCGCTCGTCGAGACATTTCTCGATTAGTCTCATATGAATCAAGACATTTCCAGACTATTGTACGGGTTATACGTCCAGTGGGGTCGTCGGTCCGTCTTTGTTACCGTGTGCCTCTATTAGAAGGTTCCGTCCCAGCGAAACGACGAAGTTTTCGTTCAAATTTATTGCTTCTCATTCGAAGACATATCGATGATTGTTGGATATAAAGCACCCAACCGTTCGGATCCGATGCTTCAGGGATATCAGAGATCCCCTTCGTCTGACTCGGGCCTGATGATATCTCTATTTCACGTCGAGTCGCCGCATGGCCTTTTCCTTGCCTTCTCCGTAGACTGGGAAGGTGTTAAAGTCCAGGATGCCAAGACAGTATACAATGTCTTCCTCCATAGTGGTTTTTCGATTGGCTGCCCAGGATAAGCATTTGTTGTCTACACTATAGACAGTCCTACTGCTTTCACAATCTCGTGCCGCGAATCTGATTTGGTTCCTAGTCGTTGCCACTCTGTTGAATATAAAATGATATCTTCGGGAGCAAGGAGCTCTGGTAATGTCCAACCCCGAAACACTGTTACCCAATTTTCCACAAAGACCCTTTCGAGCACTCCTGGCTGGTCATGACATCTGGAGGGTAGACATAGCATTTAGTTGAGTTTCGAAACCAATGAAACATAGAATTTACAGCCTCTGCAAGCTCAGCGTTACTTTGTCGATTGATACAACAGGTGTCAACCCAGAACCATTCGAGTCCGTCTCGAGCTGCTTGCTGCGAGATCCAGAGTAGTTTACCGTAGCCGGACCTTATCTTTCCCTGTCCAGTGATGACATCGTGAAAGGATACCTCCGCAGAAGATGTTGGACCCCAGACATGTGATAGGATAGCATACGGGGGAATTTCGTCACCATAATTCTCAAATCGGAAGTCGCCATTCTCATCAACCTTGAGAAGTCACATGTTTGATAGTCGAATATATCATGAGATGAGGTTGAGATTAATGTAATACGGCAGACACTGCCGTTTTAAAAAGATTTTGTAGTTCTTCATCGTCTGCGAGGCTGAACAAACCCTGCTCTACTGGCGCACAATAGGTAAGTATGCGCTCCGAACCTGCATGTGATGGATGTTATTTTTAGCCCGCCACAAGGCCAAAGCCGCTTGGGGAGGGCCAGCTTGTGCTTCAAGCAGGAATTATCACGTAGCCTTGTGCCTTGTCGAATGCTATGCGTGATTTAACCGCCCAGAGCGACGGTATGTTGGTCGTCTCACCGAGGTTTCTGCTATCGGTTGCCTATCATAGCTTAGAAGAGAGTAGGTGGCTTGACTATTTATATCCCAACCTGACCGAAAGGAACAGACATGTGCTGAGAGTCCTTGATACTATGCATTGTATATTCTCATGGCGAAATGACTTGTGAATCGACTCCGGCTCCAATTAGTATTTTACTGGTTGAATTCCCAATTTGGCTCGCAGTCCTCGTAAACCTTGCCGAACTCCTTCACTCTCTCCAGTAACCAGCCTGAAGATATGTTCGAATCAGTCTTGACAGTTCCAACTCTGATGTTCTCGCCCAGATAACACTCCCCAACCTTCCATTTGAATTGGCGACAAGTCGGTATTGCAGAGCATGCGCTTCTACAGTCTTCGAATGACTCAACAGCTTTCTTCTCCAGCTCATCCAGCTCTGCCCACGTCTCTTCCATCTCATCCTTAGGCTTAACATATTTCCAATCATCAGAAATGTTGTCCCAGTCGTCACGTCGTTCGCGAACGTGCTTTTCGACATACATCGAAAAGATATCACGGAACATCAACGGCTTCTCCCAGCCCTGCGTATCGTCAGTTAAATCGCAAGACAACGGGTATCATTGATACTCACGTGCTCTTTCACCCATGCCATCATCAGCTCCCACAAGTCGAGAATCTCCCTTGTATTCACATGATGCCAGCTCACGCTCGGCGTACACATATGCCTCTCGTTCCAGTCTATCGTGCCTAATCTCTCGCCCTGTATCAGTGGAAAACTTGCCGTCATGCTGATTCCCACATCTAAGAAGTTCCTCGCCATTTCCACGTCACCGCAGCAGCCTGCGGCTACGTTCAACCACCACTCGTCCTGCATCTTATCATACTCGTCCATCAGCCTCTGCATAGCAGCTTTACTGACAAGCACTCCGCTACCTCCATGTGCGAAGGTAACTCCGCCATGGCTGTTCTGACTCCCGCTGTAAATCTCGCGGTCGGGATTGAGGCGGCGCGTCCAGGTGAGCAGGTTTGGCCAAATTACTGCAGTATCGGGCTCCATGAAAAAGTACCATTTCGCCTTGGGCGCCTTCGCATAGCTCTCTTTGTAGCTGCTCAAGAACTTCCATTTGTCTAGTTTCCATCCTGCTCTCTTGTCGCCTTCTTCAGTTTTGTCCACAACAGCAGCGATATCTTGGCCGTCAGCATGAAGGGCGTTGACTGTGTGATAGTATGCGAACTCGGGCTGTGTATTCTTGAAAGAGGAATTTATACTGGCAATGGAGTCGTAGATAGGGGTGCCGTGGATTGTTTGTGCAACATCGGAGTACACGGTATATGAAGGGGCACAGGAGAGGAGGGTGAGAAGTTGTGGTGGAAGTTTCTCGTAAATCTCGTTGATGCCGACTTTAAGAACTATGTGTACATCACTGGCGCCCGGGGCGTTGCGGCAGTCATTCGAGTCGTCGACGTTGGAAGCATCGTGTTGAGTGATGGACGAGTTGGGCTTTGTAGTCGAAGCGGTGTCGATACTGGGCTTCTCCGGGGAATAAGAGGATCGTGAGAGGGATGTGGTGTAATCTGTCTGAGATAGCCAGACTGTAAAGAGACAGAAGACGCCCAAGAAGGCGAAGAGAAGCGGTCTACGCCGGCCTTTGAAAGTCGGCTGGTAGCTTAGGATGCCCATTCCTAGCCTTCCGGCGATGACTTTCAACCGAAACTAGTCACAATGCCTGATTCGGACAGCGACGAGCAAGCTGGAAAGGTGTGAGTCGAGGCTTCGTGCAGGGACTCAGGGAGAGGTATGGAGAGGATATGTATGCGGCACAGCACCATCATCTTCTTAGTTGAAGCTGCTAGATTAACTCATCTATCACATCTCCATCACACGTTGCGCGCTTACGAGGAGGGTTTCTCAAGCGTCCAGTGTATAAATGCGTATTTGTGCGTATTTGTGCGTACAAAATGTGACGTATGTGTATAAAATGTAACGTCTATATACGGAATGTAACATATAGACTAAGTAGGTTAGTAGATCTAGATACTCTATATAATTTTATATAGGGCGTTTGGATTAAGGGATACCCGAGACTTACCAAGTATATACTATACTTATCTATCTTTATTATCTTTATTCCTTCTATTATACCTTATTATTATCTTACTATCTTCTTATCTCTTAATACTATAAATCTATCTATATTAGTATATCCTTATTAATATTAAGGTTAAGATATCTTATACTACCCTATAAATTAAGGCTAATATACTTTAACTTACTAATCTTATTATTAATAATATTTCTATTACTAAATTAGCTAATAGATAGCTATCTAGAGTTATTATACCTATTAAATCTCGTGATTATAACGCTATAGAACCTTAGAATATTACTAAATCGGGTAGTACTATATCTAACTCTACTTCCTTAACTTAGGCGCTAAGCTAGTAGTCTACTATTACTTATATTATACTATCTATTACTATCTAGAAGTAACCTTATACTAAGCGCTATTACTACGCTAGCCTTAATAATCTAGAGAGTCTTATATAGTAGAGAGAGAGGTTATTCATGCTGCCTAAAGGCCTTATATTAATATAATAGAAGTAGAATACCTACTAGCTATATATTAGTAATATATAGTATTAGAACTTAGTCTTAGGTATAATCTAATCCGCATGTACCTTAGCTAATAGGGTTAGAAGGTAGCGTGAAGGGCGGTAAATAGTTATATACTAGATAGATTAGCGTCCCTTTATATATATACTCTTAGATTCCTACTAAAAGGGTTTAGTAGTAATTTATTCTATAATAGAATATACCCTATTATTCTATCTAACTATACTACTATCTAATAACCCTATTCTTATATTTAAATTACTCTCTATATAGTACTATAGTTAAGATAGTCTAACTAGAACTAAGAAGGTTAATATAATCTACTATAGAGATAAGTAATACTATATTAAATAATAGGGATCCTCTATAATTAGTATTAATTCTAGCCGTTTCTAACTAAGAAGTATATTATGGACTTCGGCTTTGCCTTGTCTCTAGTATCACATGACGGAGCCGGGACAGATGGAGACTAGTATAGGGGTATCACGTGACCTCGCTTAAGACTATACTTAAAGCTATAACCATACGGCTTATCCCTACTCTCTCTAAGTTAAATTATAATATATCTTAATTACCATTGTAGTAACACCTTGGTTATATCCATTATAAAGTAGAGATATTAGACTAAATTATAGAGCTTTTAGATAAAGAAATAGTAGATATACTAAGTAACTTCTAATAATATAAAGCTAGATAATAAGTTATGGCGGAGCTACGTAAGGTATTATAATAAACTATTACTAAACTTTAGAAATATATTATAAATTAGGCTTAAGAGATTTAAACTCTTAAAGAATAGATAGAATATATAAAACTTCTTATAAAGAGATAAGAACTTAAGGAGTCTCTTAAAGAACTATACTAAACGATAGTAGATAGATAACTTCCTATACTAATTTAGGCGGAATTAGTTTACCTACTATTAGAGTTATAATAATCTACTATATACCTAGCCGCTTCGTTACTAATTTACTCTACTTCTTCTCTAGATATACTAAAATCTAAAGACCTAACTATATTTATAGAGAAGAACTAAAAGGAGTAGAAAGACTAGAAGAGAGACTATAAAAAGTACTTCCTTAATAACCCTCTACTCTTTTCTACTAAAGTATAATATATTTTATTTAGAGAATGATACCTAGACTTATAATTCTATAATTAATAGAATAGATAGAAGGAAGTATAGCTACTATCTATAATAACCTAGGAATATTTAGCTATATTTATACTAAATACTCTCGGAACAAATAGAGAATATAAAAGAAAGGCACTATCTAAGTTAAGAAGCGTAGTATAATAACCGAACTAGATATCTACTTAACTACTATAATACCTCTAAAACCTATAGGATAATATCCCTATACTATAGGAAAATATTTATATATTCTAGTTTTATAAAGTACTACTTCTATTAATCCGCGAAAGACTAGAAATAGTATTATTAAGTTTTAACTATCTATATAAATTAGAGAAGAAAGCTAATAAATACTACTATATTCTTAAGGAACGCGGCTCTCTAGGTAAAACTAACGAACCCTATATAGATTAGAAATAAGGTTAATTAAATATATTTAATTAAGAGTAACCTTACTATAATTAGCGCTAGAAGAGCGTAAATTAGGGTAGAAACGCGTTAAGAGGATAATAATAATAATAATATTATATAACTAGGTAGAGTAGTACTCTACAGGCCTATGCCTCCTCTAGTCTAAGCTACTATATAAGAAGAAACCCTATAGGGAAAAACTTCCTTATATCTATAACTATATCTCGTTAAACCTCTATTTCGTCTTAAGTATATAGCTATAGGGTATACCTATTAGCCTATAGCCTATATTACCGTTATTTTACCCTTAGATAGTACGTATAGGTGCGGAGGTTATTAGTTAAGGGCTACCCTTAACTAATAATTAGGGTTCTCCCGGGGTTCTTCCGGTATATATCGGGTTACTACCGGCGTATACCGGGTCTCTTCTAGTATATATTTCCGGGTCCACTAGTACTAGAGGAGTAGTAGATATATAAGCATCTATTAGAAGACGTCCTTAGGGTACTTATTAAGCTATTATATAATATTAGAGGTTCTTATCGTATAGATAAGCTTCTACCTTTATATATAAAGATCGGGGTATATTATAAGATAGTAGCGTATTATACCTCTCCGGCCGCACGCCTTATACTATAGAGATACGTTAGGGACGCCTCTCTTATAGAGGTAGTATAGAAGTCCTATAGCGCCCGTTCGGGCTTAGAGGAGTATAGATACCTAGGCCTTTATAAGCCCTTTATATATCTATTTACTCGGCTCCTTCTATGGTTCTCGGATCTACTCTAGGTACCTATCCTACTAGGAGGCCCACTAGGCCCGGAGTATCTCTTTCTACTTATCTTAGATCTATAACTATATACTTCGTCCGAGCTCTTAAAGGCTCTATTAGTCTAGAAGGGTATCTAGATTATCCTTAATCTCTTATACTACTTAGTTCGAGTCTATTTCTATCGGGCACTTATACCGTAGTCGAGTCCGGCCTATATATAAGAGTACTTAGTAGTATACGCTAACTCGCGCGCGTAGCGCGGCGAAGGTATATTCTATATTTTCTATACGTTCCTATACTTATTATTTAGTAAAGTATACTACCCTCTATATCTAGTAGAAGTTATATATACTTATAACGTCTATCTCGCGTTATAGTAGTACCATATTAGTAGCTTTATATACACCTAATATAAGACGGAGTATACGGTTCTATATGGATTCGAGCTTTATTTACCTAGTCTATATAAGGGCCGTATACTAGTACTCGTGTCTATACGTGAAGGCGGGTCGTACTATAGATATATATAGCTAGCGTGCCTTATCCCGGGTAGTTCTCTATATAGAGGCTATAATCCGTTATATAGCGGCTTCTACCTAGAGGGCCCTAGAAACGGTGTATGTTACCTATGGTCCCTATTTAAGCTTATTATTAATTATAACGCTAAGTACGCGTATGCTTTATGTCGGCGGTTCGTTAAAGGCGTCTATTCTAGGGCGTCGCTTGCCTTCCCTAGTAGCCTATTTCCTACGGCGGTTAATGAAGTACATGAGTTAGTACTTTTCGGGGCGAACTTTACTCTATAGCGCTTTGCCCATTAGACGTATCTCCCGTGGTCTTATTCGAGTCGTCTATATGTTTAGCTAGTATTATTATCGATAGCTAGAAGGTATATATCGTCTACGTATCCTACTACCTCTATATATTATATTCCCTAGAGGAGGTCTATAGTAAAGAAGAGGAAGAGAATCGGGGAGATAGTACTTCCTTATAGGATGCCGTAAGCCGTCTTCTCGTACTCACTTTAATATCTAGAGATATATATCTAGGTAACTCTTTCGGCGAGGAAGGACTATATAAACCGCGTAATCTACGCGGGTATACGTCTCTTCCGTAAGTTAAGATGAGTCTCGTGTGGTTTACTTTATCGAATACGCCGGCCATATCGAGGGAGAGTAGCGTTACTATACGTCCCTACTTCTATACGGTCTAGACGACTTTAAGGATGTATTAGATAGCGGTAATTAGAGAGCTTCTAGCCTTCGCCTTCTGGTTTACTAGGAGGAGGTTATGTTCCTATACTACGGCGCTTATCTTCTTCGCGATCATGGCCTCTAGTATCTTCCCGAGATAGGAGAGGAGGGTAATTAGCCTCCATCCTTTCGGGGAGCTAGGGTTCTTCTCTAGTTTCGGGAGTATAATAGTATAGACGGCCCGGAAGCTTTGGGGGTGGTATCCGTTCTTAATACATGCTTGAAATATATAACTAATGAGCGGTAGGGTAGCTAGTATAGTGCGTTTAAGGCACCTATTCGGTATCCCATCCGGTCCGGGTACCTTGTTATTCGGGAGTACTTTAACGGCGTCGAGTATATCCTCCTTAGTAACCTCTTAGGGGATATCGATTACGTCTAGGTATTTAGTATTATTAATATCTAATAGGTCTACTAGCTCTAGGAGGGGGAATATAACTTTACGTAAGATCTCCGTCTTCTCTAGGCTTATAGAGTATATCCTCTCTTAGTATATTAGGGGAGGCATTAGTGGCGGCGGTGTCGGCGCGTCTATACCCTTAGCCTACTTTGCCATGCGCTATAGCCCTACGGCTTACCG